CTGTTATGACTTCATCTCACGATGATGCAGTACTTGCATTTCATTCTGATTCCACGATGTTGCATATAGTCTACTATTCCCAGCACATAATGTAAGTGATTATGTAAGTGTTCCCTTCTATGCATGTTGTCTCTCACTTTAAGTCTCGCAAAATTGACGTTTGTATCCAACTGAAGTGAATAAAAAATAAAAAAATTAAAAGTGTGACGGCCTACACCTGTACAACCCCAATATGTAAAAACTAACGCAATATGTAAAAACTTAATGCAAAACGTAAAATATGACGCAATATGTAAAAGATTAACGCCAAATGTAAAAAATATCTTTAACGCAATATGTAAACACCTAACGCAAAATGCAAAAACAATTTTTAACGCGATTTGTAAAAGATTAACGGAATCTGTAAAATACAGCTTTATTATTGTTTATTGTTTTGGCGACTGAAATTCGTTTTTTTAGAAACTTTACTATATTGGGGGTTTTTAAAAATAACTAAGCTATTGCAATATTTCTGACAAAATTAACCTCATTTCTAACTTAATTGATATCTGATCTTTTGGGTCGTTTAACAGCCGATAATTGTGTAATATACATGTATAGCGATACTTGATATCATAATCTATATTCGACAGTATCCAAGTAAATCATTTTATTCTTCATAGTATTTTTACATAAATGGTCATATGGGTTGTATTCATTATGTCCTATTCAAGGAGGTTTTACCTTTTGGCCTTTTTTATCCCACAACGCGCATGCAGCGCGAGGTTGGGGACATAAAATTATCCTCCGTCCGTCCGCCAGTCTGTCCGTCCAAATAACTGGTTTGCACTATATCTCAAGAAGTGGTTTATCAATTTCTAATGACATTGGGTACGGTAACCAAGGTTCAACTTGGAATTCTGCAGATATCATTTTTTTTTTTGTAAAAAAAAATGTATTTTTCTTTTCATTGTTTTTGTTGAGAGACCAGTAATTGTTTTTAAATTTGTCCTATTTAGAGGTGAATTAATAGCAAAACATTTTCCTTTATGGAATTAATGTATTAGTTACTTTTCCTGGTAGTGTGTGTTTTTAATCTCATCTCAAAATACACAAATGAAATGCAACAAATCCTGACAAAAAAGTGTAAATGCAAGATTGCATGTTTCGTTATTCCATAAAATGTGCTAACATTGTTTAAAGTTTAAACTTAATTTCAAACTAACGTTTACTAAAATTTCACATTCAAATATGTCAACTCTTTGGTATAATGGTTAAGGCTGTGGATTTGTATTCCAAAGGTTGCAGGTACAAAACCCCACTTACACCAACTAAACTTTTGTAACTAATTTAACTAATGTACATAACGTATTTAAATTAGCCTCATTTCTAGCACTTGTTTATCATATGACCTCTCTAAGAAAGCACATGGTTTGGAAATGCATGCACATCAGTCTGTACCTGACCACCATGCTGGAAAGTTGTTTCACCTCACTGTCTGCGAATCACTGCATGTCAAGGAACAAATGTAAGTTACTTTCAACTCATAGCATTTCTAACTTTATTGCATTATTATCATTTGTATTAATAATCAATTATTGGTAAACAATTTTGATAACAGTTCAACGAAATGTTGTTCAAATGTTCAGTCATCAAAATGTCCTTATACAATTTCAATATGCATTGCAGAGTTTATTAATGCCAAAAGTAAATAAGTTTAAAGTGCATTAATGAGCAAAGATTATGGAATTGTGTTTGCTTATATTGTAGTTTTGTTAACCTCATCAGAGCTCATCAGTTTTCATCGATGCTCATCAGCTGTGAAACCCTTCTCAGCCTGATTCGTTGTACAACCGTTCACCAGTCTATGTCAACGTTTGAAGGATATCATGTTCATGTTTCAAGGATACATTGTAACCAGACACAGTTATAATAAACTCTGATGCGAGTATCGGATCTTTTTGTTCTTGCATCTACAAAAAGTTTGAGCCATCCCATAGGAATTACGAGATACTGGGGAATTTGTTTCAGAAACACTTTGAATGAATTTTAGAGAATTTTATGATGATGTATTTACAAATATTATATTACTCCAAAATGTGAAAATTACTGTTTAATTATAAATGCGTCGCTGGACACAAATATCTTTGATTTAGAAATGGTAAATCCATCTTGCAGTTTTAGGTGCAAGATGCATCGCAGTGATTCAGGTATTTCCATTCCAATCATATCTGATTTCCTTCAATCAAGTCACAGGTAATATTGCTGCAAATGAAATCGAGTAATACCAGATACATTTGAGGTTTGATCCCAATGTTGATCGCTCAAATTTACTTAAATAAAGTTGTTGTATTTGATGCAATTTAAGTAATATGGAATATTGATGTAAATGGGTAACATGACTTGTTGTTCAAGGTTTCAGAAAACTGAATCCATCAAACATGCCAATGCCAAGATCAATGATACCTGCATAGAATTGCAAAATCACAAACCACGCCTAAGGAATTATAATCGTAATTCACCAATGCCATTCATGCGATGATTTGACGTATATCAAACATTAACTAGTACAAATGGAACCAGTTATTCTATTGTTTATCTAACTGGAGACATCTCATTGTAATTAACGTCTTCAATATCTGAAAAATTGCTGAAGGTGTGTTTAACCTTATTAGCTCATTCATTCACTCACTCGCGGGACATCAGAACAGCCATATCATTTTCCAGATGACCCATGCATCTTTATCATTAAAACGTCATTTAATAAATGTACACATTTGAATAGCTCCTTTCACATTCTCAGCTGGTTTACTTTAAGTTGTTTCCCACCCGCAAATGAAGCTATGGCGGTTCAAGATGAACGCATCTAGGAACTATTCTAGTATTCCCTTAAGCCGCCCATCGTTGTTTGAAATACATAGTCAAATCATAACTATTTGCGCTCTCTCCTAGATAGTTTGCTAGGTCCGAAGTCCAATGGTCAGAGCTACCATCTCGATGACAAGTACCAATTGCAATTTATTCGAACCCCCGTACACAATGAATTAAAATTAGAAACATTACTACAACATGCATGTTCAAACCACATTAAGAAGGATCAATAAGCGGTTTTCACAGATTATCAACAACGGAATGGACAGTTTGAAGGAAAGGTCAAACCTTCTTGAATAAGATATAATGAATATAACCCAAAATACCATTTAAGAAACAGCAAGTTTGAAGAATAAAATTATTCCTTTAAAACTTTCGAAAATAGACTATAAGATCGATTAAAATATCTCTAAATACAAGTAAATTATATGTTTATCGACTGCTTACATGTATACTGAACGAGGTAAAAGTTTGTAAAAAAATGTAATATGAAGAGTATTTTGTAAGAAATATTACGATATCTTAGTTTTTGTAAATAAAGTCAATTTTTGCCAAATTTGTGAAAAAAATGGATTTCGATTGCCACGTCTAATATTCAAACCTAAAATTGGATTTTACATATTTCGTTAATTTTTTACATATTAAGTTAAAAATTGTTTTTACATTTTGCGTTACGTATTGTACTTTTGGCGTTGGATTTTACATATTGCGTTAATATTTTACATATTGCGGTTTTTTTACGTTTTGCGGTAAGTTTTTACATACTGCGTTAGTTTTTACATATTGTCTTGATTTTACATATTGGGGTTGTACAGGGTTCCCCTGTAGCTTCATGTGCATTGCAGTTCTCCGAGTGAATCCCGTATAGTATTTCTTTCACTGAATATTCTAAGCGCTCGAATTGATTTTAATTTGAAATTTTAAAGTATCCCTGTAAATCCAAGGTGACATCTTATGCCTGTTGGGGTTAATGGTTGAGCAGTGGGGATTATCATATCCGTATCCTTATCAGATTTGAGTAGTTTATGAATCTGATTGTACCGAGCGACAACTGGAAATGGGTTACTAGTTGGCCTGTTTGTAGCTGGCACGCCTTTCACGCCGATTAGCATGGCTAGGAACTTTACCCTTGGTAAAAATCTTCCAGTCTTACCACGTGGCCGGAGAATTACTATTTACTATACCCATCGGTCATTCACCGTTAGCTAATACTTACACAGCCTTAAATATTCTGTCGCTCCCAGCAGAGACATGGTCTCTGCTCCCAGTTATTACGTTCTATCTACATATCTAGATTTATTAACAAGCAGCGATAGCATCCATTCTGTCACGAAATAACCGCAATTCTATATCATAGGCGTACTTGTCTTGTTTAGAGGATGCGATTATACCGTACAATTATAACAATACCATCAGGAGTCCCCATTGTTGACAGGTCATCGTATCCCAATTGCGTAGATCTCTTTCGATGCTCATGCTGTTGATCACTGGATTGTCTAATCCATACTCAATTATTTACAGATCACCGCCATAGCTGGAATAATGCTGTGTGCGGCGTAAAACTAAACTCACTCACTCAAGACCGATCCACCATTCATGAACTTGCCTCTTCAAATGGAAAGTATTGCATTTCTCGTGCCCAGAAGTTGTTATATACCTATGTCATTAGAAAATGACTCTGAAAGGAGAACCTGCTCTTTCAAATTGGCGTCTCATTTTGCAGAAAAACTGTCTTGTATGGCTACTGGCAAGCCAGTACTGTCTTATAAATGTCCCATTATGTGCATACCAAACTATCGTTAAATTAATGTATGTGTAGTACCAGGATATAGTCGTTATGAGAGAGACGCTTTTCCTACTTAGACAGACCTGGCCGTTTTGACTAAACTGTCTCTGTAATTTAAGTTTCACTTATAGGTTTTTATCCCGAAGGGATAGACTGGCCAGCTCAGTATCAGGGACCATTCATTGAAAATTGTTAATTTCAAAATCAAGAACAGCAATTAGTTGGTTGCTCGATTTTCGTTACTTATACTCGTTGAAAATGTAATACAACAGAGATTATACTGTTGAAAGTTATTAGATATAATCTTGAATTTTCAAAATGTCAAGACATCACAAAATGCCAATGACTTATCCCTTGGGAATGTTTACAAATGGCGCTCAAAACAAATCTATGAACTTTGGCCTGTGATGTGACATGATAGATGTCTGAATTCTTTTGTCAGGCCCTGACAAATATAAGACGATCCGTTTCATCAACACTACCCATCCATAAATGAAAAACACTTCTTTTTCGCTGACTCACATGCAAGTATCCCGAAGTCATGGATTCCCGTCACACAGCCGGTGCAAGTGACTGAGCGAGCCATTATAACAAGTTAGGTATGTTGTTTTGACGGTGTAACAGTTTACTACCATCAGAATATTATCAGACAATGCAATAATCTTACTTTAACACATTGGGATAATGTGATGTAGGATTTTTGGGTAAAATAATGAAATATTGAATTGTTTAAGTTGGATATGAATTAGGCCTTGAGTCTTGACTAGGGGACAGAGAAAACAAATATAGTTCCTTCACTCAACGAAAATTAGTAATTAATGGGATGGGTGTAACTTTATTTATGTAACAAGTTCAATAAACCTTTATTAAATGTGTGCATTTTATGATGTTTTATTGACATGCTGGTACCATCTGACAGGGGTGGGGTGGTGTGGTAGCCTAGTGGTTAAAGCATTCACTTGTCACGCCGAAGACCCGGGTTCGAATCCCCACATGGGTACAATGTGTGAAGCCCATTTCAGGTGACCCCACTGTGATATCTCTGAATTACAGCTGAAAGCGACGTAAAACCAAACTCACTCACTCACTCACCAATCACACTCTATTTTTAGATTGTATATTAATTTAAAATAACTCACTCACTCAATCACCATCTGACAATTTATTCTTAAAATGATATACTAGGCCTGATATACTTCTGTTATAAAATAACCAAGGCATACATCGTTCAGTAAGTCATTACAAATTATTCGGGAATAGAAATACAAGGATGCCATAGGGCACCAGACAGATTATTTAGCTGTGCCTTTGTGAAAATAGGTGTGCCCATACCATTTGATGATCCAATTAAACGTAAAACATCACAACAATTATGTCATTTCAATTTACTGTTTAATAAATCAGTACCAGGGGCGTTAAAAAAAGTAGTCAGCCTAACTATATTCTCGATGTCTAATGTTTGAAAAGCTTCCATTTTATTTTGAAGGAATCATTAGCAAAGCCATATCCCAAATTTCACATATCAGGGTAATGTGGTTCACGAGATATTAGTCATCACAACCTTTGGGGTATAATATTTCTTTAAAAATTACAGAAAACGATCTGTCATTTTGTACCTCTTGGATAATGGTATGCCCTCAGATAATATCATATGAAATATGTTCAGTATAGTATTGGATGGCTACCTGTCATAATCAACATTTAAAGATTTGGATTGCTTGACTTATATTTAGACAGGGGCATTTTTTTAAGAACACCCCCATTTTAATCTTTCAAAAACATTGTGTCCAGATATTCAACTGTTAACAATATATTGGGTGCTAACACTTGTGTGACCATTCAGGATTTAGTTTGAACCCTTTGCATTATGTATGAATAAGTGAAAACATTAGAATAAGTTATGTCCTTATAATTACGTCATCTGAAAGGGGGTAGGGTAGTGTCTCCAAATCAAGCTCTTTCAGTAAACATCCCTGTCACTTTACCTAGCGATCGTAGTCTCAAATTGCTTTTTTATGCACTTTAATATATAAGTTTGATTCTAGTGGACTTCTGCCTATCCCAAACACACAAAATGTTTTTTGAATATTTTGTTCCCTGATGTTTGTGATGCTTTTATTGCAGATTTTGCCTTTTGGGGGTACCAAGATAAAAAGTCAAACAAAATGGGGATCGTGAGGCTGGAACATAGCAAAACCAATTTGCTTGGGGTTGACAGATAATATCTATAAAAAGAAAACATAAAACAGCTGCATTTGTAACATTTTCTAGGTGGGGCTTAGAACATTTTGGACGCCCCTAGTAAACCTATAAACTCGATGGCTGGACACATTTTTCTTAAACACTATCATGACTGCAAGAATAGTTCAGCTTCAGTTGTCCTGGACCCATAAACTATCCCACAATCCATGTTATTATCCAAAACAGGATTTCCTGCCAGGGAATATTTCATCTGTGCCATGTCAGTTTTTACTGCGCCATGGCACACAAATGAAGCACTAATTCGATCCCTGTTATGAAAACATCATGACAAATGTGTATGGCTAATGGAATACAAACTTGCACACTTATTAAATACATTATAATATTTACCCATGGTGATGCTAGTACTACTAAGTAGTATATTAACACAGAGTTGAACCCTTTTCACGTATCTTACAACTTTATGGATATCACAGTGGAACCTGCATCTCTGGACACCATATATACCCTACGTAAAGTATAAAGTGTACTGACTGACTGACTGAGTTTAGTTTTACGCCGCTTTTAGCAATATTCCAGCAATATCACGGCGGGGGACACCAGAAATGGGCTTAGCACATTGTGCCCATGTGGGGAATCGAACCTGGGTCTTCGGCGTGACGAGCCAACGCTTTAACCACTAGGCTACCCCACCGCCCCTAAAGTGTACTGAACAAAATGTTTCATTTGGTTTCAAATACTGTACTTCAAATGCAGCTTGTGGATCCTGATAGTGAATTATAAGTGCCACTAGTGCGAAATACAGAGTACTGTATCCCTCTTCCTGGATAAAAGCATGCTACACAAAGACTGTTTTGCAGTTCATCACCCCACATGCAATATGAAATATGACATGATCATTAAGGCTGTTACGATTCACGTGCATATTCGGTGAATCGAACCGTAGCCCTTCATGAATTCAATTCATTATTCGTGGTCACCAGAACCGAATATTTACGAATATTTTAAAGGAGTGTGTTTTACTTGAACCATTATGTTCTTTTTCAAAGTGAGATATGCAATTATGGAATATGTACTAGCCTTGTTGTAGCGCACGCTATGTTAGTTTGCCAAGGTCACACATGGTACTGTTGACTAACTATTACATACCAAATTTGAGTGTCGTGAGATCACTGATTATTGCTGTGACAAATTAACACTATCAACATGGGCGTTCCACTTAGTGCATCAATCACTTAACTACAATATTGTATTCATGAATAATTATTCATATTCGTTACCCAATATTCGTGATACGTATCATACTCGCCAAATAGTGTATTCGTTGCAGCCCTAATGATCATTGATGTCTTTTAGCGGCATTTAGAAGTCGTTATAGATGACCAAGATATTTAAGACTTCACCTGATGAAGGGATCTGTAATGATCCCATAATGTTGTGTGGGAAAGAATAAAGAAGCATAAATCCATAAAATATCTTGGATCATTGTTTAAAGTGTTGATCTACTCATGTCATTACACATACTGGTTGTACATAAATGTTCTTTGTACATCTGGACCGAGGTTTGTAATCTGCTTTATAATTGTATTCAAAATTTCATTCAATATTGTTTGCATTAGTTTTGGCAAAATCATGACTGATCAACCAAATCACTGTTATGTACACCAACTACTAGCAGTTTACCTCCATTTAACCTTTGAAATGAACAGTAGTTGATAATCAATGAAAATGTCAAACCTTCAAGAATTCAATATCTTTATTTGTTAAGGCATGACAATTATATTCCCACATAACGTTTCACAATCGATATAAACTGGGCCATGGGAAATCTTAACAATGACTGATCAAGCTGTGCCGTATATCAAAATATTGACAATAGCGGGTTACCTCACCGAGTTGAGTAGAACCATAACAGCTGTTGCTCATTTCCTATTGATTGTCAGTCTGTCGCATAATTATGTTTCATTGAGTGGAGAGTTACAGAACTGCCAATATTTCACGCTTCATGGAATCATTGGGACCTCATTGTAAACAAATGTGAACTGATCTCTTAGTAAATGAGCTCTAATTATTTGTGATTATGTCCATGGTCCCCTCATAACACATTGGGTAATTACATTAACTTATCACTAACAAATTCATTACATTAGCTTCCTAATTGTGTGAAGATATCCTCATATTGCATGTTGGTTAATTAAATCCCATTGGTTGGACTACTAATGCACAGGCCTAAGCAAATGAATTAGATTTTCAGTTTGAGATGTTGGGATATGGATTAGCCTATGATGATAAATGATGATTTTTATGGAGGAGTATGTACAATGTGAATGACAAAGCACTGACACCCCTTAAAATTTACGTACAAAATAAGCGACCCCCCTGCATGTCATGTACAAATTAAATGAACCCCTCTCCCATAATATTTAAGCATAATTGTTAAATATTCTTATGTACAAAATTGCTGACACCCACTACCCACCCCCATTCCATGTGTACAAAATTAATGACCCCTCTACCTCCCAAGAACACGCACACGCTAGAAAGTGTCCTGAGCTTAATATTACCCTTTGTCAAGAGTCTGAAACAACCTTGGATGTAAGAGGCAGTGTACAGGATTGGGTGGTAGGGTGACTTGTGCGGTGGTGTCTCAACATGTCCAAACAGCCTAGATCAGGGCTCCAGATACATTTTCAACATCAGGAGTACGTACTCCTTACTTTATTCAATGCAGGAGTACTGGAAAACTTTGAGAGTACATTATGAGTACTTAATGGAATTTAATGGAGTACCAGTAATCTTGTGTTTCGTTTTATGTATGCATCACAACATTGCTGGGGCGTGGGGTGCTAAGGGTTGTGTAAACAGGTCAAATAAACAATAAAACAATACTGGTGTCCCCCGCCATTGATGTTGCTGGAATCGTCTGTAAAACCAAACTCAAATGTCAGTCAGTCAGTCACAACATTGACTTGTGTACATAAACATTAAAACTGTAGTTTTTGAATAAATCGCTACTGTAAATGATTCTAAGAAATTATTTGCCTACCGTATCATGCAGCATTTTATATCCTACCATATAAGGTGCACATTAATATATCCCATATGATACAGAGCCCTATCTGAGCCCTGCTAGATTATTGTTCATAATATCAATCACTATTTATAAATTGTTTTACACTTTGCATGCATGCACAAAATTTTCAAGTAGAGATCAGTCAGCATAATTAGTAATTACTGCACTAATACAATATTTTGGTTAATATGATTGTATGCACAATATGGCGAAACTTAATAATTATTGACATACAAATTTAGTTAAGTGATTGATGCACCATATATGAACATATGTTTGAAATGTTAATTTGTTATAATAACCAGTTATCTCATGACAGTCAAATTTGGTATGTAATAGTTTATAGTGGACTGTACCATGTGCGGCCTTGGCAAACTAACATGACTTGTGCTACTGCAAGGCTAGTACATATTCCATAACTGCATATCTCACTTTGAAAAGAACATAAGGGTTCAAGTAAAACACACTCCCTGTAAATATTTGTTAATATTCGGTTCTGGTGACCACGAATAGCGAACTGAATTCATGAAGGGCCATGGTTCGATTCACCGAATATGCGAGTGAATCGTAACAGCCTTAATAATTAGTGAAAAGAAACCCTAATGAACTGATATGGTCTGTTTGAGCCCAACTCAGAAATCAGCATCTTTTTAGGTGTTCAGTGTTTTCAGACAAAATATTTCAACAATATAACCATTGTCTTTATTGTGTTTATATGGTACAGTAGACTGTGTATAAGGACCACGCTTTTAACGACCTGATGGATAATAAACTTGTTTTGGGCCCTAGTCACTTGCAGCATACTTTTATACAGGCTGGGGTAGCTGATGGATAATAAAGCTTGTTTTGAACCCGGGTTCGATTCCCCACATGGGTACAATATGTGAAGCCCATTTCTGGTGTCCCTTATATAGCTGGAATATTGCTACTATAGTAAAAACTCACTTCACTATGGTTTGTAACAAACTACAGTCATAACAAACTAAAATTAGTGGATCCGTAGAGCTCTTTGCATTTGTAATATACTGTATTACTTCATAATATTGCTGCATTTTTAAAATAGCAAAAATCTTTTAAACATGTTAGATAGTCAGCTCTGGAATGAGCTGTTCTATTTCATTGTACAATAGTTAAAACAAGTTTTCCTTCATAATGAAAAGGATTGGTGCTTAAACATGTTAAGCAGAAGTAATAGCAAATGCCTTTGACCTTTTTTCTATAAGATTATCATAATTATGTTGTTTAAATGACATACAGTTTGCGCTCACATTATTAATGTTGACTGGAATATCCCTTTACATTCTATTAGGATGCCATGTCTACATAAATAATTGTAACAGAAGTAAAAAGTTGTATTTATTGATATGCTTTGTACATATATATCAGGATACATATCTATTCAGTTTTGGGACAAGTGTTTATTAGGGAGGAAACAGTACGCTCTTACCACGGTATGGTGTATATTGCGGTACAAGGCCTTCGGTTCGGTCCGTTTCGGTATGGTATATGAGATTTGAAATATCGTCCGTCTAGCAAAAAAATGCATGGATTCTGAGAAAATGATTCGATTTCTAGACATTTTAGAAAAGGTTTAAAAAGGTTGATAAAATGACGGTATGAAATCCGAAAATACCAAATTTTTGGATTGCACTATGGTATACTGAACCGAAGGCAAAATGCTGTGGTTCTACTAATACCGCGGTATGCTGTTTCACCCCTAGTGTTTATATGCTGCTTTTGTAAAACATGTGTCTGTATTCAGAAGATAAAGCTACTCGGTTTTCAATTTTACGGTCCTTTATCGTTGATTTAAGACCGCTAAATGTAATTTAAAAACCGAACGCGTTAGCGTGAGGTTTTAAATAAAACATTTAGCGGTCTTAATTGTATTGTACTATGTGGCCTCTTTGACAGGAATAAACTATATAGGATCAGAGGTACAGATAAGCTGCGTATCTGCATAAATTACTCAAATATTTATGTGAAAACTCCATTCTTATTAAGTCTATTGCGTAAAGTATGCTTGAATTTTAATAAATACACAATAATTTTGATCTTACATGCCTACACACGAAAATGTCGAATCTTAGCTTGCGTACCGGTATAAAATAACCGAGGTATATTCAGACGGTTCTATTTCAACACATGAACAAGGCAATTTGCAGTCTTTATTATCGTTTCTCATATTACAGATCCAATATGAATAACATTTAAACTTTATTATATTTTTACAATTAATGGAAAATGGTAAAATACCCAATTGAGTTTGAGTGAGGTGGGTACAATTTATTTGGTTACTCAAAGGAAAATTAGGATACCCAATTGAGTACATAACTCAATGACCCAAAAAGTTATCTGTAGCTCTGTAGGATGCCTGTCAGGTAGGTCTGAAACTGATGTCAACTAAAACAAAAAACATGAAATCGTTGTGGAAGCAAGTAGCATTTGATAGATATGTCCTGCTACTTTCCAGAAAGATGTCTGGAAAATAAGGGATTGAGAGCAGTAGGGATCCCTGTGGAACATGTCGAGGGGCAGTGGTCGCCTTGGACTGATGGGTGCTCTCCATCGCCAGTCCATGTTTGATGATAAACCCACCGGGTCTGACACAGCCAGTGCCACCCAAGCCAGACTTGAGAGGGACCTAAAGGTGATCACTAAAACACTGTTGTCTTCTAGGCTGGCTATTGATGTAGATCAGAGACATTGATAATAGACTAAATATGAATCGATTATTGATAAATGTCAGAAGAAACTTTGAACAACATTGCAAAAATGTCTGAAAGAAATCAACATATTCATGTCCTTTGTAAATGATGATACATTTGTGCATGTATTACTAACTAAAATAGTATACCATACAGAACATAGTATAGAAGCAGCCCAAGAATAAGACTTAACTTTGTGTATGAAATCAAAGTCATGCCAGCGGACCTGGTTATGGACTGTTGCTATGTAAGTTATAGTGAATACATTCAATTCCATCACAAGAGGCTGCCTCCGTGGTGTAGTGGTTAGAGCGTCCGCCCGGAGAGCGGAAGGTCGCGGGTTCGATCCCCGACCGCGTCATACCAAAAGACGTTAAAATATGGTACTTGTTGGTCCCTGCCTGGCGCTTGGCATTAATGGGTACAAGGACTGGTTGGCTCGGAGTCAGTATAATGTGTCTCAGTGGGACATTCATGCTTCACTGCGGCATGGTATCTCAGTGAGCTAGCACTATAAAACCAGCTTCAGTCTGGGCTAGTACAAGCAGCCGCACATACACACGCATGCACGACGTCATATAAGCGAAATATTCTCAAGCACGACGTTAAACCCAATTTCACCTCACCTCCATCACAAGAATTTTACAGCAGCAATGATGACAAAATATGACCTGACAATATGACAGTCTGTTGACAATTTCAATCAGTTAGTTTTTTTCACTGTCAGGAGGCCAAAGATGACAATGCTCTCCTCCGTTCACAACTTGAAGAGGCCAGGTGAGTGATGCACGATTCAGAATCTTTCATCTATGTTTGACTGAATACACATTTATTAAATTCAATAGATATCTGAATGCAAACAAATATCATCTTAACGTCTCAGTGGATTGATCATCTTCACTTTAACTGAATATAATGTATCTCCTCAATATGTTGCAATGCAGATCTACCCTGAATATGTTGGTGAAGCAGAGTTCCCATGAAGGGTTTGATGAGAGACGAGTCAACCTCCTTAAGTGCCAGCTCATACAGCAAGAGAGACAGGTACATCAGACTGGTACAATGGACTGGTACAACAGACAGGTACATCAGACTGGTACAACAGACAGGTACATCAGACAGGTACAACAGACTGGTACATCAGACTGGTACATCAGACAGGTACATCAGACTGGTACAATGGACTGGTACATCAGACTGGTACATCAGACAGGTACAACTGGTACAACAGACTGGACAGGTACATCAGACTGGGTACATCAGACTACATCAGACAGGTACATCAGACTGGTACATCAGACTGGTACATCAGACAGGTACATCAGACTGGTACATCAGACTGGTACATCAGACTGGTACATCAGACTGGTACATCAGACTGGTACATCAGACTGGTACATCAGACAGGTACAACAGACTGGTACATCAGACAGGTACATCAGACAGGTACATCAGACTGGTACATCAGACTGGTACATCAGACAGGTACATCAGACAGGTACAACAAACAGGTACAACGGACAGGTACAACGGACATGTACATCAGACAACAAACAGGTACAACAGACAGGTACAACAGACTGGTACATCAGACAAGTACAACGGACAGGTACAACGGACAGGTACATCGGACAGGTACAACGGACAGGTACAACAGACTGGTACAACAGACTGGTACAACAGACAGGCACAACAGACTGGCACAACATAACAGACTGGTACAACAGACTGGTACATCAGACTGGTACAACAGACTGGTACAACAGACTGGTAAACAGACTGGTACAACAGACAGGTACAACTGACTGGTACAACTGACTGGTACAACAGACTGGTACAACAGACTGGTACAACAGACTGGTACAACAGACTGGTACAACAGGTACAACTGACTGGTACAACTGACTGGTACAACAGACTGGTACAACAGACTGGTACAACAGACTGGTACAACTGACTGGTACAACAACAGACTGGTACAACAACAGACAGGTACAACAGACAGGTACATCAGACTGGTACATCAGACTGGTACAACAGACAGGTACAACAGACAGGTACATCAGACTGGTACATCAGACTGGTACAACAGACTGGTACAACAGACAGGTACAACAGACAGGTACATCAGACAGGTACATCAGACTGGTACAACAGACTGGTACAACAGAGAGGTACAACACAATCAGACTGGCTTAAGTCATGACGATTCCTGACCAGTGAAGATGTTGGTCCAGGCAGCCATGGCAGTTTGATATGTTGACTGTCTAATCCAACACCTGGATGGTTTTCTTGCAGATGACAACAGACCCTGAACCTGAGAAAAATCAAGACATGCTTATTTAGAACATTAGACAAAGTCCTAAGGAGAAGATGGTTCAGGGACTAGTAATGTCACAACATTCATTGTTGAAATACACAACATTCATTGTTGAAATACATGTAACCTAATATAATGAAAGAAGTGATTTATGTTGAGTTGTAATAATATGTAACACTTGTTGTTGTTTATCCAGATCTTACTTCTCAATGAAGCAGTAGGAAACCGAGCCGCAACACTGATGGAGGTAGAGAATTCCCTGTCCTGGTTGGCTGACACCTTCAGGTAAGTTCTGTCCTTATTTCCTGACAGGTAATGCAGTAATGGAGGCCAAGAATGCTCTGTCCTTATGTCCTGACAGGTAATACAGTGATGGAGGTCAAGAATGCTCTGTCCTTATTTCCTGACAGGTAATACAGTAATGGAGGTCAAGAATGCTCTGTCCTTATTTCCTGACAGGTAATACAGTGATGGAGGTCAAGAATGCTCTGTCCTTATTTCCTGACAGGTAATACAGTGATGGAGGTCAAGAATGCTCTGTCCTTATTTCCTGACAGGTAATACAGTGATGGAGGCCAAGAATGCTCTGTCCTTATTTCCTGACAGGTAATACAGTAATGGAGGTCAAGAATGCTCTGTCCTTATTTCCTGACAGGTAATACAGTGATGGAGGTCAAGAATGCTCTGTCCTTATTTCCTGACAGGTAATACAGTGATGGAGGCCAAGAATGCTCTGTCCTTATTTCCTGACAGGTAATACAGTGATGGAGGTCAAGAATGCTCTGTCCTTATTTCCTGACAGGTAATACAGTGATGGAGGCCAAGAATGCTCTGTCCTTATTTCCTGACAGGTAATACAGTGATGGAGGCCAAGAATGCTCTGTCCTTATTTTCCTGACAGGTAATACAGTGATGGAGGTCAAGAATGCTCTGTCCTTATTTCCTGACAGGTAATACAGTGATGGAGGCCAAGAATGCTCTGTCCTTATTTCCTGACAGGTAATACAGTGATGGAGGTCAAGAATGCTCTGTCCTTATTTCCTGACAGGTAATACAGTGATGCTCTGTACTTATTTCCTGACAGCTAATACAGTGATGGAGGTCAAGAATGCTCTGTCCTTATTTCCTGACAGGTAATACAGTGATGGAGGCCAAGAATGCTCTGTCCTTATTTCCTGACAGGTAATACAGTGATGGAGGTCAAGAATGCTCTGTCCTTATTTCCTGACAGGTAATACAGTGATGGAGGTCAAGAATGCTCTGTCCTTATTTCCTGACAGGTAATACAGTGATGGAGGTCAAGAATGCTCTGTCCTTATTTCCTGACAGGTAATACAGTGATGGAGGTCAAGAATGCTCTGTCCTTATTTCCTGACAGGTAATACAGTGATGGAGGTCAAGAATGCTCTGTCCTTATTTCCTGACAGGTAATACAGTGATGGAGGTCAAGAATGCTCTGTCCTTATTTCCTGACAGGTAATACAGTGATGGAGGTCAAGAATGCTCTGTCCTTATTTCCTGACAGGTAATACAGTGATGGAGGTCAAGAATGCTCTGTCCTTATTTCCTGACAGGTAATACAGTGATGGAGGTCAAGAATGCTCTGTCCTTATTTCCTGACAGGTAATGCAGTGATGGAGGTCAAGAATGCTCTGTCCTTATTTCCTGACAGGTAATACAGTGATGGAGGCCAAGAATGCTCTGTCCTTATTTCCTGACAGGTAATACAGTGATGGAGGTCAAGAATGCTCTGTCCTTATTTCCTGACAGGTAATACAGTGATGGAGGTCAAGAATGCTCTGTCCTTATTTCCTGACAGGTAATACAGTGATGGAGGTCAAGAATGCTCTGTCCTTATTTCCTGACAGGTAATACAGTGATGGAGGTCAAGAATGCTCTGTCCTTATTTCCTGACAGGTAATACAGTGATGGAGGTCAAGAATGCTCTGTCCTTATTTCCTGACAGGTAATACAGTGATGGAGGTCAAGAATGCTCTGTCCTTATTTCCTGACAGGTAATACAGTAATGGAGGTCAAGAATGCTCTGTCCTTATTTCCTGACAGGTAATACAGTGATGAGGTCAAGAATGCTCTGTCCTTATTGGCTGTACTGATGGTGAGAAAGCCTTGGGCATCTATTCCATAAGGGATCTAAATATAATCATTGCCTTTACACTTTTACAATCTACGCTTACCCACTTTCCTGATGATGTTATTGGTCTGTTCAGGTCTCACATTGCAGCAGAAGTAAAGGGCAGCACTGTTCCAGTGCTAAGATCAGACCTTGTCAAGATGGTCGAAACAGCCGAGTCGGCCAGAATCAAACTATTCAAAAATATCCAGGTACATGTAATTATATGTTTTTAGACAAAAGGATGGCTGATTTTGGATATTGAAGCAAGGTTATGATTTGATGGAAAAGATAAATTGCCCTAGAAACTGCTTGAAATAAACAATAACGAAAGAAATTGTTCTGCTTTAAAATTATATTTATCACTCTCATGGTGAGTTTATTTGACAAGTATTCAGGCTCTTATTTAAAAAATTCTGGTTTTGCAGCTGTAGCTGAGAAATATTTGTCAACATATAAATTCCAAGGTCCTTCCCCGCCCAGTCCCAGAATATCAAACGTTCAATTTTAAACTTTTCCTATCTCACGACTTGCACCTCTCTCTCTTGCTTCGACTTTTAGTGGAACGACTGTAAACTTTTTTCCATAAGCCTCCTTGTCCATTCACCCGTGCACTCCATGCTGCTCTCCTTAATTAGCTTCCTAGTTCCTAATAAAGCTTGCAGCATGCTCCACTAATTGCCCACGTGACTACCTTGTATGATCATTCTCTTTCTTGTTGCACGACTGTGTGGACGTGCTGTATGTTAGGGATATTATTTCACCCTAACATCATGGGGAAAACAGATAATCAGTCAAGGAATAGGAAAGTTTGTGCTCAGTGGAAGACGAATTATTCGTCCCTCGACCCTCACTCGTCTTGCAGTGACTGTATTGGACAATGTAACTGGAACAAACGATGTGGCAAGTGTTATTCAAGATGAGGATTTTAAGGCCTACCTTCGTGTTTGCTCTCGGAGAAACGCCGATAGGAACAGGAAATCAACAGAATCTGATCCCACTCCCGCCAAGCGTATCAAGTTACAGCGACACAAAATCGTACCTTCACGCAAGAGAGTGACGTCTGTGGTTCAAGATGATTTTATGGAAGCTTCATCAGATTCTTACTTATCTGAGGACGTTCAGCACCTATTACGTACGCATCAGTCACCTCCTTCCATAGCGTCAGATCACTCACGGGGGTTGTGATCGATAATTCATCGTTGCCTGTCCCATCTACACTACCAGGGGACCTTAGATCGACTCTATCATCATCCAGATCATCGGTACATATCCCCTCGACTGTCTCAGTTTGTTTGGAGCCATGCCAACTGCGTTCAACCAGCCAACTGTTCCCCCACAGTTCATGGAACCGGACGGAGCTGGCTACAACAGCGTCGTCGGGGGACGTTCATCATCAATCAACACTTCAGGTTTCGTCACCTAATCGCCAATCCAGATCACCACATCATTCTAGATCACCACATCATTCTAGATCACCACAACGATCTAGATCACCTTCACGATCCAGATCACTATCACAAACCCGATCTAGATCACTGGATCAATCCAGATCAGTCACGATCCAGAGCACAACTACAATCCACATCGCCTGATCAATCCAGATCACAACATCAAAGTAGATCACCTAACCGATCCAGATCACCAAATCAAGCCAGATCGCAACTGCAAACCAGATCACCTGTTCGATCCAGATCACCTTATAGATCCAGATCACGATCACAGTTTCCAGTTAGTGCATCGTATCGATCCAGATCACTTTACAAATCCAGATCATCTTACCAACCCAGGTCACCTATACGATCTAGATCACCTTACAGAGCCATTGACCAAGCGGGATCACAGTACAGATCCACATCTCATGGCCGATCCTATTCGAAAGCTACATAGACGATTGCATCCAGGCTCAACAGGATCCGATCGTATTGCTTCGCCAGCTACAGTTCACCACCACGCTGCTCAGACAGTTAGGGTGGCTGTTGAATATCGCGAAATCGGAACTAATACCGACTCAGACACTCCAATTCATCGGAGCACTGTTCGACACCGTCAGGGATGATGTTCGTCCCTCACGACAGGTGGATAAAGATTCAGCAATGCATTCCTCCAGCACTGTCTCAGGCGAGAACCTTACGACAGTGGCAGGAGCTACTGGGCCTTCTAACGTCAGCTCAAGCCTTGACGTACAGAGGCCAGCTCCAACTTCGGCCAATACAGCGATTTCTACTCCCGTACCTTCAGGCCGACAACCCCAAGGAACTGATTTGCCTTCCAGAATCACTTCGTCCAGTCCTTCAATGGTGGCTTGACGAACAGAATGTTTGTGCCGGAGTCTCTATGATGCCCTTTGCACCGACTCATCACCACCAAGTGGCCGGGCTGTGGTCATCCAACGAACGGGTACTTCATATAAACGAGCTGGAATTCAAGGTGGTAATTCAAGCCATCTCACATTGGGCAACAGAGCTTCAATCAACCAGTCTGTTGATCCAATCAGACAATTCGACAGTGGTTTGGTATATAAATCATCTAGGTTCGACAGGCTCGGCGAATCTGCTACAATGGGCGATCAGGTTCTTCCATCTCATCGACTCACTCAACATTGTAGCCAGAGCCAGACACATTCTCGGGGTAAAAAATGTGATCGCCGATGCCTTGTTCTGATCCAACCGACCATCCCCGACAGAGTGGAAGTTACTGCGCCAGATCTTTCAGTCGATAATCTACCCACTATCACGGCCTCAAATAGATCTGTTCACCACAAGGTTCGTCAATCTAAGAAGCCTGGCAGAGCCAAACCCAGTACCGCTTTCCAACCGGGACGACCTACTTCTTCACCCTCTCTCGGAACTGCGCCACGGGTCACCTCAGACCCTCAATCTACATGTTTGGCGCATCTTCAGAGGTCTCTCATAGCTAAGGGCTACTCTCGCGGAGTAGCCACAGCTATCACTTCAGCGCATCGTACTTCGACCCGTTCCTTGTACAACAACAAGTGGAAGAAGTTTGAAGACTATTGTAAGGTTAGGGGAATTGCATCTCCCACTTCTCCCACTGAGTTTCTCCAGCATCTCCGGACTACTAAGGTATTACGTTAGCTACCTACTTAGCCGCCATCAACACAGTTTTGGCTACCACCACGGGCACGAAGATTTCCACTGTTCCTGAGTTGCAGAGTCTACTACGCTCCTATAGACTCGCTGACCAGTCCAGGAAGTTCAGACCTCCGGCCTGGGATCTGTCCGTCGTCCTTCGTCATATGATTTCTACAGATTATGAACCTTTAGAAGACAAGGACTTCAAACAAGTGACATTCAAGACATTCTTCCTGGTAGCTTTGGCTACCGCTGCTCGTATATCTGAACTGCATGCGCTTGATGTCAACTGGACCGGATGTTTACCATTCCCCCGTTGTCCACCATTCTTGGGCCTGGTGATTAGGAAGATTTGAAACTCTGCCCTGTTAGGGCTCTACACGTTTACCTTGCTGCCTCCAAGGATCGTCGAACCGCTACGGAAGCGCCTCTTCATACCCTTGTCGACCGCTTCAAGAACTGAGGTTTCCCGGACCACATTGGCCCTCTGGATGCGTGCCACGATCCTGCGAGCCTACACCTTTGCAGGGTTGCATCCTCCAGCCGCTTCCAATCCTCATGAGACTCATGCCTCAACGATGGCCCTCCATAGCAACTGCTCCTTGATCGCTATCATGGAAGGTTGCTTCTGGCGTTCTGATACAGTCTTCTCTTCACATTACCTGCGAGACCTGTCTGTCACGGATGTACAGGGACTACACCAGTTCCGGACCTCTTGTACTGGCTCAGCAGCTTACATCGACCCAACAACGCAGATGAGGAACGGTTCCGCATTCATGTTACTGCTTCCTTGTATATACTTAATAAAAGTTGAACTGGATCTAAACCTTTTGTTCTCATTATATGGGTTTAAGAACTACTTCACTTGGCATCCATACCAAGGCATCGGAATATGTCCTCCTAGCGGCCACCTTGGAGATGCCGAGTTGTTTCTCTTTCACCCGCCTCGGTCGGTGTCTGGGGGGCCTTCTTGAAGCAGGGGCTGGCACGATTCTAGTCGCAAGACTTTAATAACAGGGGTACCTTGTAAATCGTGCCAAGTTGCGTCCTTTGTCTTGTACAAGGTTGCGGCCGAACACCACATCGCTCGGGAGCGCCCATCTCCCTGGGAGTCGTTGTGCTTAGTAAACCAAGGGGTTCCGGAGAACCCACTACAAGCATAGGAGTTGCGTGCATGCGTAACAGGCCTCCCTTGTACATCGCTATCTACGGTTGTCATCAGTCCACACAGCTCCAAGACCAGCTGTTCGCACTGTCCAGACAGAAGGGTAATCTGTGGCCCGCCGTCCAACCGTAGGATAAGTGCAAGTCGTGAGATAGGATAAGTTTAAAAATTTTGAAATTTTAATATATATTGTATATTTATATACTTATCCCGCGATGGATGCCCGCCCGGCCTCCCCACTACTCAGATTACAAAGTTGGCTCCAAGATGAGAATGATCATTCAAGGTAGTCACGTGGGCAATTAGTGGAGCATGCTGCAAGTTTCATTAGGAACTAGGAAGCTAATTAAGGAGAGCAGCATGGAGTGCATGGGCGAATGGACAAGGATGCCTATGGAAAAAAGTTTACAGTCGTTCCACTAAATGTCGAAGCAAGAGAGAGGTGCAAGTCGTGAGATAGGACAAGTATATAAATATACAATTTATATTAAAATTTCCAATTCCTTACTTATCTAGTCAGTCCTACTAGACATGAGAAGAGAAATGTTTGGTCAGTCAGGTATGTTTACTGTGATTCTGAAGATTGGTATTGATACAGCCCCTGTCCCACTGATACCCAGGCACTGTGAGTGACCTTGATTCTCCCACAAATTGGACAATGATGGATAACAAAAACAACATTGTACTTGATATCAAACCATTTTGTATTTCAGAATTCTTCCCAGGAGCATTTGTCGAAGCCGCTTCTACTGATAAATGACTTCCTTCGTCCTGGTCTCCAGAAGGACTATACTCTGCTGGATGTGGCATCAGGCAAACTGGAGCACCTCAATCTCAAACGAGTGGTATGTCTCTTAAAGCATGATCTGAACCTTGACTGTAGTTTTGGTGTTTGTATGCTGTTGTATGTTGTGTTGACTGGTTGTGTCATGTGTTTGCTAGATGTGGCTGTGTAAAATGTGTTGATTGTTTCTGGTTTAAGGATGTGTTCTGCTTAAACTGGATGCAGTTCTGTGTTTATTGGATGTTTTGTGTTTTCAGGATGCAGTTATGTGTTTATTGGATGTTGTTCTGTGTTTACTGGTTGCAGTTATGTGTTTATTAGATGTTCTGTGTTTACTGGTTGCAGTTCTATGTTTTTTTATGTTCTGTGTTTACTGGTTGCAGTTCTGTTTTTACTGTTTGCAGTTCTGTTTTTTATGTTCTGTGTTTACTGGTTGCAGTTCTGTTTATTTATGTTCTGTGTTCTGTGTTCTGTGTTTACTGGTTGCAGTTCTGTGTTTACTGGTTGTGGATGTTCTCTGTTTACTGATTGCAGTTATGTGTTTATTGGATGTTCTGTGTTTACTGGTTGTAGTTCTTCTGTGTTTACTGATTGCAGTTTGTGTGTTTAGTTTGTGATGTTCTAGTTCTGTTTACTGGTTGCAGTTTTGTGTTTACTTTGAAGTTCTGTGTTACTGATTGCATTTGATGTTCTGTTTGTGTTTACTGATTGCAGTTATGTGTTTATTGGATGTTTTGTGTTTACTGATTGCAGTTATGTTCTGTGTTTACTGGATGTTCTGTTTACTGATTGCAGTTTTTGCAGTTATTGGATGTTCTGTGTTTACTAGTTGCAGTTATGTGTTTACTGGTTGTAGTTCTGTTTACTGATTGCAGTTTTGTGTTTATTTGATGTTCTGTGTTTACTGGTTGTTTTGTGTTTATTTACTGATTGCAGTTATGTGTTTATTGGATGTTCTGTGTGTATTGGTTGCAGTTATGTGTTTACTGATTGCAGTTATGTGTTTACTGGTTGCAGTTCTGTTTACTGATTGCAGTTTTGTGTTTATTTGATGTTCTGTGTTTACTGGTTGCAGTTATGTGTTTACTGATTGCACTGGTTGTTTTGTGTTTTCAGATGCAGTTATGTGTTTACTGGTTGCAGTTTGTGTTTATTGGATGTTCTGTATTGACTGGTTGCAGTTATGTGTGTTTGCAGTTATGATGTTTACTGGTTGTAGTTCTCTGTTTACTGATTGCAGTTATGTGTTTATTGCATATCTGTGTTTACTGGTTGCAGTTATGTGTTTACTGTGTTTACTGGTTGCAGTTCTGTTTACTGATTGCAGTTTTGTGTTTATTGGATGTTCTGTGTTTACTGGTTGCAGTTATGTGATTACTGGTTGTAGTTGCAGTTTTGTGTTTATTGGATGTTCTGTGTGCTGGTTGCAGTTGCAGTTATGTGTTTTACTGGTTTTGTAGTTCTGTTTACTGATTGCAGTTTTGTGTTTATTTGATGATGTTTTTGTGTTTACTGATTGCAGTTGTGTTTATTGGATGTTCTGTGTTTACTGGTTGCAGTTATGTGTTTACTGGTTGTAGTTCTCTGTTTACTGATTGCAGTTTTGTGTTTATTGGATGTTCTGTGTTTACTGGTTGCAGTTATGTGTTTACTGGTTGTAGTTCTGTTTACTGATTGCAGTTTTGTGTTTATTGCATGTTGTTCTGTGTTTACTGATTGCAGTTATGTGTTTATTGGATGTTCTGTGTTTACTGGTTGCAGTTATGTGTTTATTGGATGTTCTGTGTTTACTGGTTGCAGTTATGTGTTTACTGGTTGCAGTTCTGTGTTTATTGGATGTTCTGTGTTTTCAGGATGCAGTTATGTGTTTATTGCAGTTCTGTGTTTACTGGTTGCAGTTCTGTGTTTACAGTTTGCTGTTATGTGTTTACTGGTTGTAGTTCTCTGTTGTAGTGTCATTTGTTATAGGATGTGGCTGTGTGTTTACTGGTTTTGTGGCATTTGTTTACTGGGTCTGGTTTTATTGCAGTCCCAGCTGGAGGCTAAGTTAAGCAGCCTGTACAAGGAACTGATCCGCATGCATCATCTGATCTCCGACGACAAACTGACTGGTGAGAGGATGTGTTCAAGTCACATGACCTCAGCAATAAAGGAGCGACTCAATACACAGGTGCTCCGATCATGTGCAATGATGAAGGACTGTGCTGATGACCTGTTGACCCTGTCACTGCTTTTCCCAAGTGCACCCTGGGTAAGAATGTTAGAAGAAGCAAACATGTTCCTTCATTTATGAGCAGAGTCTTTCACAATGAAATCTCTACTATATGATTTCAAATTACAAATCAATAGCTCTGTGTTAGGATCTGTAAACAGGGGGCGGATACAGCTTTTTGAGAAAGTGGGGATGCACAGTTCATTTTCACCAGTTTTCACGAGAGTTTCAATGGTCATTTAATAAACTTTCAGGACAAAAGCGGGGAGGGTTTTTCTTCAAGACTTGGTAGATATATCCAACAGAAGCTAAAGTGGTGCCTTTTGCTATTTGCAGATTTTTATCTTATTTTTTTCTCGGTTTCCATGGAAACAATTTGAACTTAGTCTCAAAAGGGAGGGGTTGGGTTTCGTTCCAGATCACAACTTGAAAACCATTCAAATTTTTAAATTTATCCTATCTCGCGATTTGCACTTCTCTCTCTTGCTTCGATGCTGAGTGGAACGAATGAGAACTTTTCCTGTAGGCCTCTCTTGTCCATACGCCCGTGTTCCCAAGGCTGCTTTCTTTATAGGACAGGTCCCTAGTCCCCGGCTCAGCGTGCAGCCTGTTCCCCTGTCTACCCACGTGACTACCTCAGAGTGATCATTCTTCTTCTTGTCGCACCACTGTGTGGACGTATTGTGAGAGTTCTCAGCTTTTCTTACAAGTTAACATGAGAAATATATCATGGGTAGTTGACTCTAAGTAGCGTAATTTTGCGCACACTGTAACAATATTTTCTTCCTCGGATCCCCACCTGTCATGTGTGGGTTGTATTGACCTGTGTTCCTGGAGCAAATGTTGTCGGGAATGTGCTCCCTTATCAAGGACGTTTTTAGAGCATATAGACATGCTTGCTCCCGTTGGCTGGCAGAAAGAGCTTGTCACACTTCAACAGTTGATCACCTGACAAAACCCACGCTTTCAACGACCAGTATTAACTGCTCGTTGTCCGGAGATTCCAATGTCGGAAGGTGATGATCTTATTGGCGCATCATCAGATGTCTACTCGTCGTTCCGCCTCATTGAACCACTCTGTGTTGCCAGCTGACTCGCACCGCCAATCTACATCGTCAAATCGCCAAACCGATAAACCACACCGAATGGATTCACCAGACCGAACTGTTTCGCCCCGGCGTATTGGATTACATCGACTCAATTTGCCATAAATAAGACTGTTTCTTATCGCCGAAACGGTGATAAGTCATCGAGGCTAATTAACGGGATCGGGTGGTTTCGATTCACAGCACCGAAACGGTTCGCCTCGCCATAACGGCTCTCTTCACCGAAACGATTCACCTCGTTGAACCAATTCACCTCGGCCGGAACATTTCACCTTGCTTCACCGGTTCATCTGATCGTTCTAGATCTCTCCATCAGCTGAGATCATTTAAACGTTTCGGATTACCGAACCGATCCAGATTACAGTCACAATCCAGATCACAACACCGATCCAGATCACATTAACGTTCCGGCCCACCACCCAGAACCAATTTACCAGCCCGACTCGTACTGTTTCACCAGGCCGAACTGCTTACTATCGCCGAACCAGTTCACTTGGCCGTTCAAGATCACTGAATTGCCAGCATTCATCGAACTGTCAGCATTCGTCAATAATCCGTTCCTCGGACCTTGCCAGCAATTGAGCTGATTCACGAATTGGGCGATTGACCACTCGTGTTATTTCCAACACGGTCATCTTACCAGCCTATCAGAGCCTATGCCAAATGTGTCTGGGATGCCTATTGATTACATTCAACATGAAGGATCGGGGACTTGTAAACTGGTTTTCTACATCCTCAACGAGGTTCGTGAACTTGCATCTAGATACGGCCAAATTTGTCGAACTCTGCTAGTTTTCAACATGATCCTAGTTTTCAGGGCATCTGTGAGGCGCTGAATTCCTCATTACGGAGTGGCAAGCTCTAAGCACAACAATTTGATTTGTTTATCAGGTTTACCTTACAGCTTGTAAGGCGATTAATGTTTTTAGTCACATAACTTATCCCACCTGGTACCCCCTTTTTCGGCTGGTTGAACAGAGGTAGTAGCTATGTTCTTCACCATGCCGAATCAATTTACATTTGATTTCAGTAGCGCAGTCATCTAGACATATCACGCTCGGCACTTGTCGGTCTGACGATCCCAGTTCTCAAGAGTCCTCCGTGACCAGGGCTCATCTCATTACAGATTTAATCTACCATCCGATCTTCACCTTTGATGAATGATTCGGTTCAACGAATCTACCATTCGGTGTAGATATCAGTTCTTACCAGATAAGCTTGCTAGCCAGGAATACTTTACGACACTTCACTGAGTCTTGTTACTACAGACTACACGTAACAGCATGTTTGTGTATCGCTGGGTGCAATTATTGCAGATGGTTCGTCATCTTCAGCTCCCTTTGTTTTACATGATAAGCAAGTTTCTGGACAGATAACAGATGGGTCAAGTTTTTGCGCATGGTACCAGCAGTGATGTTTTGTCAAGTAGCCAGCATCGCTTAGCCCGGAATTTATCGGTTGCGACTCGCCCGGTTAACCGAAGACCGTGATGTCCGTTTTTTTGTCACTATTGCACCATGTGTAACGGTTGCAAATGGCGGACTACTGTTTGTTTACCGGAATTTTGATGATTTGAGTGACTATGAAGTGCCCTTGCAGACTTGTCTTGGACCCCTAGACAGCTGGTCTAACCCACAACTTTTTGCCAGTGGCAGAAGTTACTAGGGTGGTTGAACGTCGGCACTGTAATTGCGCTGACTTACAGGGCCAGCTGCAGCTTCAGCCCTCTCCGGATGTTTCTGTGCCCATACATCCAGGACTTGATTACAAACCCAGGGAGTTGATTCATCTTCCTGTACAACTACATTTCAGTGCATTTGAGTCGATGGTGGCTGAATCCAGAGTGAAATGTTTGCATTTAGGGTGGAGTCTCTATGGTGCTTCTCTCAGATGGCTGGGGGCGCCACTTTCTCCATCAAGTGGCCTAGCAGTGGTCATCAGGAGAAAGGGCCCTTCATATCAACGAATTGGAATTCAGCACTGTCATTTCCATCGCCTAGCGTCATCGGTATTGGGCAGTTGAACAGTTCACGGTCCTCTCATATACTGATTCAAGCAGATAATTCGATGGTAGTTTGGTACATAAACTCTCAGGGGTGGACAGGATCAGCAGTTTTGCTTCAGTTGATGTTTCAAATTTATCATCTGATGGATTCACTAAACATAGTGGCCAAAGCCCGACACATTCCCGGGATGAAGAATGTCATGCCGATGTCCTGCACACCCCGCCACCTTGCGGAGTGAAGAAAAATACTGCCCCTGATATTCCAATCGATGATCTACCTGTTGTCATGACCAGATGTAGACCTGTTAGCCACTCGGTACAACCATCAGCTTCAGCGCAGGTGATCACCAGTTGCGATCGTTTCTGCTTTGTGTACAATCTGAATAAAATGCTGAATTTTATTTCTGATTTGTGTCTTCGATTCTCCCGGGACTTAGATTGCTCCTCTCAATATAATTTGAGACTCTGGAGAGTCACCACCTCACTTACTGTCGTCTGCTCTATGGAGTAATTACATCAGTGAAGTGAGTCATTCCCGAAGTGTTACACTCCGTAGCATTCATGCTCCTAAGTACCTCTACACATCTATGTGATCTTACTGTGGTGGAAGTCATAGGATGATGTTGTACTGAACATTAAAATTGTGAGTTTTCCGATTCAATTACCCTTTCACCCTCCACGGGATGGTGTCTGTGGGGGTTGTTTCGAAGCAGGGGCTGGCCCGATTCTAATCGTTAGACTTTTATTACAGGGGTACCTTGGAAATTGTGTTAATGCGACTGATTACATTCGCTAAGCTGCGTCCTTTCACTTTCGTGAAGGTAGTGACTGAACACCACATTGCTCGGGAATCCCGGTCCCTGGGAGCACTTGTGCTTAGTAAGTCAATTGGTTCAGACTATCCCTTGGTAGTTATTGACCAACCTTGTCGTTGCTTCCTACGTATTTAGAAGTGTTAGACAATCTCGCTTGCTGACCTCTACTCCACGGAGCAATCATGTCAGTGTAGTGAGTCCTTCCCGATTTCCTTATGGATTTCGTAGCGTTCTAGCTCCTAAGTACCTTAGCACACCGTTGTGACCTAACTGTGGTAAGTAGTGGAAGTCATGTGGTGTTGTTTTGGTACTGAACATTAAACTTGTGAGTTTTTCCGATTCAGTTTCCTTTTCCCCTCTTCGTGATGGGGTCTCGGGGGCAGTCTCAAAGCAGGTACGGGCCCGATTACTAGTTGTAATTACGGGGTACTCTGATAAATCATGGTGAAGCAAGGTTACATGGCTAGTTACATTTTCTTGCATATGCAAGGGTTGCGGCCAAACACCACATTGCTCAGGAGCACCTAGTCCCTGGGAGCGATGATGCCTAGTACGCCAAGAGGTTCAGGAGAATCCATCACTAGTATAGGTATTATGCCAGTCGGATCCTGTGGCTGAACACCACATTGTTCAGGAGCACACACTCCTTGGGAGCGATGTTGCCTAGTACGCCAAGAGGTTCAGTAGAACCCATCACTACATCAGTAGTATAGGTACTATGCTAGTCAGGATCCTCTTTGACGAACACCACATTGCTCAGGAGCACCCACTCCTTGGGAGCGATGATTCCTAGTACGCCAAGAGGTTCAGGAGAACCCATCACTAGTATAGGTACTGTGCTTGTCGGATCCTGGGGCCGAACACCACATTGCTCAGGAGCACCCACTCCTTGGGAGCTGATGATGCCTAGCAAACCAAGGGGTTCAGGGAGAACCGTGGGATAAGTGCAAAATCGTGAGATAGGATAAGTTTAAAATTTGGAATTTAAATATAAATTGTATATTTATAAACTTATCCTATCTCACACGATGGATGCCCACCCAGCCTCCCCTCTACTCAGATTACGACGGTTATGTATAACTGTCATTGGCTCCAAGAAGAGAATGATCACTCTGAGGTAGTCATGTGGGTAGACAGGGGAACGTGCTGCACGCTTAGCCGGGGACTAGGGACCTGTCCTATAAAGAGAGTAGCCTTGGGAGTGTATGGACAAGAGAGGCCTACAGGAAAAGTTCTCATTTGTTCCACTCAAGCGTCGAAGCTAAAGAGAGAGAGAAGTGCAAATCGTGAGATAGGATAAGTATATAAATATACAATTAATATTAAAATTTCCAATATCTTTCTACAGGACTTGACATATTTATCAAACAGATCTTGAAGTCGTGCCTTTTGCTATTTGCAGATTTATGGCATTTATATTTTTCATGATTTCCATGGAAACTATTTGGACTTAGTCCAAGAAAATCAAGTTGGACGTTAAGTAACTGTCAGATGATTTGTTCTTTCAAATTTATGAGGGCCGGGGGGATTTGTCATCTTCTGATGACTCTTGTTTATAATCTATCTCACCTGACGCTGTAGGTCCTCAGAGCTGTTTGACCACAATAGCATCTCTGTCTCTTTCAGCCAGTTCTGAAGCGACCAGTCATGAAGGATGTGAGCGCTGATGAGTTCCTGTCCTATCTCCCATCCCTGCCACGTGGCAAGTCACAGACAGTACACCATTTGGTGGACAAACTTCTCAAAGTGTGCAACTACCGACACCACATCCAGGACAGAGAGGTATGTACACATCATCTACAGAGCATCTTCTTCACAACAAAACACTTCAAGGATTTAAAACATGCTCTTTCTTGAAGTCCCAACTGTTCCATCAACTTTCATTTACCTGTTCTTGCAGAATACTTTCATTAAATGATCAAAGTGTTGAAGGATAACTGTAAGCTGATGTGCCCTCACTTCATCTTGTTGTAGCAGTGCATGGCTCCAAGTGAGCTCATTCTTATCAAATTTCATCAAGTAGGTTGCAATACCTACCTTGTCTTGACATGGGAGAATGTAGCAGGGAGTGGTGTTATCACACAAATGACATCCCACAAAAGACATCATCACTTGTTTATTGATGTAACGTCTTTGGTTAGATGGACAAAGTGTCCAACCTTAGCCCACAAGTTCCCTGGTTCGAATCTTATAACATGACTTGATAGTATTATGACATCTGCATTGTGTTAGTTCAAGTATTCCTTGACCCTCAGGAGTAGTCCTACATACTTCCTGAAATGAGCACACAGGACAACACTACATTGTGTTAGTAACTTTACCCCTTAGTCATACCTACTTCCCGAAATCAACTGTAACAAGCTATGTTCTGGAGCTGTCCTTGTTGTTTCTTTCTGCTGATGCAGATATATTTTCCAGCTGAAGGCTTTGAGAGAGGAAGTGAAGTTCCATCAATCTGTCTATGATCTGCAGCTGGAGTATACCCATTCTCTCCTGGATGCTGTTAGGTATGTAGACCTAGGCTAAAAGTTGGCATGTTGTTAGAAGTGACTTAATGGATTTGGTTGTGGTGTCCTGTTGCCTTGATCTGGATGCCATTGTACCTCAGCTCTAGAGATGTGACTCAGTCACCGGTTTGTCTGGTCCAGACTGTATTACTTACTGGTCATAATTACAGCTGGAATATTGACTTGTGCAAAGGAACAGCTTAAGGCATAGTTTGGGAGTACACCACCCTTTGCTGTTACTGACAGGTACATTCTCTTGTCAGTGATAGTACTCACTACATCTGTGCAGCTAATGTTTACTGCAGTATCAAATCAATGTGAGTGTAGGATTGACAAGACAATCAGATATAATAAGTCTACCCACCCTCTTTCATGCTTAAATGGTTAAAGTGGAAGTTTACACGATAATACATGTTTTTTCTTTCTTGAAGCAAATTTTGAAATTAGTTAATATAAGTGCTTGACACTATATACTGTGAGTTATTTTGACATATGCTATTTGCAATCTGTGTAAATACAGAGTAACAGCCTTAAAACAGTTATTTTCTATTTCCCACAGTACTTTAATAAGGTCTAATGACATCATTCATTTATCAGTTGGCACCCGTGATGTCATATTGCAAGGGACCCATGAAGATCTGGTTTAGAATATTGATCTTCAGTAACCCATGCTTGTCATAAGAGGCGACTAACGGGATCGGTGGTCAGGCTCGCTGACCTGATTGACACAAGTCATCGGTTCCCGATTGCGCAGATCGATGCTCATGCTGTTGATCACTGGATTGTCTGGTCCAGACTCGATTATTTACATACCGCTGGAATATAGCTGGAATATTGCTGACTGCGGCGTAAAACTGAACTAAACTCTCACTAAACTCACTCACTCACTCACTCATATTGCAAGGGACATAAGCCATTGTGTGTTTATTTTATTGTGGACATAGAGCTCGCTCTCAATGAATGTGCATAATATCAATCGATATAATGCCAAAAAAATAAATTAGGTGCTCATATCTGTACAGTTTTGGCTATGGAACTACTTGACAAGCAAGACAAAAAAGATTGTGTTCAGGAGCAGTGGATTAGCCTTGTGGGTAGAGTGTTTGCTCGTTATAACAAAAACCTGAGTTCAATTTCCGAATTTCCCCACATGGGTCCAATGTGTGAAGCCCATTTCTGAAGTCCCACACAGTGATATTGCTGGAATACTGCTTAAAGGTGCATAAAACCATACTCACTCATTTCGTGTTGATACTTTTCAGAGAAAGTTACAGCGAGTTTGAGACATCTACAAGTGAAGTAATAGTGAAACCTCTCACAGGTAAATATCACAGTCCATTTCCTTCAAGTGAGTTTCATTCAGAGAGGTTGTAGCATTGAAAAGCCCCATGCTCCTAGGTTTTGTCTCGGTTTGATCATTTATGACAGCCCTTGTGGTGCATATGTACCTATATACTAGGTATGACCTTGTGGTATTTATAATCTGTCTGAGTGGGTATTTACACTACAGCTGTACAGTGGGCTGACTATTAGTTACTGGGCTGTATACACACGCATACAGAATGTACAAGGGTCTTACCAGGTATGACCTTGTGGAAATAACAGCCATGGGGATACTATTGTTACACACAACCCCAGTCCAGTGTGTTTTTCTGTCGGGCTAGCAAATTTGTATGTCATACTGTACCGTGTCCACTTGACTCTCCAATGTTAATTATGTTGTTTACAAGAAAATCGGCCAGTATAGTGGAAAAATTATCAGGGCAAGTGATTTTACATGTGCCACTGTACCGGAGTACACTAGCAATTTTAAAGTTATTTCCATCCCTGTCTTACAGAAGGGCACCCACAGGTCAGGGGAAAAGTCAGGGGAAATTTGGCATTTCTCTGAAAGTCAGGGAAAAAGTCAGGTAATTTTGATATGTTTTCAAAAGTCAGGGAATAGTCAGGGAATTTGGGGTTTTGGTCAGGGAAAAATAAGACTCAGAATGTCGCTAATCAGGTATGGTAGTAGTCAAAGTCAAAGAAGCAGCACATGTTACAGACATTTCATGAAATAAATTACAGTTCAGATAAGAGATTGCTTTTAAGCATAACAGCATGTTTTACATAAAGCCCTAGATTACATATTACATTTTCATTTCTGGAGGATAGAATGGAAACAAAGTCACTTGAAGGATATTTTTACAGATAATTATTTGGCATGTATTGTTTTCTTAAATCAGCATAATGTGAATTTCATCTTCTACAGATGGGTTACATAACAGACATATTCTTCTATGAAGCACAATCGGTTGGATTTGTGAATCAAACAATATGAAACATATTTTCCGGGTTAAAATTCCAATATTCTGGGAAAGTGACATAAATTTGATAAGAGCCTTCTTAGCATGTGATTTCAGATTTATAACACTCTTTTTATTTGTATACCGTTCAAAAATATTATAAATAGTATGATAGCTATGGTGGTTTCTTGCAAATTGTGAAAGCCCATTTTGACCAGAAATACCCATATAAGTTTCATTGTTAAAGTACAGCATAGGTTTATAATATGCCCTATGTTCTGACATATGCTGTTTATTCACAAAATTGAAAGTGGTAGAATGGTGTTCATAATCTGTCATGGTTGTAGTGAATGTAAAGTTACATCTTGCATGTTTATTCTTTCCAAATACGCCTTTGATAATTACAACATTTTGTGATAATGAAGAAATTTGTTCCTGACTTTGAATGAAACAATTCAATTAAATCATTAGTTTCACATTTATGCTCTTTGTCAAAAGCCTTTAATATAAAATACAAAGTTTTCAGATGATATATTACTGACTTCACCTGAGAATATATATTTGATGGTCACAGTCAAATGTATCTAATAGTATTATGTAACATTGTGGCAGGAGAGTCAAGGAAAATATTCTTCATCACAAATATCAATGTTTTGGTTAATATAATAAATTAACAAATATTGTATGTATTTATGATATGTGTGAAGGAAATATCTAACAGGGTGGTTAGGACTGACTGAAAGGGAGGAAGGAGGCCAGTTTTTACACTTAAATGGTCAGGGGAAAATCTATACTAGTCAGGGAAAAGTCAGGGAATTTTGGCCTGCCATGCCTGTGGGAACCCTGTGTAACAGTCCCGTACACCCTTTCAAAACACCATGTGACGAATTTATTACCCTTAAGATCTTTTGTTTAGCTTATCTTTAAACAACAACATTCAATCATCGGCAGAATGAGACGCAAAACGTTTCGCCAGGATTTTTCCTGAACTGTCATAAAGGGAGATAACTCGGGATGGCTTAGTTTATGATAAAAATTATCGAATTTGAGGTTTTGCTAAATGACAAGTGAAATACAGAAAAAAATTATTTTTTAGATATATTTATTGACACAAACAAATACGAAATTATGACAATAATTTTATTACTCTGTTTATACTCATTATTGTATACGCCAACTCTAAAATTTCAAAGCGACCAGGCGTTTGGCAGCCACATTCCATCTAAGGTCAAGGTCATTAGTACAACCCGTGTAGTGTGTCACATGGCAGATTTGACTGGGGGAACGGTTCGTACGCCCTGGAAAATCCGCCTTCATGGCATTGTATGCTTTGGCTATTAACCAATCAGAACCCGACAAATTTATCTTTAGGGTAATAACTAACTTTATACTAAATATAGCCCTATACTAAATGTAGCCTCTATAACAGACCTGCTATAAACTCTGTATAGCCGTATGCACCATTCAACCGCAATAACAGACCTGTTGTATGGTGCAGACGACTATATTGAGTTTATAGCAGGTTTGTTATAGAGGCTACATTTGGTATAGGGCAATATATAGTATAACGTTAGGTATCCCATGTATACGGTCTACAATAGTCCTACTTCTGTGTGCGTATGATACATTTACTATCATGAAGGCTACTGCTAACATACATAGCAGCAAGTGGAGACGCAGTCAAAGAAAACTTAATTAAGTACATATTTCATGTAACATTTTCAGCTCTGCTGGAAGCATACACCATCTTGAAGTCAACAACAGATGAAGATGCTCTCAGGACCTTCCTGTCTGTGTTCAAGGACAACGAGGAGCTGGTAGGTAGTCATCTTACATTGTACAGTATCTTACTTAAATTTCTTCAGCTTCATTTATCCTTGCACTGTGTGACTTACATTTGTACAGTAGTACATATCTTTGTAGTGTTACTTATCCTTGTACAGTGCTATTTATCCTTCTATCTTCAGCTTCATTTATCCTTGCACTGCAGTACTTATCCTTATACAGAGTTACAGGAACATTGTTTGTTTGTTTAATGATATCAAAGTTAATAGTTCACCTTGATGTTTTTTCATGATAAAGTATTTTCATCTCTTCAGTTTTCAGATGCAGTTGGAAAACTAGCTCTACACTCCAAGGGCATCAGAGATGAAAGTAGGCCACCTTGTTAAACCTATCTCATTCTTGTAACCCCAGTATGGATTTAAGATTTGAATCAGCCCCCAGAGTTAAGCTGATTTTACAAAGCTGCATACCCAGGTTGCCAAACTAGGTGATTTGGTTCAGAGCGTGTCATCCCACCCAGATGATGTTTAGTAGGGCTGTAACGATACATCGAACTATCGATGGATTGCAATTGTTGAGTCTCCGATAGTAATTAGTCGATGGTAGAAATGAAAAACAATCGATGTATGGATAGTATGTGTGACTATCGATTGTTTAGTAATTGCCTACCATTGATAAATGCGGAATGCAAAATACAGGATGTTTGGGTGCAGACTTGCAGCTTCATTGAGTTTGTTTTAACTGTTCACTGGCTTGATATTACACTTGAACATTCAATGCTCACTGCGGCTACAAATACCAACTTTGCACTTGTCTTTATATTGTGTTGTCAGCCCTACTGTCCAGTGAAAATTTCTGCACATCTACATGACTAACAGGATCTTGAAACCTTTATCTAACTGTTCATATAAATTGAAGTCTTCCTTGTCATCAAATTCAAAATCATGCACTCCACTTACAAAATCTTCCCAGCACTCATCAGTAGGCATTTGCCTTCATGAACAGATACCCAGAATGTGAATGAGAAGTGTGCAGTTTTCATATCCAGACCCAATGTGTTCAGTAAGGGCCCATGTAAACGTTTGTTTGGCAATTCATGCATTTCAATCTTTCATGGACTTGCCACCACATGTCTGCACAATTTGTATGTGCTCCTTTTTAGTTGAGGTGAGGTGAGGTGAAATTGGGTTTAACGTCGTGCTTGAGAATATTTCGCTCATATGATGACGTGCATGCGTGTGTGTGTGTATGTGCAGCTGCTTGTACTAGCCCAGACTTAAGCTGGTTTTATAGTGCTAGCCCACTGAGATACCATGCCGCAGTGAAGCATGAGTACCCCACTCAGACACATTATACTGACTCCGAGCCAACCAGTCCTTGTTGTACCCATTAATGCCGAGCGCCAGGCAGGGACCAACAAGTACCATATTTTAACATATTTTGGTATGACGCGGTCTGGGATCGAACCCGCGACCTTCCGCTCTCCGGGCGGATGCTCTAACCACTACACCACGGAGGCGGTCTCCTTTTCGGTTGAATGAATATATTTGAGTGTGTTCATATATGGGTCATGTGTTGATGTATATCTCTATAGTTGTGGTGATTAGGCCCAGATCTCCAGCTGTATTAATATCAACTGATACACCTCAGAAAGTGTTTATATATCTCCCACTTGTACATTTCTAGTTATCCTGAGGATGGTATATATCTGAGTAATCTTCACCAATATTTTGGACCTTGTATTTTTTTCAGCAATGAGAACATCACAAACATGACTTTGATATGGTTGTAGACTGTTTACAATATTGTTTTGATGCTAAGATATCTAAGATGGTTTTGTTTTAATTGTTCTTCAGAAAATTCTTCCCTTACTGCTTTTGGTGATGAATTCATGACTATGTTGGACCAACATGTCCTGGTACAGCAGAGGAAGCGAGAGAGAGGTGTGCAGGAGAGACAAGACTTGAAGGTGGAACAGGAGAGGCTAGATGAGGAGCTCCGCACGCTACTCAAGGACATTGAATACGAGAAAGAAAATGTGAAAGATGTCAGCTGTACAAGCAACTCAAACAGCCAACCAGGGATAGGTATTGAAAGTGGTGGAGCTTCTCCAAAACTTAGCTCAAATGTTGGAATACGAAAAAAGTAAATCGGACTTGAATATTGAGAAACATGACTCTTCTCCTGAGAAAGACGACTCCTTTGAAAATGAGAAGACTGAAGCTGTGGATGAGAGGGAGGTAATGTCTAGCAGAACCCCCCAGAGTAGGCAGGGCAGGGTGCACAGGAAGCCTCCCCTCAAGAACAGAAGTGATGCCACACCATCACCCCACAGACCCTCCTACAAACCTCAACTGTATGTGCCAAATAGAACTCTCAAACTTCGCAGGTCAGGAAGCTTAACTCGAATTTCTAACGATACAGCCAGTCCTTACGCCAGGGCAGCAGAGGGTGCAGGGAGGGAAGACAGGGAAGGGGAGGATGTTCGTGTCTGTAAAGATGAGGGTCAGGACAGGATCCGCTCAGATATCCCGAAACTCTCACGCTTACCGCAGAGGAAGGCTCCATTCAAATGACCCATGATGTGTGGTGCCATGAGAGCTGTGTTTTATGGTTGTGATAAAAGAGGATGCTTCTTAACTTTTACCAGTAGACAGCTACATGGGGATGACTACAGCAAGGAACTGCAGCTGCAGCTGCTTGTGACTCTTCTGCAGGGATCAAGGCAGAGAATCCAATCGGTCGGTCATCCTTTTATAACTGGTCAATGAGCACAGTGTACTAAAGAAGCAGAAGTCAAATCCTTGATTTGTAAGAGTGGATGAATTCTACACATTCCAGTATTTTCTAAGCTAATGCAATGGTACATGTATATGCAATGCCCATCTACAGATGGCAATACTGATACACAGTGTACATGTGTTAGTTAAAAAGTATATATTTGATTGCTCAATGGTTTATTTTAATGCCAACAACACCAATAAAATACAACGAATTCAAGGTTTTGTAGTTTTATGTTATTTTGGCAATGTTTAGATCTGCTGTAGTGTCACCGACAATAATAGATGGCAGAATTGTGATGGGTGCTGTCATCCATCCATCCATCGGCTGCATGTCATCCGTGGTTTACAAACTTTTTCAAACTGTGTGAAGGGATGAACCCATGAGCGAGATCTGTTATTGTGTAAATTACCTGTTTCAGGGATGACACCAAATTGTGAAAGTCGGTAAAAAGTCTACTTTTTTTAAAGTTAATCGTATATATCAACGAAAGGTGTGGTGAAAGATCATTATCAGATTAGTCATGCTTCAATCCAATAATGCTTATTTTGCTATACAAACAACCCCTGGAGGAATCCGGAGATTTCCTTGGGGTTAAAACATTGGGTCGTCACATCAAAGACACTAAATGGCACCTCCAATTAGTCATTTGAGAATCAAACTCAATCTCAACTGAAATCTCACCATCCCTCTGATTCTCCGAAATTGGTACGTATTTTGGTCTCCCTTCAGTGTGATGTGTGTTGAATGTTGTACATTTACAAACTCACTCTCTCCAACAGCAGGTTGATTTTTGCTTTATTTCCTTACACCTACAGTCCCAACTTAATATTTCGTTGTTGGCCTCATTGTCAGGTGGTGCTTTCATTGTCCTCTACAGAAACGGCATGTTTGTAATATAGAATGAAAGAGTATTTGAATGAAATCCTTTATTCTTCTCTTATGCTCCACTCTACACAACAACATTTACACATCCATCAACACAGGGGACCAGCCATTTATCTCCATAACATGGCTGGGTCAAGGCTCATATACTGAACTGAACTATGCTGCTGTAAGTTAAAGTAAATTTTCAAATGCTTAAATTATGACATACACCAACCAGTGTCAACTTACATCCCTTCCGACCAGCCACCCCTTGCACCCCTCATCATCACCCTACCACCTCAGAAAGATAAATGGCTGATCCCTAACCTGAGCTAACGTAGATTTGTTAACCTACATAGGGAGCTGGATGTACAGCATGCAAGGGTGTCCGGCAAAAGTTTATTTCAGACATTTAGTACATTAAAGAAAGAAATCTCATATTAGTCAAAGGTTTAATTTCATGCATCATTGTTTCCACAACACCTCATCTCAGTAACCATCCATCATTACAGTTTACAAACCAAGGCAAATATTTCATTGTCTTTTCATTTCATTGGACTTTTTGCCTTGTCCTTGCAAACATGGTTGTTATTGACCACGATAAAACATTGCGTCACAGCTTTGATTAATACAACAATTGTATCATGCAGATGATACAAATTCCGGTTTGCTGTATCTCAACTCATGTGTATCATATGAGCCACACAGACATCCCATAATAAACTCATTCTGGACAACAAGGCATAAAACATAAAAACAACTAGGGAAAAAAATCATTTGAGCCAATACAGCATTAAAGCATGTTGTTTGATTGAAAAACAACGTATATCAATACATGTTTTTGATTTGTTAAAATGGTTTGCAACATAACCTGCTGACATTTCAAAGGCTTCAGAACGGTTGACATTGTGATCAGGTCTGGTGTCACATTCTAACATCATGAAAAATAAAGTGTCACATTCTTACAAGCTGATCCATTCATCTTAGTATCTAAACAAGCCGATCCACAGACCACAGTGTCTGGGTGAGCTGATGTAGAGATCTCATATCTCACCAAGCTGAACTAAACGTCTCGTGTTTAAGCAAGTGATCTATAGAAGTCAGTATGCAAGCAAGCTGAGCTACAGATCTCGGTATGCAAGAAAGCCAAGCTACAGATCTCAATATGCAAGCAACCTGATCTAAAGATCTTGGTATGCCAGCAATCTGATCCACAGACCTCAGTATGCAAGCAAGCTCATCTAAAGATGTCTGTATCCAAGCTGATTCACAGATCAGTGTATAACAATATTGCACAAATAGAAGCATCTTAGAAGCAAATCACGGATCGGGCATGTCGTGTCCTGGTTATAGCAGTATATATGGTAATATTCTGATATAACAGGAAGCTTGGTGAGCATGATACAGACAACCTCTGTACTGTGCACCTATTGGCCACATCCTCAGTTATCAAAGGTAATTTACCTCCATTCTATACAACTTTCCCAGTGTATCATGTCCATTCTGTCATGATAAATAACCCAGAACTATTTGTGAATTATGTTGGTGAATGGGTTCTGGGTATTTAGCATAAGATTCTGTGAATATCTACTCTGACTAGATCATATATAAATGATATATAAGTGCATCTAGGCATTGGCAACATTTACAGCTTGAATCATTGACCTAGGTTTAATCTTTAAGATTCATTAAGACATTACAGGAACATAATTAGTCATATGTACAAGGTAATTATATATTACTTATATCAATATATACAGGCTGTTAACTCAACTATCTGATGTAAGTCAGATGTGCACACTGTCAGGTGGACCTGACAATATGAGGGAACTATGGTGGCACTCTCTTCGCTGTGTTCAGTCCAGCAAGTTTGTTCAGACAAGTAAATATACGTAGTCCTGCAAGTGTGGGTTCAGTTTGGCAAATATATTCAGTCCTGCTACTGCATTCTGTCCTGCACCTGTTCATCCCTGCAAGTGTGGTCTGTCCGGCCAATGTGTGTATTCCGTCCTATAAACGTGTGTTCATCCCTGCAAGTGTGGTCTGTCCGGCCAATGTGTGTATTCCGTCCTATAAACATGTTTTCATCCCTGCAAGTGTGGTCTGTCCTGCCAGTGTGTGTATTCCGTCCTACAAACGTGTGTTCATCCCTGCAAGTGTGGTCTGTCCTGCCAATGTGTGTATTCCGTCCTACAAACGTGTGTTCATCCCTGCAAGTGTGGTCTGTCCTACAAACGTGTGTACAGTCCTGTAAGCAGGTGTTCTGTCTTGAAAGTGTGTGTTCAGTAATACAAATGTTCAGGATCAGCAGTTTCACAGACACAAGCGGAAACCAATCAATCTCATGTACCTAGCAGTATACAACACTTTTTCACATTTTTTTAACACAATCATGTACCTATAGTTCAATACATGTACAAGGAATGCAGCCTATGTTCCCTGCTGCAGCATGACCCGCCAGACAAATCCAGTGTTACACCATGTTTCAGGTTACATACACTGGGTATGAGGCAGGTTTCTGGTGGGTCACTGTCCTTCCACCTGGATGTGCACAGTAGGTCAGGGATGTCATGCTCAACCCCCTTTCTGATATGTACAACTTCCTTCACAGCAATTTCAGTTTGGTGTACAAACATGTATTTCCTGTTTAAATCATAACAACAGCAAATGTATACTGACTTAAAAATCAATCTAAATTTACAATTTCATTTTCAGTCCCATATCCTGACCGTTGCTTGATTTTAACTTTCTCCCTGAGGAATGATGTTACATCTTCTGACTGGAAATCCTTTGACTGATCTATGTTGAAAACTGTTTCCATTGAGGTCCATGGGTCAGATGATGCTTGGACAGAGCCATCTATGGCTGGTACTTGGAGGTAGCTGAAGGACAACAGAATAACATCATGACACAAAGGAAACATATCAAGCATGGTATATGGAGGTAGCTGAAGGACAATAGGATGACATCGTGACACAAGGGAATCATATCAAGGCTGGTATATGGAGGTAGCTGAAGGACAACAGAATAACATCATGACACAAAGGAATCATATCAAGCATGGTATATGGAGGTAGCTGAAGGACAATAGGATGACATCGTGACACAAGGGAATCATATCAAGGCTGGTATATGGAGGTAGCTGAAGGACAATAGGATGACATCGTGACACAAGGGAATCATATCAAAGCATGGTATATGGAGGTAGCTGAAGGACAGTAGGATGACATCGTGACACAAGGGAATCATATGAAGGCTGGTATATGGAGGTAGCTGAAGGACAACAGGATGACATTTGACACAAAGGGAATCATATGAAGCATGGTAGCGACAATGGAGGTAGGAATCATAGGATCCAGGTATATCATGAAGGCTGGTATAGACATCGGAGGTAGCTGAAGGACAATAGGATGACATCGTGACACAAGGGAATCATATGAAGGCTGGTATATGGAGGTAGCTGAAGGACAATAGGATGACATCGTGACACAAGGGAATCATATGAAGGCTGGTATATGGAGGTAGCTGAAGGACAATAGGATGACATCGTGACACAAGGGAATCATATGAACATATGGAAGGCTGAAGGTATATGGAGGTGGCTGAAGCTATATAGGTGGATGACAGACAGGACAATAGGATGACTTCACGTCAGATGAGAGGGATCATATCAAGGCAAGGGTATATGGAGGTAGCTGAAGGACAATAGGATGACATCGTGACACAAGGGAATCATATCAAGGCTGGTATATGGAGGTAGCTGAAGGACAATAGGATGACATCGTGACACAAGGGAATCATATCAAGGCTGGTATATGGAGGTAGCTGAAGGACAATAGGATGACATCTGAAGATACTGTACATTTACACTTTGATTGACACCACAATACAAAGGCGTGGATGACAAGTGAGCTGTTTTTGTGATTGGTTAATGTACTTTGACAGACAGATGCGGTCACGTGGACTTAAAGTGATTTTGCTTTACGACAATGCTGCAAGTCACAAGTGTGCTTAAGCTAATTTTGCGAAAATGTGACCAAATACCACGTCTCATATTCAACCGATGGATGCAGGAATAATTCCGGACATTCAAGGCATACTACAATAGATCGCTTGTTAGACATTACCTCACCTGTGCTGAGGAAGGGCGTGATCGAGACACGTCGGATCAACATCTGCGGATGTCACTCGGTAAAATTATTGATGTGATGAATTAAGCTTTACATTAAATGCTTATTTGTTTTATCCAGATTCGTGTCGTTTTTGTAATAGTTAGGGGAAGCAACTTGGGTCTTGATTCAGTAGTCGGACTATTACGCAATCCGGACCAATTTACTGACATATTAAGGCTGGTATATGGAGGTGGCTGACAGATAGGATGACATTATTAGAGGATGACTTCATTGGCTGATGACCAGAGACATCATATTAAGGCATATTAGTGAGTGAGTTCAGTTTTCGCGGCTTTTAACATGGAGGTTGCTGACATGACAATAGAACCGGGTCTTGAGCATCATTAGATGAGAGAGACAAATTAAGGCTGGTATATGGAGGTGGCTGACAGACAATAGGATGACTTCATTAGATGAGAGAGACATATTAAGGCTGGTATATGGAGGTTGCTGACAGACAATAGGATGACATCATTAGATGAGAGAGACATATTAAGGCTGGTATATGGAGGTGGCTGACAGACAATAGGATGACATCACAAAGGAAACATATTAAGGCTGGTATATGGAGGTGGCTGAAAGACAACAGGATGGCATGTTCTTATTTGTCAACCATAGACGTGTCAAGTGCAACATCATTATAATCAATTCAACACCTCACACAAAACTTTAATTCAAACCTCGAGATGCTGACTGCACCTCCCCAGCCCTCCACCCCAGCATTCTGAACTCCAACCACACCACACCACCCCACCCCACCCAGCTGGCATGCAGGTAACCAACCCCTGTCACCCTTCCTGAAGCAGTAAAACAATCACTTCTATGTTTTTCCAATAAATCTCCACTATACCATGGATGCATCTACGGCTCATGATTTTATTACCACCTTTGGCTGGCTTTTTATCCAATCAAGTGTCTACGCTGCAAAGTTGAGCGTACCAATCACAACTCACTTTCACTTATTTTATCTAACCGATTAAAAATTGGCAACATAATTGTTGCAGAGGTACTCTGAAAGAGGTAGAAAGAGTTCTTGCATGTATATTTTAAGGTTTCAGACCTGTCAATTTGTCTGTATGATTTCCCCCTAAATCTGAGTCGCACTGTGAACTCACCTTCGCGGCTGCGACTGCTATCTTTGTTGACACTGGCAAGCTAAGTTGTAATTTTGGCTTAGCTGATTGGCTACTGTGAGAATGTGGAGCCAGCAAAGGGAGGTAATAAAATTATCGGGCCGAGCCATAGATGCATCCAGGGTACTAGTGGAGACTTATCGGAAAGTATACCCTGAAGATTATCGAGGATGAGGGTGCCCTTGTACAAAGCAATTTTAGCACTGAGGTGGTCGTAACTCCCATACCTTATCATACATCGGCTTGCGACTGGCGTAGTGATAAGTTTGCTATGTACAACAGTACCCTGATTGTTAGTAATACAACATCCACCACACACCATGAAACAAGGACAGAAATAATGTCTAAAATGCTGCTAGATTTGGTTAAAAATGGCCATCACTATATTGAAACTATATTCAACAATCCCTATAATGTGAATACTGTCAATAGCAATGAACATTCTAACAATTCTGTGTCACATAAAATGTCATATGTAACAATGGTTACAGTGTTTACACAGTTCCATGGTTACCATAGCTGCATTCTGTCCTGTGTCCATGGTTACATGCATCAATTAGTCTACATCCACCTGCCGCAATATGGCGGAAACAATGCCACTCACACTCTACATCCACCTGTCAATATGGCTGAATATTCTGATGCGATGTTACATTATATATCACACACTACATCTACCAGCTTCAGTTGGTATTCTCTTGTCATAAAATATTGCAATTATAAGTCCAGGAAAACTCTTCTTGAGTCCAAACTTGTGTGAACAAATGCAGCTAAAAAGTTAAAATACACCTCCAAAAATTATCAGTAGAGGGCGTACATTAGCAGAATGCTCTGAGACCAAAGGTTTGGTTTATATCATCTTGTGCCTGTGAGTTCATGAACTGGTCATTGTAAATATATTACAGCATGGATTAAACCTCAGCTATTTTCCAAATCTGGAACACCACCTTTTGTGATGTGGCAAGTTACAACACATCAAATAATATGAAATCATTCATGACAACTGAAAAAATTAGTCACATGATTTGATCAGTCATGAAAAGTGACATTTTTCTACTTCTGCTACTAAACGTGACAGCACAAATCAACTGTTTTCAAAACTCAACACAAAGTGAAACTGGTAGCACTGCAAGTTACCTAGGATACCACACGTGGAACCATTTACCAATGCACCAGTACCATGGCGGCAGTGTCATCGATATAATACTTTACAAACTTCCCCTGTATTTGTATGTCTCATGTAACAAATTATGTTCTTTATCAAATGATATACAAACTGATACTGCTTCACATCAAAAAAAGTCTTAGTGGTAAACAGTTGAAGACAATGAGAAACTCAAACTGACAATGAGAAACTCAAATTGACAATGAGAAACTCAAATTGACAATAAGAAACTCAAATTGACAATGGCAAGGTGGGCCAAAAGTCATTGTTTTCTCTAAAGTTTCTATATCAAAATGAAACAATTGAATGATATTTTGGAGTTTGTGAAATGTATCATATCGCTAACAAAGCATGACACATGGTACCTGGTCTATTGTTTCAGGTCTACTAGCACTTATAAGTGATGGGACTAGCTACGGACACTGTCATACCCCGAGTGTAGCGCCTCTGGCCATACAGTGTATATGGCGTTTCATTGGAGGCTGAAAGCAGAAGATGTTTAGCAATACACATGACAATCAACATCAACTCTCGTCCTTGTCCATGACGATACCATGGTTACCTGCAGCACCGACGGGAAATACAGTACAGCACAGGTTCTGTCCATTGGTACCTGCCATTTCTCATAACCCAACTCAAATGTTTAACACACAGGGACCTTGAGAAGCACACTGTTATAACAGTGCTCTACGTTGCTGTAACAGACTACCACACCGATATAACCGTCCACCATGTGATATATGTACACCATATTGCTGTACCAAAATGATATACTAGTAACAATTTACCACATTGTTATAAATATCTTCCCAAGGAAAAAAGGTCCACAAGTCTGTTACAGAGACTAGTTTTCACCCTTGCAAGTTCAAACCTACTCATCTAGGTTCCAACATGGCACACCTTGAGTAGAACACCAGTTCTGTCACTTGATATTAAAATGGAATATCTATCAGATCACTGCTCGTATTTCTAATGGCTCCAAAAATATGACTACCATAGCAAAGTCCTGGCCAGTCTGACAACGAAAATATATGAGATTTATGACAAACAATATGACCAGATAACTTCAATAAAGATACTTAGACTTCAGCAGCGTTCTCTTGCAATACTAGAGGCATACAGACTACACAGTATTAGTAACACGAAACTGTGCAGAGACATGAGTGAGTGAGTGAGTTTTATCACAGCGGGGGACACCAGAAATGGGCTTCACACATTGTTCCCATGTGGGAAATTGAACCAGGGTCTTCGCCGTGACGAGCGAACGCTTTACCCACTAGGCTACCCCACCGCCCCTGCAGAGACATGAACTGCTCAGCAGGGGTTGTCTAAAAATAACAAAACTTCCCATTCAAAAACAATGAAGTTTGGGCACAGACATTTAAGTACATGTACTGATTAACTCTTTGGAAATATTTGTCTTCGCTTAATATATTTAACGCAAATTTGACATGCAATGGCTGTAGCAGTGACCATGTTTTCAGAACCTGGATGTTGTCTTTAGATTCTTTATCTGATTCGACTCTCAATACGACCGATAGTCATCCCCAACCAGGATCCCGTTTCACAAAGCTCTCGTAAGCCTAAGATCTTGAAACGTTTCTCGTAGCATTCATACTCCCTATGTTACAGTATAGGAGATACGAATGCTACGAGAAAAGTTACGAGATCTTAGGCATACGAGAGTTTTGTGAAATGGAGCCCTGGGCTGTATGAGCACAGGAAGGTTGGTTTGACAGGGCAAGGGTGGAAACTACCTCATAAGGATGGGAAAGCCACAATAACTCTGTGAGCCTAGTGGGTGCAAGAGTTGTATGATACCCAGGGAGTTGAGATCGATAATACGATGTGCCATTGAGATTGACATCCAATTATCGAGGGAAAAAAGTACCAGCACCTTGAGCATGTACTAGTTACGTGGATATGTGCGCTATATAAATAATCTATGATGATGATCCTTGGGAAGATGTGCTATAACAGTCTAACTGCATCTGAGAAAAGAGAATGATTTGATAGCTTAGCTTTCCTGAACATCACAGTATGAATCTCACATCAAAGATAAGTCAGAGAAAAGAAACGTCATCCAAGAAATATATATAAATGCTCATTCATTTTACAGTGGAAATGGTTATATCTGAAACAATACTTACACATTCTCTGTGGTGTCGGGTGTCGTCTTCGCCTCGGAGAGAGCTCATGGGATAGCTTTTCAAATAAATACTTAGCCATTTTCAAAATAGCAGCATGGAGAGCATATTGAAGAACGAGTGCACCAAAACCTTTGTAAAATCCAAAAGGTCCTTCCTCTAACAATATGCACTTGAAACAGTCTACAAAGCCCTCGTATCCTGTGCTGATAGGTAGAACACCGGTGCCTAAGTCTGTGTTGTCAATGATGGTGCGTGTTCCCTGCACATACATACGATGCAACACCGTCTCTAGTGGGTAAAGCATCAGGTCTGCCAATACGTTGCCTGTGAAGGTCGCCAGGAGGTCAGGGAAGTATATCTCATAAACTGACCTCCCTGTGTCTCCAACATCAACACTGTGGTCCTGTCAACAAACACAATCTATATATCCAGTGTCCCTAAAATCATCTCAGGTCCTGACAACAATCACTGAAGTCCAGATATGTTTTATACCTAACATCATCACTGTATTCTGAACAAGCAAGGAAACACTGTATGATTATACCGACACTAAGCCTGACAATCTTATAAGGTCACCTCCCATACAAACAACAGAACCTGTTCTAACCTACTGCATCGGACATCTGCCTGTTACTGATGTGGTTGAGTACTGACCCGGAGCTCCTGTTGTTCTAACCTACCTGGCGAACCGCCTCCGTGGTGTTAAAATATGGTACTTGTTGGTCCCTGTCTGGAGCTCGGCATTAATGGGTACAACAAGGACTGGTCGGCTCAGAGTCAGTATAATGTGTCTGTGTGGGGCATTCATGCTTCACTGCGGCATGGTATCTCAGTGGGCTAGCACTATAAAACCAGCTTCAGTCTGGGCTAGTACAAGCAGCCGCACATACACATACACACGCATGCACGTCGTCATATGAGCGAAATATTCTCAAGCACGACGTTAAACCCAATTTCACCTCACCTCACCTACCTGGCGGGTAGCAAGGCAATTTTTCGTGTAAGCCCGATAGGTCACAACACTTTATATTTAGATATCATTTGAGGTGTTTTGCGCAAGAATTAGAAAAAAAAAATTACATAGCAAAAATCATGTGTAAGCCCGGGCTTTTTTCTACAATGGTAGCTACGCCCCTGCCTACTGCATCTGACATCAGTCTGCTACTGATGTGGTGTAGTACTGACCCGGAGCTCCTGCTGCTCTGACCGGATGGTGGATGTCACGGTGAACTGTGCTATAGAGGTGATGATGTAGTGGGACAACTGGTACGCAACTGTGGGCAGGATTAGGCGCCACACTGGCAGCAGACGTGTAGTCTGTGGCATCCCCCACCCAAACACCCTCGTCAGACCTTCCTTCACACAGTCCAAGATTCCCGGCTTCTCACTGGCTATGTCACTCTGACCAAATACAAAATGATATTTGAAACATCCCAAAGAAAGGGAGGTAATCAAACATGGCTCAGTTGATGGAAATGGGAAGAATTTAAAATATTTCCAGAACAAATTACGCTGAAAGAAGCAACTGTGGTGAACTCAGTCAATGGTAGTCTGTTGTCTTTCCGTTGGTCAAGCAAAGTCTTTGTCCTTGGATGCTGATGCAGGTAGGTATCACATCAGAATAAATGGTCAGACCTTACTGAGTGAGTGAGTTTAGTTTTTCGCCGCTTTTAGCAATATTCCAGCAATATCACGGCAGGGGACACCAGAAATGGGCTTCACATATTGTACCCATGTGGGGAAACGAACCCAGGTCTTCGGCATGACAAGCAAACACCTCAACCACTAGGCTTTATCTGTATGATGGAGTACTGGGGATACACAAGACACTACCTGGATTGTCTCAATGAGGCTGGCAGCAAAGAAGGGTGTGGTCACCACGGTGGACAGTCTGAAGAAGACATGAACATTCTGTGGCAACACCAGAAATACCTCTTCAATATTACAAACACAAGATTTGCTACAATTCAACAAATGAGCTACAATTTTTAAAGGACTAATAAAAGCACACAAATGATTTATCTTGTTTACCCAAAGAGTACAAATATTAAACAAGCGAAATATTTCAACTGTAGCTAATTTTGCTGATGTGTCATTGCATGGTTTAGCAGTTTGTCTTTTAGTGAAAAGATTACACAATCTGGCTTTGTCTGTGTAGCTTGATCTACTTGTTAAAACTCCCAGCCTGGTTAAAGACAAAAGACACAGGATTGTTATCGCCACTGACAGTGACCCTCCCATGAGACATTCTGCAACTGACAGCTTGCTTTGATTCCTAAATTATTCAGAGATATACTCAAATGGCACAGAATCGTGATTGTTACCATTATTAAAGTTTCAATTATTCTGCAAAACTCTGTTCAAGTACCGTGACACGTTGCTTACATTGTGAGGACAACGTTTTAAGGGATCAAAGTTTCTTAAAAGACTTGTGTGCCTCTGTAAGAACTCAAGAATTCAAGAATAGGATACATGACTTCTTTAAAGCAATGCCATTCAATATACAGCTAGTTCACTTTTGCTGTTGCCATAGGCTATACCCACTGCACTGGGGTTTTTTTTAACTGATTTCAGGAATTTTCAATTAATTCTCAATTTGGACATTGCTTTCTGGTAATTTGAAAATAAGCTGTCATTACATTAAGGAACTGAATCAGAATCCTTTTAGAATACAGTCCACAAAGAGCTGCAGACACAATCACTGAGCCAAGGATGGAGTCCATGTGTCAGCTAAGCTAACCTCACGTCTCTCAGATCGAACATGAGACTACATGTACATTCTGTCTGTCAGGTGTAGCACAGTTAAGCCACAACAGGCCTAATCTACATGTTAAATTCAATACATTGTGGTAACTCACGCTTTCAAAAGGAGATGTTCACCATATTTCTTCAAGGAACTGTGTCGAGAAATTTCCCTGAAAAAAGTAAAAGAAAGCAAATTTTATACTATTTGAGTAGGCTTATATCAACTGTGTTTTTTTGTCAATTAACACAGCAACATTCCATCTACATGACGAATGCACACAATCAAGTTATAACCAGACAACTGATTGAAATATTCCATGCTGTCAGTGTACAATGACACGATCATCCAACACAACAAGTCTGATCACTTTTCATGTCTCCCATCGTTGTCCGATTCTTCTGTTATGACTAATGTTTCTCTCTTCTGAGTGAGTGAGTGAGTTTGGTTTTACGCCGCTTTTAGCAATATTCCAGCAACATCACGGTGGGGACACCAGAAATGGGCTTCACACATTGTACCCATGTGGGGAATCGAACCCGGGTCTTCGGCGTGACGAGCCAACGCTTTACCCACTAGGCTACCCCAACGCCTTTCTCTCTTCTGAACATGGAACACAGTAATTGAAGTGCTATAGTATGACAACTCATGGTGAGATTGGTTGGTTGGTTTTTAACGCCACACCCAGCAATATTCCAGCTATATGACGGTGGTCTGTAAACAATCCAGTGATCAACAGCATGAGCATCAATCTACGCAATTGGGATACGATGACATGTGTCAACCACGTCAGCAAGCCTGACCACCAAATCCCGTTAGTCGCTTGTTACGACAAGCATGGGTTCCTGAAGACCAATTCTAATCCGGACCTTTACGGGTCACTCATGATATGAAGGTGAATAGGTTTTATTTGTCCATACAGTCTGCACAGTCAATAAGCACAAACTGTCTGTATGTTTAATAAACACAAACTGTCTGTTTGTTCAATAAATGCTGCCTTACATTCCATAAAACAACATGTCTGTATGTTCAATAAATGCAAACTGTCTGTTTGTTCAATAAAATGCTGCCTTACATTCCATAAACAACATGCCTTACGACTTATACATAAATGCAATCTGTCTAATGTTCAATAACAAAGACCTGTTTGTATATTCAATAAACCAAATCAATCAACACAAATTGTACATTTAAGGCACTTAATAGACACAAGATGTCTGCCTGTACAACAAAAAAACCCACCATACCAGTACTTCCTGCATGCTCAGTAAAACAGACAGTCTGTACTTTCAAGAAACAATAACTGTGTATTTGTTCCATAGATATGAACAGTCTGAACACCCAATAAAACTGTCCATTCACAGGATGCCAACACATTTGGGGACTAAGTGTAATAATAGAGGTCGGGTAAAAAGTGTAAACCTAAAAAAATACATCTCGAACAACAAACGTTTTCACGAAAGGAAGATTCTAAACAGAAACACATGTGACCAATCATATGAAGCTCCATACAAGAAAATTGTTGGTCATGTGACTCAAAAACCCACCATGCTGTAACCAATAGGCCATTTTGCACCCTGCAGGCTCAGTAAAACACTCCCTTTGAAATTTTACCCACCTTCAAGAAACAATAACTGTAATTTTGTATTTGTTCCAAAGACATGAACAGTCTAAACACCCAATCAAAACTGTCCATACATCACAGATACAGCTTAGCCTGTACAACGTACAGTTTGACAAATGAACATATACAGAATCTTACTTAGGTAAGGGTGTTAGTTCACTGATAACAGTCTCGCTGACCATGAAGATTCCACGCACCACAAACACACTTCCAATGCCCTTCCACATAGTAGTCATGCCCTGCAACACAAAGAATGGCCATCCATGTCACAGCTTGACAATAACTGTGGATACCATTATGAAAGACTTCGTACAATGAAATCAGGGTTCATACACTATACAGACTGGCAAAATTCAATGACTTTCCAGGGTACTCGAAATAAGCAAAACAAACTTGCACCAATGACAACCTGGACAGAGCATCCTAGATGCATACCAGCCAAATAAATACCAAGCCCAACATTTTGGCAATACTGTTAATTAAAGAAATATGCTATGGAAATTATTCATTGGTTTCAAGCAAAAAATGACACAGACTTTAAAAATGCCTATCATGTTAGAACAATGATTTATTTTTCAAAAGTAATTTGCACCTGGTGCAAGTCATGAAAAATAATATTTCTTTTTGATAATCATTCTCAGTATGTACCAGTGTAAGTGACAAAGCACTAAATGAAACCCTGCAGGGTATCAAAACAAATCACTCTGGAACAAACTGTAACATCAAACTATCATGACAAATCATTTTTGCTTATCAAAGCATTATTAAACTGAATTGTGAGGGCCACCTATAAAATCTGCATCAAGCCCAACATATGGAAATACTCTTATTAAGTAATTAATGTTGGAAGGAATGTATAACAGCCGATTGTTTTCATGGTTATGTTTCATTTATTTTCCAGTCACCGACATAAGTCTGTTTTATTACCTTAATCGTGCGCCAACTCGGGTAACAAGAATTACCATCTTTTAACAGCTTTGTGTATGAAAAGGCTGGGCTTTGAACCACTTATCTTCTGCTATCCACTGAGACGATTTATCAACTAGACTACGAGGCAGTGCAAATAAGGTATGATACCCTGCATAACAGTGTCAAAGCCTTTGTACTGTCCGTTGAAATATTTCATCCACACTGTACTTCATACCATCAATGTCAAGGCTTTATCAGGGTTTTTACATGACGTGATTCCTGCGTATTTGACGCAACAATTTTGTAAACGACTCTCAAAATATTATCATACGAGTCAAGCTTGACGCAAGTTTTATGGGTGGCCCTCACAATTCAGTTTAATAAAATCGATTTGATAAGCAAAAAAAGATATTGTTCGATGATAGTTTGACTTTTACAGAGCTGTCAGATTGTTCCAGAGTACTCAGACTCAGAGGAGACAGTAATCCTGGCTGTTTGAATTGAACAATGCTGTAGTTTCATTTGGTGGTGTGACATACACAGTTACATACTGAGAATGATAAACATAAAGATTTCATGACTCCCAAATATTGAAAATGACTCCCAAAAATATTGTGAGTCACCATTACTCCCATTTTTAAAAGTCTGTGTAAAACCCTGCTTTATATCAACACTGAACATCTACTAGAAATACATCAATATCCAACAAAAAGGTTTAGTGATCACCTTCATCAATAATACACTCACGTGTTGCTGTGAACAGACAAAGATCATCTTCAAAGTCCACTTTACACTGTATACCAATTCTATTACTTAGAAATGTACAAACTCGGGATGATATGATATATGGTTATCCCACAGAGAACCTGAGGAACCTTTCAGAACCGTATGTTGAGATAGTTACCTGATGCCTCTGGAGGTTGATGAGAACCTGGAAGAGTGTGAAAGGGGTAACATGGTACCACTCTCCGTTGTGGTGTACCTGCAAGAAACAATAGGACTAACTCAAGCATCACAGAATAGGGAAGCCAAATTCAAGAAAATGCTTTTCACCATGTCCCAAAAGCATAATAGTACTGCAAGTTCCTATTGACTACCAGTACATATTCTTCATACACTGAACCATTCTGTCACTAGTGTTCTTCACATTTCACATGTGATAGAGGACTGTAGTTTTAATATTTTAATCTGGCTTTGTATTCAGCATTGAGACAAAATATCTTCCCCAGTATTTCATGGAATAAATTATTTCCTTTAAAAAATCCAATTTGTGCCTGTTCTTCACATTGTAGTAAAACAAATCTGTCTGCAATTTGTGTCCATTCTTCACATTTTAATAGGGGTGTCGCGATACGCGAATGTATCGATGCATCGATACATTTTTACTGATGATATGATACGCGATACATGCTTGCGTGTATCGATTCCTATTTTAAAACTTTATCGATTCAAATTTTTATGCTATATCCATCTCCGTCAAAGTCTTGATAGTAAAATTATACGAGACCGCTCCAATAAATAGATGTAGCTAGCTTTACTTAAAAAATAGGTTGGAAACTAACAGCTTTTGTGATTGGCTAGACTATTTTGATGGACCAATCAGCGAGCACGTACGTTGCCGGTAAGGTAATGCTATGAAAAGGCGCGAAAATTATGTATCGCGATACATATCATATCCTTAAAATCATGATACGTATCGTATCGTGAGATTGGTGTATCATGACACCCCTACATTTTAATGAAATGTATCTGTCTGTAACTTGTCAACCCATGAAGATCTGGGTTAGAATTGGTCTTCAGCAATCCATGCTTGTCGTAAGAGGTGACTAACAGGATTGCGTGGTCAGGCTAGCTGCCTTGGTTGACCATGTCATCGTATCCCAACTGATACAATCAGTATCACTGTTGATCACGGGATTGTCTGGTCCTGATTTGATTTACAGACCACATATAGGTGGCATATTGCTGAGTGTGGTGTTAAATAACAAAAAACCAAAACCTGTCACTGTGCTTTACATTTTCATCATACCAAGCTGCCTACATTTGTGTCCATTCTTCACATTTCAGTTAAAGAAATCTGTCTGTGCTTCACATTTCAGTCTGACTAATCACTCGGACATTCTTTCTTTGTTTTGCCAAGGGAGAACACTGAGCACCTTACCTGACACTGTCTCCTCAACACAATACATGGATGTGACAGAACCTGCTCTGCAAATATACTGAAACAAACACAAGTCAAACGTGTTAAAGTATGTAAAATACACATGATGGATTTGAGATTATTGTCATAACACTACTTGTACTGTTACTGTAGAGTAAAAATGTCAGATCTATAACTTTGATGCGACACCTCTCTGCATGAAGATCTGACGTCACCTTCATAGGAGGTAGTGTCAGTAGAACATTTCAATCAAGCCAATTAGGTTCGAACATTCTAAATTCTCAGCATAATAGAGCAAAACATGACAAGCATATCTGATTTATAAAAAATGAATATAATTGGGGGAATTGTAATTCCCTAAAACATATTGTACATATTTAATACATCAATCTCATTATAGTTCTTCTCTTATTATTTTGCCAGTGGTTAAAGCCTTCTCATTTGCTCCCCTTAGACAGCTGGTAATGTGTATATGTGTGTGATGTGGGGAACTAATATTACCTGCACACTGGTGAAAACGATTGATGATTACACTCCTAGACTTACAAGCAATCACAAGGTAATGGCTTAAATCATGAAGAAGGGTTTAACACAAACCACAGCCATACATATCAAGCTCCAGATTTTTTTCTTGAGTGCATGCAAAATACCTACCTTGAGAGTCCAATGCTGAAACCAGCGAATTTCTGGATCTGATCTGAAAAAAAAGAAGGATTTTCTCTCTAAAACTGTGCCCAGGCTGGGAAGCTAAATTTATCAGGCTTACCAGACAAGTCAGATGTCTGACCACTTAAAGTTAATTTGTTGCTCCAGGAATTGCTCCACAATTTGTAACTATCTGATCTATATTATTTGGATCATCTGATCATCTAATCTAAAATTAAACCAAAAATTGCAAGTATTAAATTTTTTTAATTAATCATATTGTACATATTAGTTGTTTTAAAAACAAACAAACTCCGTGAAGTAAGATCTTGTTTGGACTGTTGAACTCTTTCCTGGTTGTTTGGCTTGATGGGCTATCTAAATGTCCCATAAAACGAACTCCTCTGCATCCCGGTAATCTATAATATGTCTCTAGTTCGCCTGTACTTATCACTTGGGTTTCCACCAACCAAAAGCAGATATAAAATTTAACTTCGAAATCTGTGATCAGAGCTAAATCATTAGACTTTGATCTTGACGAAATGTCAATGTCATAATATTATCGTTTGTCATGAATTAGTCAATACCTATCTGGGTCTTAATGCTGTCACCAGATGCTCTTTCGTCGGTATCCTCATCTTCATATCCTCGGCGTCTGTCCCCATCAGCGGCATTCAATGGGCTCGAAAAAGGCCTGTCATTCATTATATGAGTACCCATCGAAACTGACACAATTCCAAAATTTTCATTATTTTTCCTTAAACGGTTAAGAGTTATTTCCCTTGGGTTAAAATACGGAAATTACGTGCAAATGCATAGTCGGAGCGATCCATTAAAATATATTAGAATGTATCTTTTGTGGTACAGCGTTACTTCAGCTTTAATCGTTTGTTCATCTCAAACAGTTCCACTCTCCTTCTTTTGCACATCATTATTTATTACACAACATGGTGCTAAACGTGAAATGGAAAGAATGCATTCCACTAAAACTATGTAAACTGGTACGCGGTATCCGAAGCGTGCAAGATTGTTGCCCAGTCGGTCCGACTCGCTCTACAGCAACGCTGTGAAAGAAAGTCTGGAAAGAAATGCTGTTTTGAACGAAAAATGTCAGACGAAGGGTTGAGGAAATTTTGTGCAGCTCTGCCAAAAATAGTATGTTATTCTAGACGTATTGGTAAAATTAAACGTTTGTTTGGGTTATAACCCTTGAAGCGCTGAAGGGACCTGATGAAATAAAATTTATCTTGAGCGCACAAGTTAGTATCTTGAGCTAGTATGTTGAGCGCTCAGCTTGGTATCTTCAGATACACTGCTCCATAAGCAGTTCATGTGGAAGCAAGGAGGAGCGGAAACGCTAGCTGATTCATGCTTATTTCAGTCTTGGGTTCCAATACAAACACATAACACATCTTCTTGTCAAAAATCATGGTATAGTATAGTACGCCACTTGGAGCGTATTCTGAGGTGTATGTCCCTCTTTCGCACTAGATACCAGAATTGCTGATGTTACAGTGAGTGAGTTAGTACGGTTTACACCGCTTTTAGCAATATTCTAGCAATATCACAGCGGGGGACACCAGAAATAGGCTGCATACATTGTACCCATGTGGGGAATCAAACCCAGGTGTGACGAGCGGACGCTTTAACCACGAGGCTACCCCACCGCCCCGCTGATGTTACAGACTTTATTGGGGACAACTTCGACGATCTGGACAAAGACATGGTTATCGTTGGATGCACAAAAATGTATCCAATGCGGTTTAATCGTGAAACAGGATACTTTACGGTCGTTGCTTAGAGTGTTGGACCCGGATGGTGTTGAATTTCGCTCAAGACAACGTCTTCATCAATGTTTTTATTCTTTAACTTCCTGTGTTGTTAAAACATGTTAAATAGCTACATACTTATACATAAGGGATTGAAACGGAGGAAGTAAAATGGGGAACATGGTATTTTAGTAAGAAATAAAGTCAGAAATAAAGTTGGTGTATGTGCTATACATGCACATACTAATGGCTCAAATAAATCAGGCGGGTTTTATATGATATAAACTATATGAGTTAAACTGCCATTGTACCCACGTTAGGAAACAGTTACTGATACCAGCAAACCAAGACTACAGACTATAGTTCCCTGAAAGTGGTCGACTTTACTTCTAATACATCAGACATCAGTTTTATAAATAAGATAATTAAGTATAACACTCAATGTTAACATTTTTCATGGTCATGTAATACTATATATACATAATAAAGCCGTAGCACAAAACAAGTTATCCAAGCTTTTACGCTAGTGTTCATAACAATATGTACCAATATAAGAAGCAAGTAAAAACACTATTCATCCCTGCAATAAACTCCTAGTCATGTTTATGTTTTAATTCTTATTATGACATTACACATACCTGGGCCTGCTGTATGTAATAAAACAAAAAGTGGTAAAATCAGATACAAAGAATAGTATTGACAAGCATAAAGATGATGAACGTTTACATGATAAACATTATCAATGTTCATGATAAATTTGCAGACTTTTACATAGTTTCATCATAACCACCTATTTAACTCTGACTTTGCATCGTTTGAAATCTTCCAAAAAGGATATAAGTTTGTATACTTTAGCCAGCAGTCAAGCAAATGTGCGCTCCATTAATGCCATAAGATGCTAAACACGAAGTTGAGCGCTCAAGATATTAACTTGTGCGCACAAGTTCGTATCTTGTGCGCTCAAGATTTTAATTTGTGCGCTCTGCATACTAACTTGTGCCCTCAAGATGTTAACTTGTGCGCTCAAGATAACTAACTTGAGCACTCAATATATTAAATTGTGCGCTCAAGAAAACTTAGTTGAGCGTTCAAGATATTAACTTGTGCGATCAACATACTAACTTGTGCGCTCAAGATGTTAACTTGTTCGCTCAACAAAACTAACTTGTGCGTTTAATATATTAACTTGTGCACTCAACATATTAACTCGTGCGCTCAAGATAGATTTGATTTCATCAGGTACCTTCAGCGCTTCCGTAATAACCAGCCTCAGATTTTGTCCTATTTTCACGACATTCCAATGAAGCAGCACGTCCTCAAATAGCAAGCAAGCAGAAATTAAGTTCTTGAAAGAGTTGTTATTATTTTCAACCTTTGAATTTGTCAAGAATTTACACATGTCAACTTATTTTCAAACCTGTCAATGGAAAATAATTCCTTGAGGTCAGTCAAAAGCATCACAATTATCAGGTTACGAGTTATTTGTAGCTCATGTTATAATACTGATCAGTCATCTAAAGCCATATGTCCTGTCTGCCTGGCCATCATTGGTTCAGCAAAGTATGGCCAAGTATTGCTGGGGCTTATGCCAATTAATTGTCTTGGGTGTCTGTCTTTTGTATCAAAACTTGTGAGCTGGCTGTGATCTGTCGTCTGTCTGCACATCTTCGCAAGCACAATCTCCATGACCCCTATCAGTCGGCTTATAGTCCTCTCCATAGCACTGAAACTGCTTTGTTGAAAGTTCTGAATTACATACAGTGTGTTGTGGACAATGGTGACATTGCTCTTCAAATTCTTCTTGATCTAAGTGCAGCTTTTGACATGATTGATCACTATAACAACCTGTTGACACATCTTGACTCAGAATTTGGAATAAGAGGATAGACACTGAAGTGGATTCAATCCTACAGATAGAACACAGAAAGTAGTCATCAATGGAATTTCATCCAGTCCTGTTTAACTTCAATGCGGCACCCCACAAGGATCGGTTTTGGGACCCACACTGTTCAGTCTTTACACCAGACCTCTTGGCAACATCAGCAGCAAACATATGCATGATCTCCTGCACCACTTGTATGCTGATGATGATCAGCTGTGTACTGGTAATCTTTTTATGCCAAGTCCTTCTGCTGCTGCCATGGCCATCTCCTGAACATCTGATTGTTGTGAAGAAATCAAACTTTGGATGACCAACAATTAACTACAGCTGAACCCCCGGAAAACAGGTCCACTGCAGACGGGTCAGAAATGCCAAATTCACCCTGTTGAGAGTGAACAATTCTACTATACCTCTGTCATCCCATGTGAAAGACCTCAGGGTTGTCAAGCAAATCAGCCACCTCTCTAAAGTCTGCAACCTACAATTAAGGAACATCAGCAAGATCAGACCCTGTCTATCACTAAAGAAGCTCCTTTGTCTGGCATTCCAATGCTACTCGCAAACAACCCCACAGTACCTCTGCGACTTACTTCCATTGCACTGTCCCAGCAGAACCCTTCGGTCTGAAACCAAACATCTGTTTTCTGTGCCAAAAATGAAACTCTCTAGTTTCGGGAAGAAATTGTTCACATATGCTGCAGCCGCTGCCTGGAACAATCATCCCCTTGATGTCCACCAGTGTCAAACCTCTTCTATCAAAACCCATCTTTTCCACCAAGCTTTCTTCTGATAAATCCTGACCGCCTCCGTGGTGTAGTGGTTAGAGCGTCCACCCGGAGAGCGGAAGGTCGCGGGTTCGATCCCCGACCGCGTCATACCAAAAGACGTTAAAATATGGTACTTGTTGGTCCCTGCCTGGCGCTCGGCATTAATGGGTACAACAAGGACTGGTCGGCTCGGAGTCAGTATAATGTGTCTGAGTGGGGTATTCATGCTTCACTGCCGCATGGTATCTCAGTGGGCTAGCACTATAAAACCAGCTTCAGTCTGGGCTAGTACAAGCAGCCGCACATACACATACACATGCATACACTTCGTCATATGAGCTAAATATTCTCAAGTACGACGTAAAACCCAATTTCATCTCACCTCACCTCTGATAAATCCTAACTGTACTGTGAGCATAACATCCAAGTATGGAAAAAGCACAATGCAAACTCACTGTTATTATTATTATTATTATTGGGTGCTGCTCCTTTCCCTGATTTAGTGATCATGTGTGAAGCTGTTGATAGTTCATCCCCACAGAGATATTGCTTGATTATAAGCAGCTAAAACTATTACAGTGTTTGAAATATAAAGTGAAAGGAAAGAGATCTATGTCCACAGATTTATTAAAACCTATTCAGAAAGTGTGAAGAAAGACACAGAAAAGATTCCCAGTTTTAATTAAAAATGTCCCATTTGCACAGAATTTATGGAACTCAGAACTTTAAAATCATCAAATATTTAAATCATGTTTTTGTGCCAAGTTGCTTAATGAGGACACCTAATTTTGATTCTTATATAAATCTCTGATGTCATTACCCTAATATGAAAGTTAACTTTTACATTATCACTATATTCCAATGCCCTTGTTAGATTTGATCACTGCATAATATACTGAAGGGAAAAAATAAAGGATTGTCTCTATTCTCTGACCTATATATATACAATGAGGACACTGATTGTAAGTATGCCCAGATGTTGCCAGACAGTTGCAATAGCATGTCAGGGACATACTCGATGCTGCCTTTCTTTATTTAAACTGAAAACAATGAATCAAGTCTGTTATGTTTGGCGTGATTAAAATCTGAAATTTTATGCAATCCCTCAATTTTTTCTCTCAGTATATATTCCATTCTCTTCCCTCAGAGGTTACTTGTCATATCTTCCTACGAACCTCTGTTCTAATACGGCCATATTTCCCGGTTCTCGTAAAATCCCTTAGCGGCAAAAGATCGCAACATGAATTATCTCCCTTCTTTCTATCCAATCAGAACACGTGTTACATCGACTAACACAAGCAAATGTGAGGCCACAAATATCCCCCATCTGCCGGGGACTTGTGTTGATGTTACACACAAGAAGTTTAATGGCTAGTCAACGAGGGCGATGGAGACGCCACTGATCCGCCATAACATGACTGAGTTCTGTCTAGAAGAAACGTTTAGTTTTCTCGAAGTATACGGAAATTACCAAGGCCTTGCGAATGATCACTTTTGAAACAACGTCGCTGATTGCACAACTAAATCTGATTGCCTCCAATCACGAGTCTTGAACGCTCACACCATGAAAGGGCCGTATTAGAACAGAGGTTACGTAGGAAGATATGACAGGAGTAACCTCTGTGGGAAGAGAATGTATATATTCATGCACAACTACATTGAGACAATATTTTGTGTTCTGCAGGAGCTTCATGCACACCTCAACACCAGTTTCAGCAAAGTGACGCTACAAGCTCTAGTGGACAGGAAGGTCAAACATGACCCGACCTTCACCTCCAACAAGATGACCTTTGATGGGAATGAGACAGCTGGAATAGAAGAGTAGGAAACAGACTTTCATAACTAGTCACATAAAACATAAAGAAACCTCATGCAAGCATGCTGAACCCTAAAGAGATGTAAACCATCTTGATACATGATCAAAACTATATCCATGGTAGAATAAGTTATCACATATCAGCTTGTCAATAAAGGTTTCATTAATATAGACAGGTAATTTCAGAAATGTTATGGTCAACCTTTGTGGAGGACTAAATGTTGCAGGTAGACATACTTCTTTATTATCTCGAAGACAGCATTTCCACTGTACATGCTGCCCCTATCTGACCTACAGCCAATTCACAGCTTCTACCAGTAACGTAATGACAATTTGAATTGTCACCTGTAGGCCTGGTATGATGCAGGGATTTACAGGACACAGACTCCTGCATCCTACATGCTTCAAAATTGACAATGGACGCAGCGAAATTTATTAACGCATCCACAGGGACGCAGAAAAGTTCAAATACTTTTGTAAAAATTCCAATCAAGTAACAATAATTTATCATTGAGTTTGCTACTAGCTGGGTTATGGTATCATTTGCAATTTAATTACTGTAACAATTAATGTGATGATCATGATACACAATACAATAACAGTATTTATAATAATATTTAAGTGCCTGGGACCCCCATTTTGTTGTCCAGGACCCATGAAAATTATAAGCATGAGTCCCAGGGACCCTCAAATGGCTGATGATGGCTGACAGACATCAACATTTTCTGATGTTGATCTTTCCCATTACAGGTAAGTGCTCTCCTTATATATTCATTCTACATCTATCTAATATTTTACTTAATTACTAATCAGGTAATATAATCATCAAGGTAGTTAATTCTGGGTTGTTGATCACATATAATGGAAATACACCACTTATCACTCATTACTAACTTAAACATTGCACTGGCATTTCACGTAAGACAGTGTGTGAGAGGAATAAATTGAATATATTTCATATCATAAAAAACATACTACACCAAGATCACTATTTCACAGATTTCACTGACCTTGTGCCGATTTGTGACGTCGGTAACCTAGTTTTCATTTTGATGGCTACAATATGCAACACCTGAGTAATTAAAAATATTTTGCCTATTTCACTTAATCCATTATTTTATTTATTGAATGTAATACAGACAGTTAATTGTCACCAGTCCGCCTGGTATGACAACCGACAGACATCAACATTTTCTGATGATGATGTTTCTCATTACAGGGATGTAAACAGCTTTTAGAAAAACTCCTTAATATTTGTCTGGGACAATAGGAAGCCTGAACCTGAGACAAAATGGTGCCCAAACAGGGACGGAGTTACCGTATATGAATGTTCAAGCGTAAGACAATGCCTAAGGAAAAGTTTCCTACAGGTGTGGTAGTGGCCGTTCATCCCAAGGGATGGATGGACGAGACTCTCGTGAACCGTTGGGTGGAGGACGTGTGGTCTGCGAGACCAGGAGGAATGAGAGGATGCAACGCACTCTTAGTTTGGGATATGTTTAGGGCCCATTTGTGTCAGTCAGTGAAGACCAGGTTAGTGGAGAAGAAGATGCACCAGGCAGTAATTCCGGGTTGCTGCACATCTATACTACAACCACTGGATGTTTCCCTGAACAAGCCGCTCAAAGGTGAACGAAGGGAAAAGTGGTTGAATGGATGATCAATGGTGAGCACACTTCTCACCAAGTCCAACGCAATGAGGAAGGCTCCACTCCACCGAAGTTGCAAGATGGGCCAGGGACTCGTGGAACCTAACTTCCCACCTTCATGGTTAAGAATTTGTTCTTGAAATGTGGCATTTCAAATGCGATGGACGGAACCGAGGACGATGCTTTGTTTTCGGAATTTCTGACGCCAGAAAACCGAAAAGAAGAAGAAGATGTGCTTATTTGTGACAATCTGGATGATTACTATGATGATACAACCAGCGATTAAGCGGTGACCTGAACTGGCTGGCGAGGACATGACACAGAATTTGATGGGTTTTACGGCCGATGACTTGTGAAAATCTCAGAACTCTCTTTGCAAAAAGTCAGTGTTTATTGTTAGTGGACTATTTTTCTTATTGTCATATATATATAGATGAAATATGGACACTTAAATAATATATTTTGAAACAAAAGTTGACTTCAGTTTTATTTTACCGATGGTACTTTTCTCTAACGGGTTCATATTGTATTGCACAACTAAATCTGATTGCCTCCAATCACGAGTCTTGAAGCAGCTCACACCATGAAAGGGCGTATTATTAGAACAGAGGTTCACGTGGGAAGATATGACAGGAGTAACCTCTGTGGGAAGAAAGAATGTATATATTCATGCACAACTACATTGAGACAATATTTTGTGTTCTGCAGGGCTTCATGCACACCTCAACACCAGTTTCAGCAAAGTGGCGCTTACAAGCTCTAGTGGACAGGAAGGTCAAACATGACCCGACCTTCACCTCCAACAAGATGACCTTTGATGGGGAATGAGACAGCTGGAATAGAAGAGTAGGAAACAGACTTTCATAACTAGTCACATAAAACATAAAGAAACCTCATGCAAGCATGCTGAACCCTAAAGAGATGTAAACCATCTTGATACATGATCAAAACTATATCCATGGTAGAATAAGTTATCACATATCAGCTTGTCAATAAAGGTTTCATTAATATAGACAGGTAATTTCAGAAATGTTATGGTCAACCTTTGTGGAGGACTAAATGTTGCAGGTAGACATACTTCTTTATTATCTCGAAGACAGCATTTCCACTGTACATGCTGCCCCTATCTGACCTACAGCCAATTCACAGCTTCTACCAGTAGCAACGTAATGACAATTTGAATTGTCACCTGTAGGCCTGGTATGATGCAGAGGTTACAGGGACACAGACTCCTGCATCCTCACATGCTTCAAAATTGACAATGGGCCTTGTGAAATTTATTAAGCATCCACAGGGCGCATGAAAAGTTCAAATACTTTTGTAAAAATTCCAATCAAGTAACAATAATTTATCATTGGAGTTTGCTACTAGCTGGGTTATGGTATCATTTGTTGCAATTTAATTTCACTGTAACAATTAATGTGATGATCATGATACACAATACAATAACAGTATTTATAATAATATTTAAGTGCCTGGGACCCCATTTTGTTGTCAGGACCCATGAAAATTATAAGCATGAGTCCCAGGGACCCTCAAATGGCTGATGATGGCTGACAGACATCAACATTTTCTGATGTTGATCTTTCCCATTACAGGTAAGTGCTCTCCTTATATATTCATTCTACATCTATCTAATATTTTTGCTTAATTACTAATCAGGTAATATAATCATCAAGGTAGTTAATTCTGGGTTGTTGATCACATATAATGGAAATACACCACTTATCACTCATTACTAAGCAAACATTGCACTGGCATTTCACGTATAAGACAGTGTGTGAGGAATAAATTGAATATATTTCATATCATAAAAACATACTACACCAAGATCACTATTTCCACAGATTTCACTGACCTTGTGCCGATTTGTGGCGTCGGTAACCCTAGTTTTCATTTTGATGGCTACAATATGCAACACCTGAGTAATTAAAAATATTTTGCCTATTTCACTTAATCCATTATTTTATTTATTGAATGTAATACAGACAGTTAATTGTCACCAGTCCGCCTGGTATGACAACCGACAGACATCAACATTTTCTGATGATGATGTTTCTCATTACAGGGATGTAAACAGCTTTTAGAAAAACTCCTTAATATTTGTCTGGGACAATAGGAAGCCTGAACCTGAGACAAAATGGTGCCCAAACAGGGACGGAGTTACCGTATATGAATGTTCAAGCGTAAGACAATGCCTAAGGAAAAGTTTCCTACAGGTGTGGTAGTGGCCGTTCATCCCAAGGGATGGATGGACGAGACTCTCGTGAACCGTTGGGTGGAGGACGTGTGGTCTGCGAGACCAGGAGGAATGAGAGGATGCAACGCACTCTTAGTTTGGGATATGTTTAGGGCCCATTTGTGTCAGTCAGTGAAGACCAGGTTAGTGGAGAAGAAGATGCACCAGGCAGTAATTCCGGGTTGCTGCACATCTATACTACAACCACTGGATGTTTCCCTGAACAAGCCGTTCAAGGTGAACGTAAGGGAAAAGTGGTCGGAATGGATGATCAATGGTGAGCACACTTTCACCAAGTCCAACGCAATGAGGAAGGCTCCACTCCACGAAGTTGCAAGATGGGCCAGGGACTCGTGGAACGAACTTCCCACCTTCATGGTTAAGAATTTGTTCTTGAAATGTGGCATTTCAAATGCGATGGACGGAACCGAGGACGATGCTTTGTTTTCGGAATTTCTGACGCCAGAAAACCGAAAAGAAGAAGAAGATGTGCTTATTTGTGACAATCTGGATGATTACTATGATGATACAACCAACGAATTAGCGTGGACGGAACTGGCTGGCGAGGACAGTGACACAGAATTTGATGGGTTTACGGCCGATGACTTGTGAAAATCTCAGAACTCTCTTGCAAAAAGTCAGTGTTTATTGTTAGTGGACTATTTTTCTTATTGTCATATATATATAGATGAAATATGGACACTTAAATAATATATTTTGAAACAAAAGTTGACTTCAGTTTTTATTTACCGATGGTACTTTTTCTCTTGGGTTCATATTTCCATACTCACCGATTTCACAAAATGGCATCTCGTTGATGCAAGCAGTGATCGTCGGGATATAAAAAGGAACACAAACACATGTTGCCACAATACACCGGTAATCTTTATTATGTAATATTCTCACCAACACTTACGCTGTATATCCACTTTCCAAATGGTGTCTCGTTGTTGATGCAAGCAGTGATCGTTAAAAAAGGTAAACAAACACTGGTAATCTTTATTATGTAATATTCTCACCAACACTTATGCTGTATATCCACTTTCCAAATGGCGTCTCGTTGTTGATGCAAGCAGTGATCGTTAAAAAAAGGTAAACAAACACCGGTAATCTTTATTATGTAATATTCTCGTAATGGTGTCTCGTCGTTGATGGAACATACTTACCGGGTACCCTGGTCTCTGTTGGCCGCGACCCATCGCGGGGGGCCGGCCTATCCATGAGAGATATGATTTTGACACTGATTTTGAGGGTCAAGTTTGGGGGTCGGCTTATCCATGGGATTGGCTTATAGACGGTCATATACGGTACACAACGTTGATGATGAGCCTGCTTACATGTGCCACAAACAATATATCAACCATATGTTGAACTATGAAACTTTCATCTGTGATATTGAGTGTGATTGACTTTTGACAAGTAGTCATCTTCAGGAAAACTTACGCATAATTGTTTAATAAACACATTGTCACCGATGTCATCCAGACCTGTAGGTCCTAACTGAAGTGTTCTGTGTAAACATTCATTGTACATCCGATTATCTGTCATTGAATGATAAAGCTTCATAAATAAACTTGCTTTAGTTCTATCTTCACACCGTTAGTTGTATTATTCACCTATCATTTTGAGCTAGTATAGTTACATCTGCAGTTCATACTTTTAGTTCATGTGCTGATAGTATATAGATTAGCATTTAGTTTTAGTTAAGTTTGTTAGATTTAGTTTTATTGTCTTAAGCTCATAGTCTTTTAAAGGACAATGTTTAGTTTAGTGTTGTCATCGCTCTTGGTCGTTTGCCATTCATTATTGTTCATATCATGTGCATGTGTGTTTGAGAATTTTTCCATCACATACACTTGCACCAGTAAGGATCTTTCTCATTACAGGTAAGCACTGTCCTTTCATTCTACATCCATCTCTAATTGCTGGTAGAATAATGAAATCTAATATGTCACTTAATTACTAATCAGGTAATGTAATCATCAACGCAGTAAGTGTTTGGTTATTGATCATGTATAATGTAAATATCCCACTAACTTAGGACCTGATATAGGAAACACCCACGTAACTAACATGGGACCTGATATAGGAAACACCCACGTAACTAGCATGGGACCTGATATAGGAAACACCCACGTAACTAACATGGGACCTGATATACGAAACACCCATGTAACTAACATGGGACCTGATATAGGAAACACCCACATAACTAACATGGGACCTGATATAGGAAACATCCATGTAACTAACATGGGACCTGATATAGGAAACACCCAATGCGTAACTAACATGGGACCTGATATAGGATACACCGCGTAACTAACATGGGACCTGATATAGGATACACCCGCGTAACTAACGTGAGTCCTGATATAGGAAACACCAACGTACCGACGTAACTAACATGGGACCTGATATAGGAAACACCCACGTAACTAACATGGGACCTGATATAGGAAACACCCATGTAACTAACATTGGACCAGATATAGGAAACACCCATGTAACTAACATGGGACCTGATATAGGAAACACCCACGTAACTAACATGGGACCTGATATAGGAAACACCCACGTAACTAACATGGGACCTGATATAGGAAACACCCAGGTAGCTAACATGGGACCTGATATAGGAAACACCCACGTAACTAACATGGGACCTGATATAGGAAACAACCATGTAACTAACATGGGACCTGATATAGGAAACACCCACGTAACTAACATGGGACCTGATATAGGAAACACCCAGGTAACTAACATGGGACCTGATATAGGAAACACCCACGTAACTAACATGGGACCTGATATAGGAAACACCCACGTAACTAACATGGGACCTGATATAGGAAACACCCACGTACCGACGTAACTAACATGGGACCTGATATAGGAAACACCCACGTAACTAACATGGGACCGGATATAGGAAACACCCATGTAACTAACATTGGACCAGATATAGGAAACACCCACGTAACTAACATGGGACCTGATATAGGAAACACCCACGTAACTAACATGGGACCTGATATAGGAAACACCCATGTAACTAACATGGGACCTGATATGTTATCAACTTTTCCTGATGTTTATCTTTCTGAATGCAGACAAATAAACAGCTTTTAAAAACCCTGTCTTCTTAATATTTCTCTGGGACAATAGGAAGCTTGAACTGTGACAAAAATATGACGCTAACTTGTCAACATGATATGTGATTCTATCTCTTATTTGACCTGTTCATTGAGTTTTGGTACCTCCGTTCTCACTGGCATTTAGTTTTTTAATGAAAATTGAATTAGTTCCAGCAATACCAACAGTGCAGGACAAGCTTGCCCTTTCCACAAACATCTGGTGTCATAGTAATCCATTCATGTAATTTCCATCTCTAGTTTGGCATCATGCCACATAGAAACTGGTTCGTCAGATATCCGAAACTGACTATCCTCTGATATTTTGAATTCACAATTAATTAAAACAGTCACATGTGTTCCGTGCAGTATGTTGTAATCACTTTGTTTACTTTCCAGATCATTCAACATTTTTAAACAAATCCACATGATATGCAATGACGCTCACGCCATCTACACTGTAAGTACTAGCAATAACCATTGGATTCTCCCTTCTCGTAATAATTGTTGTCAACAAGATACAGATTCACCTGCAATCAGTCATCTCCACAGCAGCTTGAGCTGGAATTTGAGCTTTAATATTTCCAGGTTTTAACAAACCTGTATAGAAAGGGCAGAGTTTTTATTCATTATAGCTGATTTTCTGACATCAAAGGGGCGATGGCGTAGCCTAGTGGTTAAGGCGTTCGCTCATCACGCTGCAGGCTTGGGTTCGGTTCCCCACATTGGTGCTATGTGTGAAGCCCATTTCTGGTGTTCCCCGCCGTGATATTGCTGGAATACTGCTCAAAGCGGCTTAAAACTAAACTCACTCACTCGCTCACTCCGAATCAAATTGTTCTTGTTTTCTTCCTTTCATGCCATCTTTTGGTATGATGTGTCTTGTGATCAAATCTCCAATCTTTCCCTCTCTGGGCATACACTCTGTATCCATGAGATCACCAGTTCATGATAGCAACAAGGACTGGTCGGCTCGAGGTCCGTATAATGTGTCTGAGTAGGGTATTCATGCTTTACTGCAGCAAGGTATCTCACTGAGCTAGCACTATAAAACAAGCTTCAGTCGGGGCTAGTACAAGCAGCCACACATACACGCATGCACATCGTAGTCATATGACCGAAATATTCTCAAGTACGACGTTAAACCCCATTTCTCCTCACCTCTCTGTTCCTTGTCATGAATAACATTGATCTGCCCTCAGCTGACCCATGACATCATACATGAGTTTGCTGAGGACAACGTGAAGTACCTGGAGCTCCGCTCAACCCCAAAGACAATCCCAGAGACTGGACTGACCCCCGAGGTGTATCTGGACTGTATGTTGAGGGCTGTGCGTGAGTGTGAAGAGGGAGGGGTGGACACCATTGTGAGGATACTCCCCTCCATTGACCGCAGGAATGGGGTGGACGTGGCGTACAAGACTGTGGACCTGGCCCACAAATATGCCCAGTCATCCAATGGTGTTGTGTGCGGGATCGACTTTAGTGGAGACCCATTGGTAAGTCTTCTGTAATGAGATAAGTTGCTTGGTTGTTTAATATCACACTTAGGAGATAAACATCATGTGTTGGCCAATTTCCGGGTGTTATTGAGTATTTGAAGCACGGGAATTCATTTGGAACCAACGGCGTCAGCCAGAGGTTTCAAATGAAATATTCCCGTGCTTCAGATACTCAATAACACCCGGAAATTGGCCAACACATGATGTTTATCGACATTGTAAACACAAAATTAAACCAAAAGGTCCACACACGTTTTTGTGTCTGCACGGGTACAGCAGTGAAATGTCATCAGCCGGATGTTCGGCTGTCTCCCGTGGTAGCATCTGGACCTGCTCATTTGTGACGTCATTCGGACTTTACGTCACAATATGATTTTAATGACGTCATCACAGCTGACGACGTAACAATACAATTGTGTGAGCAATGTTTGTATGTATTAATACGCAGTGAATTTCCGGGAATCGAATACCATTTGATCACGTTTTTCAACCAATCAGATGAAAGAACATAGTGACTTTTGGTTTACAATCAGCAATATTCCAGCTATATGACGGCTGTTTTCAAATAATGAAGTTCAGACCAGACAATACAGTGATCACCAGCATACGCATCGATATACGTAATTGGGATATGATGACGTGTCAACCAAGTCAGCGGATCCCGTTAGTCGTCTCTTATGTATGACAAGCATGGGCTACTGAAGACCAATTCTAACCAGGATCTTCAAGGTCATTCTAACCCAGATCTTCATGGGTCTTAATTAGATAACCACATGTCAAGGTGGAATATGTCCGATGTACCTCATGCGTGTTAGAAGAGGTTTCTGTTGCAAACAGGATTTATCTTGGCCATGGTATCAAATGTGTAACTGGTGAGCATCTGGTTTAAACAGTCTGAATTGATTGTACGCAACAATGCTTATTCTATAAACCATTGGTTTCCACAATGGCGTGACTTATAATTCTTAAATATATTGTACATTGCAATGAAAATATATGAGGGTTTTTTTTAGAAATTGTGACATTTCAAATCAGTGAATGATTCATTTTTAGTTCATGTAGAATGTGCTGTGTACTCTTTCTGTGGCCCAACCATGGATGCATTATGTGTCATGCAAAACGCTGTAATGATGTTTCATGTGCAACATTTTTGGTGAAAAATTTAATGATCTGTTGACCAGTGTCACTATTCTAGAGTAATGAAATACAGTGCTGTGGAGAACTAATTTGAGTAGTACTGCATTAATTATGTTCAAATCCAGAGAATAATAGTCTTGATTATCAGCCAAAACAAATTCCACTGGACATTTATGGAAAAATATTGGAGAAAAATATATGAATATATGACAAAAAATCAGTGATGACACAATTAAATGTGGAAAGGGTAGCCATTATGTAAGTTGTTTCTTGTCACAGGTTGGAGATGCTGCAGACTATATCCCTGTCTTCCAGTATGCTCACAGCAAGGGGCTGAAGCTGGCTTTACATCTAGCTGAGGTGAGTCAACACAGCTTATGGTATACATAGGCTCCTGTATCAGAAGACCAGTCAGTTAAATCTATTACATCTGACAGGCATTAACATACCGTATATTACCGTCTATAAGCCGAATTTTGATGACCAAAAAAAGCAGTCTGTAGAAGGGGGTCATCTTATCCATGGGTTATGCTTTCGTCAAACTTTTTTCCAGGGGTAAGAAAACAACATCGTATCACTTCGCGTGAACAAACGACAGAAGACGACTTTGTCAGTAGAGACGTCAAATTTGCAATTAAACATGTTGAAAGATGTCAAATTGTTCAGTGTTAGTTCTGGCAGTGTTGTTTGTCATGTAAATCTTTGTCAACACAGATTGGGTTTGGTATGGTTTGTGTTTCACGTCACACTCAGCAATATTCTAGCTATATGGCGGCGGTCTGTAAATAATTGAATCTGGACCAGACAATCCAGTGATCAAGAGCATGACCATCGATCTACACAATAGGGATACAATGACATGTGTCAACCAAGTCAGGAGCCTGACCACCCGATCCCCTTAGTCGCCTCTTACGACAAATATGGATCTTCACAGGTATTGTCAACACAGACCCGACATAATCCCAGTTTCTATACTTAAGTCTGATTCGGTGTAGATTGCCAGCTTCAAGGAGACCTATGAAGTTATCAAGGGCACTACTGTTGGAAGGATAGGTCATGGGACGTTTCTGCATCAGTGTCCCGAAGACTACAAGGACCTAACACAATGTGTTCTACAACAACGCATCCCCATTGGTGAGTGTTGTCCAGTACGAGCACTCCTTGCCATCACTGAGGGTAATGGTAGCCTAGCTATCACAAGTAACAACACAATGCCCTTGGGGTTACCAGTTTTAAACATAGATAATATTTAAAAGCTGTTGATTATACCTAACTTTCAGTTCAGTGGAAACTGACAGACATGTAGTTATTTCTGGAAACTCTGGGTAACCTCTGATCTGCTTCTCCCTACTTCAAATCTAGGGATTGCAGTGGGGTAGACCAGTGATTAAAGCGTTCCTTCATCATACCAAAGCCTGGGTACAATGTGTGAAGCCCATTTCTGGTGTCCCCTGCTGTGACATTGCAGGAATAATGCTGGAATATTGCTAAAAGCGGCGAAAAACCCAACTCACTCCCTCCCTCACTCACTCACACTCCAAATTTAGGGTGATTAAAGGGCACTTTTGCTTCTCTTGGGTCCAGTCTGTTGGGTATTCTTACTCCAATATGAAGCTCATATCTGGAATCCCCTTGATAACTTGACAACGATACAAGAATCTGAATCCAAATGTCGTAATCACAAAAAAAAAGCTGTTTGTCAATATTGTAGTTCCCAGCTTCTAAAATGCCACTCAAAGTAGTCTTCTTTCACTGACTGTGTTCCAGAAACATGTATGACCTCCAACTTGAAGGCTCAGACAGTGTCGGACTACAGCTCACACCACCTGGAGTACTGGTACAACAAGCAACACCCAGTCATTATCTGTGTAAGTTACCTCTACTACTATCAAGGTTGATTGTCATCCTTAAGATCCTGTCTTTGAACTCAAGAATAATGGTTTGTACGTCAAAGAAGCTTGGTATTCAACCATCATGATGGCAGGGCTTCCCTCTTGAAAGATCGTGGGGCGGGATCGGAAGACCCGGGTTCGAATCCCCACATGGGTACCTTGTGTGAAGCCCATTTCTGGTGTCCCCCGCCGTGATGTTGCTGGAATATTGCTAAAAGTGGCGTAAAACCAAACTCACTCACTCACTCACTCTTGAAAGATCGTAAGTGACCTCTTTGTAAGGACACAGTGATGTCATATTCTAAAGTAAGATATTTTTACTAAAACTCCCTTTCTGCATATGTGTTAAATCTTACAGATGCAGGGTTTGTGACTGGAACACTCAGATTACCCCGCAGTTTAACCGAAACTTCAGTATCGCAAAGGCCGTTTTTGCGAAGGCTGACTGTACTTGGTTTGATAGACTATTTTATGACAGTGCATGACTGGAACACTCAGATTACCCCGCAGTTTAACCGAAACTTCAGTATCGCAAAGGCCGTTTTTGCGAAGGCTGACTGTACTTGGTTTGATAGACTATTTTATGACAGTGCATGACTGGAACACTCAGATTACCCGCCCAGTTCTTGAAACTTCAGTATCGCATAAAGGCGTTTTTGCGAAGGCTGACTGTACTTTGGTTTGATAGACTATTTTATGACAGTGCATGACTGGAACACTCAGATTACCCGCGAAGTTTAACCGAAACTTCAGTATCATAAAGGCCGTTTTCGCGAAGGCTGACTGTACTTGGTTTGATAGACTATTTTATGACAGTGCATGACTGGAACACTCAGATTACCCGCGGTTTAACGAAACTTCAGTATCGCCAAAGGCGTTTTCGCGAAGGCTGACTGTACTTGGTTTGATAGACTATTTTATGACAGTGCATGACTGGAACACTCAGATTACCCGCAGTTTAACCGAAACTTCAGTATCGCGAAAGGCGTTTTGCGAAGGCTGACTGTACTTGGTTTGATAGACTATTTTATGACAGTGCATGACTGGAACACTCAGATTACCCCGCAGTTTAACCGAAACTTCAGTATCGCAAAGGCCGTTTTTGCGAAGGCTGACTGTACTTGGTTTGATAGACTATTTTATGACAGTGCATGACTGGAACACTCAGATTACCCCGCGGTTTAACCGAAACTTCAGTATCGCAAAGGCCGTTTTTGCGAAGGCTGACTGTACTTGGTTTGATAGACTATTTTATGACAGTGCATGACTGGAACACTCAGATTACCCGCGCAGTTTAACCGAAACTTCAGTATCGCATAAAGGCGTTTTATGCGAAGGCTGACTGTACTTGGTTTGATAGACTATTTTATGACAGTGCATGACTGGAACACTCAGATTACCCCGCAGTTTAACCGAAACTTCAGTATCGCAAAGGCCGTTTTTGCGAAGGCTGACTGTACTTGGTTTGATAGACTATTTTATGACAGTGCATGACTGGAACACTCAGATTACCCCGCGGTTTAACCGAAACTTCAGTATCGCAAAGGCCGTTTTCGCGAAGGCTGACTAATACTTGGTTTGATAGACTATTTTATGACAGTGCATGACTGGAACACTCAGATTACCCGCGGTTTAACCGAAACTTCAGTATCGCCAAAGGCGTTTTCGCGAAGGCTGACTGTACTTGGTTTGATAGACTATTTTATGACAGTGCATGACTGGAACACTCAGATTACCCAGCGGTTTAACGAAACTTCAGTATCGCCAAAGGCGTTTTGCGAAGGCTGACTGTACTTGGTTTGATAGACTATTTTATGACAGTGCATGACTGGAACACTCAGATTACCCGCAGTTTAACGAAACTTCAGTATCGCAAAAGGCGTTTTTGCGAAGGCTGACTGTACTTGGTTTGATAGACTATTTTATGACAGTGCATGACTGGAACACTCAGATTACCCCGCGGTTTAACCGAAACTTCAGTATCGCAAAGGCCGTTTTTGCGAAGGCTGACTGTACTTGGTTTGATAGACTATTTTATGACAGTGCATGACTGGAACACTCAGATTACCCAGCGGTTTAACCCGAAACTTCAGTATCGCAAAGGCCGTTTTTGCGAAGGCTGACTGTACTTGGTTTGATAGACTATTTTATGACAGTGCATGACTGGAACACTCAGATTACCCCGCGGTTTAACCGAAACTTCAGTATCGCAAAGGCCGTTTTTGCGAAGGATGACTGTACTTGGTTTGATAGACTATTTTATGACAGTGCATGACTGGAACACTCAGATTACCCCGCCATTTAACCAAACCCACGGTATCTCAAATTGCGAGGGATGATTCTACTTGGTTTTATAGACATTTGTATGACAATAGACAGTTGAATGCTAAAACTTCTTCTCCTTCATTTATTGTAGACTGACGGGAAGGGTGTGTACCAGACCACAGTCACGGAGGAATACCTACATGCAGCACAAGCATTTGGACTGACACGCCTCCAGTTGTGGCAGCTCTCACTTCAGTCAATAGACCATATATTTGCAGATGAAGCAACTAAACAGACTCTCAGACAAAAGTGGAGCTCTATCAAACCATCCTTGGACTTCCAGGACGAGTGAGGGAAAAGCAGCTTATGTCTTCACATGCCTTTCTATGAATTCATTTCACTGAGAAATGCCAGCTATAATGATATTAAACTAGTCAGTCCTGGGCCCACTTGCACAGAGCAATCTTAGTTACAATCAATCTTAGGGCCTTACAATCAACTTTACAATCACCATACAATTGCCCTAATCCACTTGCACAAAGCCGATCTTAGAGCGATTGTAAGACCGTATGGATTTAAGATCCCGATCTTAGCTAAGATCGCACTCTTCAACGGTGGAGGTGCGAATTTCTTAAACTCGACTCCTGTCTACAGTTGTCTGCAAGTGCGCATAGCATACTGCGCAAATAGAGAGTGATACTGGTCCCAGCACACAATACATACCTCCCTCAATCGCACCTTGCAGAATTTTCATGACAAACATTCCAAGAAATCTTGAAGGAACCGACACGTGGGCGATAGCATATATTTTTTCTACATTTTAACTGTCTTGATTTATGAATTGAGAATGTGATATTTCAACCACGGAAATACCTACCCATGTTTTATGAAAATATTGAACTGCGAAAAATACATTCATAAATTTGGGTCTAGATTTAGTGACTTAATAATTATGAAAATTATAATAATATATCAAAATATCGACAATATTTACTTATGATATAACACCTAAATGCATGATTTGCCACTGGTTGTCAATGAGACATTGTTTAATGCACAGCTGGTTTTTTTTTTTCCTTTTTGTTTTTTGTGTATGTAAAATCAAAATATACCCTAGAAGTATTGGTTTTCTCACAATATAACCAGAAAATGTAATATGGCTACAGAAGTGTTGTAAAGAATTCATGACAGGGAAATCACGAATATCAAATAATATATCGAGAGAGCAGTTGTTAAATTTTTTCCTTATCCTGACTCATGCTCTTTTGCTTGTCCCCTTCCTCTTGCGAACATAGTGGAACACTTGTATCTCCTTAATTGAAGCTCCTTCAATGTAAAATCACTAATTGGTACTCACCCACGAGTTACCTCCCCTGCCGTGGCGGGAACAGGTGTCGCCACCCTCTGGCCTCATGCTTCACTCTCTCCTTCTTAGCCCAGTGAGCAGGATGTGAAGCGCCTGTGTCTCCTTACACACTATATCCTTTGGTTTTCTTAGTTAGTTACCTTTTATAGTTTACTATAAAGGTATAGCTAGTATCCTTCAGTTATTTGCGTTAATAATTAATCATTATTTCTACTGTTTATTCCGTGAGTTAAGTGATTGTTCAGCTAGTTTTACATTGATGAAAAACTGTACTATTTGTAGATTACGTTTTCGCTCGCGGATCGCATGTGGTATGCCCTAGTTGTACTCGCCTTGTGCGTTTGACTCCGTTGCAGTTACTGCATAAATTTAACCAATTCTGCCTTTGATAAATACCATCTTTGCGTCTTGAGGCGTGTTGCAGATAGAGTCCGCGCAAACTAGGTGTAGACATGGCGATCGTCCGGATTGCCCATCCAGTCAACTGCTGTCGAGTGATCCCCTCCGTCTGGTGTTCTGCTTGAGACCCCATCGGAAGGGGCGTGGGATGCAGTCCGTCACCTCTAAGAAGCGACCGGCCTCTCCAGACATCCAGTCGCGCGCAGACAAAGTCAAGAGGGCCTCAGCGTCTTCTCAGCGCAGACCGTACCCCAGGGCAGCGTCTTCCTCAAAGGGAAATCACGAAGTCATCGAGAACTTTCTCAGGCGAGATCGTTCCAGCAGCAGAATTGGGCCTCACGATGACCAGCCGATCATCATACCGACATGCATACAAGAAGCGACCAGTGACAGCGACAGTGGCGTCAGCAGAGATCAACAAGCAGCCTGATGCCTCTACACTGATGTCAGGCGAGATGCGGCTGAGGCCCCACCGCTAACACAGCAGAAAGGGCACCATCTACTCGTCGCAGATCATCCCAAAGCGATCTTATGAAACAGATCATGATTATGATGGAAGGCCACTATAGACTGGAGAAGCAGCCATCCCAGGGTCGAGCCAGCGAAGGCTCCAGCGTGAACAGCACCCAGGGGCACCATCTGTCAGCGTAGCAGCCCGCGACAATGCAGCCAGCGAAGGAAGTCACAGACCACCTCGGCGAAGGACCCAGATGTACAGCCAGCGAAGGCCTTAGCGGCGGGAAGAATCATCACCTTCTTGGCGTCATACTCAGATATGGAATCTGATCGCAGACCACCGCAAGCCTTGGCGAAGGTCATATCATCGTTCCCCAGGACCCGGACATCTGAAGCTGAAGAAGCGAAGCGTTGAAGGACACCTGAACCCAGATCGTCTTCATCTAAAAGATCAGCAAGGGACTACACAAGAGCTTAGCGAAGCTATCAGTCCCCTCATAGATCGCCAAGAAGGTCAACCTATCGATATAGATCACCAAGGCGATCACCTCGCCCGATCACCGCGTCGATCACCTCACAGGTCTGCACATAAGCCTACAACTAGATCTCCACAAGCGTCAAGCGATATAGAGATAGAGCCACACAGCCCTACATCAGAAGAGCAACAACCTCTTATCTATGATGATGGAATGGAAGATGATGGAGGAATTATTTTCTCAGATGCAGAGATAAGATATTGGATGGTCAATAATCTAGATCTCTCATCACCTTCAAAGTGGCAATAAAGAGCAGACTTATCTGATGAAAGAAGATGGCGCAGATGCTATTACACTACCCCAATCGACCCGATTGCGGCGGTACCTCAGAACCTAGATACAGCATTTAACAAAGCCACAAAGGTTCAGGCGCCACATCTGCCAAATTTCAGAAGCCAAGAAGTTCTCCCGCATAATATGGAACCCTTCTTCAAAGCGCCAAGACATCGATGAGAACTATAAGCTGATCTCCGATGCCAAGAACAAGTACTACAAGATTGATGATGGAAATTGGTTCAGATAGAAACCATGGCGCCAGTATGTTCTTCGGTCTAAATAGATCTAGAACAATAAATGAGACACTTATCTCCAGATTTGAACCACGACCTCTGAAGATGACAGAATGATTTACTTTCGGCCCTACTGATGCAAAGAAGGACCAGCAGTTTTAACAGATCATCTGGCGTCTGTCTCAGCAGCACTGACCTTAGCTCGTCGTCAAGGCCTCCTAGCTTCCTGCAACTGGGGTGAGAACTTTACAGCTCCACTATATACAGCCCGTGGTCTTCCCCATCCATATTTGGCGGAGGAATAGACACAGTCTCAAAGAAGTCACCAAGGATTCTAGAGAAGTCCTGATGATTAAATCGATGGACCGCTAGCCAGTGTCATTCGACAGACTTCACAAAGATACTCAGGGAGATCTAAATTCACGGGCCTACAAAGAGCTAGAGACAGGAAGATTGCCAGTTCAGGGGAAGAGATTCTTTTAAATTAAGCCCATATGGCAACTATAGAGGAGGGTCAGGGCGAGGCAGGACACCCAGAGGTTCCCGCAACTATAAGCGCTGAAAGACAGGTTGAGCGACTGGAGTCTTCCACCCCAGCCGTTCCAGTACAACCGTCACAAGTGGGTGGGCGTCTTCAACTACACTGGGAAAACTGGGGAATACTTCAAGACACCTATGTCTCCAACATTCTTCAGCAGCAGTTTCAGTATCCCACTACAGGCCAAGCCTCCACTAACAGTCAACCCTCACAAGTTCGAGGTAGAGGCACAACAACTACTAAAGTTAAAGAGGCGGTTACATTACTCCTAACCAAGCAGGCCATAGAAGTAATAGAGCAAGGAAACATCGAACCAGGTTTCTACTCCCCAGTTTTCCTAGTACCCAAGAAGAACTCCAAGGAGAAATACAGACTCATTTACAACATGAGCTTATTCAACAAGACTTACTTAAACAAACCACCCAGGTTCACTATGATACATCTACGCAGCTACGGACAGATGATTAAGCCCCATGGACTACATGGGCAGTATAGATCTACAAGATGCTTATCTGCACATCCCAATACATCCCGAATCCAGGAAATACCAGCCGGTTTCGCTAGGCGGGTTACATTACCAGTGGAAAGTACTCCCATTGAATAGCATCAGCCCCATGGTTATTCCGAGGGATAGCGAAACCGATTGTTATCTATCTACATCGTCAAAGGGCTCGCGCAGTGCGTTCTTCCTCGACTGACGGGATACAAGTAGATCAAGATCCACAGCATCTCAAACTACAGTTAAACTACATCATAAAGCTACTAACACAGCTGGGATGGTTAGTAAACTTACACAAGTCGGACCTAGTACCATCGCCAAGATCTGCAATTCCTAGGAATCCGATTTATCACCAATCTCAACCGTATAGTGGTACCAGAAGACCGTTGGCTCAAGATCAACAGATCATTCCACCAGCTCTACTGTCACGCTACCGCCGACAATGGCAGAGCTTACTAGGTCTTCTAACATCAGCCCAAGACTTGACAGTCATAGGCAGATTACAGTTCGTCCGTTACAGGTCTTCGTCAATACACATCTCGGCGACCTACAACCATTCAGTCTACCGATACATCTCAGACCTCATCTATTATGGTGGACAAAGAAATCGAATGTCTGCGAAGGGATTTGTTTAGCAGAGCAGGAATTCAAGACCCATCTATATGTAGGCAGCGTGGCTCCAAGGTTGGGGAGCTCATCTCTCCAACCGGACGACATCAGGGTTATGGACTCAGCTAGAAAGCAAACTCCACATAAGCGCATTAGAGATGAAAGCTGTAATCAGCGCCATAAGACATTGGAGCAACATTCTACAGAATCGCACCTGATGATACATACCGACAACTTCGACAGTGGCGTTTTATGTGAACAGACAAGGCTCAGCGAGATCGCCCGAACCTTTTGAATTTAACCTTTCAACTGTTGAATTAATCCAAGATCTAAATCTACATGTCAAAGCATGCCACATTTCCGGGCCAGGAATATACTAGCAGGCGCTCTCTCGGCCACATCTACCGTCGCCCGACAGAATGGATGCTCAATACAGAGATATTTGCACAGATAATCAAGCAAATAGGGGGCCGCTAGTAGATCTATTAAGCCACAAGGTTCAACAATCAACTACCGACATTACGTGTCACCAGTGCCAGACCCACAAGCATGGGCAACAGGCGGCTCTAAGCATTTCATGGGAAGGCCTCAATGCGTGCAGCGTTCCGCCCCAGCAATAATACCTCTAGTATTACAGAAAATCAACCAAGCGCCAGAGCCTACAACTCACTTTGGTGCAGCCCTATTGGCCGGCCAGAGCGTGGTTTCCGCCTTAATACAAGATATCGGTCAACCCGGCACTAGAACTACCCAAAGTGGCGCAAACCTGTTAATACATCCTCACACCAAACAGGTGCACAGAAACCCAGAAGTATTCAAACTTCGCGTATGGACTGTATTAAAATGTGTTTAAACAAGAGAGGATATTCTACCAGAGGCAAAAGCGGTCACGCTTGCATACGATACTCAGCGCGGCAATGCGATGACAAGTGGCAAAGTTTGAAAATTATGCAACAAACAAAGGGTTTTACAGCGAGATGCTCACGCATCCTCAAGTGGCAGACTATTTGTGTTACTTACGGCAAAACAAACATTTAAAAGGCTCGACATTGTCAACATATCTTGCAGCTTAGTTCTGTGATTTCTATGAGAGCGGGTGTTAAATTAACAAGAACACCAGAGTTACTGGCCTTACTACGTGCTTTCGATTGGAGGACCAAAGCGGAAATTCCGCCCAGCTTGGGATCTGAATGTAGTTTCACGACACCTCACAAGTGAGGATTACGAACCATTGGAATCGACAGCGTTTGAATTTCTCTCACAGAAAACAGTCTTCCTGTTATAAGCTAGCCACGGCAGCCAGAATATCTGAAATTCATGCTCTAGATTATGAGAGGATACAGTTTGATGAAAATCAAAGACAAGCACCTGGGATTAAGATGGGATTTCATCGCTAAAATCAACTACCAGGTCAACCAGACAGGTTATTTCACATCCCTGCGCTATCCTCAATTCTTGGATCTCAAGATACATTGGACTTATCTCTATGCCCAGTACGAGAGCTCTCATAATCTATTTCGTGGATTTCCAAAACAAAGGCGAAGATCGGCTCAGAAGATTGTTCATCCGTTATAAGCCTACAAATCAGACAGAAGTCTCTCGTACCACCATATCAATATGGATAAGAACTGTCATTTTCTGGCCTATAAGGCAGCAGGACTGGACCCTCCAACAGCATCAAATCCCCATGAAATCAGGGCATTGGCATCCACCCTCGCCCTTCATGGTAACTGTTCATTGAATACAATTATGGAAGGATGCTTTTGGAAATCTAACATGGTGTTTGCTAATCACTATCTCAGAGATATCACCACGAGGGCGTCTCTGGCATTCATCATTTCGGTCCTTTGGTCCTCGGCTCAGCAATTGACAGTCCCTCGTGGCGTTAATATTCACTTACGAGATTATTAGATATATGATACATATATTCACTAGCTTATAACTCCATGGAGTTCTAGGGCTATGTACATATTTAGCTTAGGTTATTCAACCTTAAGCTCATACTGAGTTATATTCAGTGTACAGCTACGTTAGAGTAGCAGTTTATATATATATATTGATATATCAGTATATTAGTAAGGTAATACCCCACTTATAGTGTATATATCTATGGATTATTATAAGGAAATATCCTAAGTCTCAATGCCTTATGAAGTTCCCATGAAGTTATTACAATATCACTTACTTAAATCACTAATTAATCCAAAGTATTCTGTTTACCCACCACCTCTCCGATTGGATTCTACAAACAAAGAGCATGAGTCAGGATAAGGAAAAATATGTAATTTTCTGAGTAAAATTGATATTTTATACTTATCCTGACTCATGAATTAACCCTCCATCCTCCCCACATAACACTTTGGATTTCCCTGTAAATTCAAGTGTTGGGCTCGCAAAATCAGGAGAGAGTGAAGCATGAGGCCAGAGGGTGGCGACACCTGTTCAGCTTCTACGGCAGGGGAGGTAACTTCGTGGGTGAGTACCAATTAGTGATTTTACATTGAAGGAGCTTCAATTAAGGAGATACAAGTGTTCCACTATGTTAAGCAAGAGGAAGGGACAAGCAAAGAGCATGAGTCAGGATAAGTATAAAATATCAATTTTACTCAGAAAATTACATGATCGCGATCTTAAGGATTTACAATAATTGTAGCGCTAAGATCGTTCTGTGCAAGTGGGCCCTGGACATGCTGGAGCACAATCACTAATGAACATAAAAGGAGCCATACACTGAAGGCCATTGAAGGTACCAAGTATTCATGGCTGTTGGAGCCATACATTGGAGGCTGTTCAAGGTGTCAATCACTGAAGGCCGCGGTCAACTGTAAAATCAAGCTTTAAATATAGTGGTTACTCATTTCAGTCATACAGCACTGATATTGGTGAGGGGCGGTGGGGTAGCCTAATGGTTAAAGCTTTGGCTCGTCACGCCGAAGACCCAGATTTGAATCCCCACATGGGCACAATGTGTGAAGCCCATTTCTGGTATCCCCGCCGTGATGTTGCTGGAATATTGCTAAAAACGGCGTAAAACCAAACTCAGTCAGTCAGTGATATTGGTGAACTGAGATTAACATGACCACCATAAACATGTTACTCAGAGGTGCTATTTGGAAATAAACATGAGGCAATCATTCCTTTACCTATAATACAGCAGTGTGGTCTGTACTGAGTTGAGTGTGGCTGGTGAATACTGCTTGAGACTCCGTATTGGTAATATATTGGCTTGTAGGGTCAGTCCCAGGGGGAAAGACAGCTTTGCTTTCATTCTACTCATCCTCACCCGCCTTGGCTCTGTCTTGTTGTCCCTTGCATCTAATCCTTCATGTTTCTTTCCCTCACTTCCCTTCATTGCTATGACTGTCCTGAATTTCTTTCTCTCCTTTCCCTTGCCTCTCTACATTTGTCCTCAACTGCCTTCCTCTGGATTTCACGGGGCAGTGGGGTAGCCTAGTTGTTAAAGCGTTCGCTCGTCACGGCGAAGACCCTGGTTCGATTCCCCACATGGGTACAAAGTATGAAGCCCATTTCCGGTGTACCCGCCGTGATATTGCTGGAATATTGCTAAAAGCGGCGTAAAACCAAAACTCACTCACTCACTCCTCTGGATTTACAGTCCTTAATCTATCTGTCCCTTGCCTTCTATTTCCTTTGGTTTAATGCTTTGACCCAACAGAACTAAAAACTTGTGCAGGAGGCCATTTAATGTCCCAAAGTGAAATCCATGAGTTTATTGTCATGCTGCTGTCTATCTTTCAAACACCTAAAGAAACCAATGCAAAAAATTAATTAAAAACATCGACTTATGACCCAAAAATGTGGTGGTGGTATCCACAGAAAGAGGAGTCTGAAGGTTTGGTTGTTTGTTTATTCTCACAACATGAAACATATCTCTGTACACGAGTTACGAATTTATACATGTGACAGAAATAGAGTATGTACATGCAATACAGCATATTGTACACATGGAAACAAGGCCTCTGTGTAGTCTTCAACATATACCCATAACAACATCATCAACAATTTCATCATATACATCAGGTTCACAAGTCCATGCAACAACATCGTCTATGTGTAAACATACAACTCCTGTAACTTGCTGAAGATTCCAGAAACATTTCACCATCAGTAGTGCTGTCCATTCCTATACAAACTGGACAGATGTGTTTCCCTGCAGGTGCTCTGTGAGGGCAGCTTATCCCCAGAATATTAATACTATGTGCAGTGAAAACAATAATCCAGGCCTCGTTCCACGAAACAATCATAGCACTACGACTGTCACCAAGTCTATGTTAACATACGAGATTTACGACCAGCCTAGCACTACGACTGTCAGAAGTCTGTGTCAAGGTATTGGATTTACGACCAGCCTAGCACTACGACTGTCAGAAGTCTGTGTCAAGGTATTGGATTTACGATCAGCATAGCACTACGACTGTCAGATGTCTGTGTCAAGGTATTGGATTTACGACCAGCCTAGCACTACGACTGTCGGAAGTCTGTGTCAAGGTATTGGATTTACGATCAGCATAGCACTACGACTGTCAGATGTCTATGTTTCTGTATTGGATTTAAGATCAGCTTAGCACTACGACTGTCGGAAGTCTATGTTTCTGTATTGGATTTATGATCAGCTTAGCACTACGACTGTCGGAAGTCTATGTTCCTGTATTGGATTTATGATCAGCATAGCACTACGACTGTCGGAAGTCTATGTTCCTGTATTGGATTTATGATCAGCATAGCACTACGACTGTCGGAAGTCTATGTTTCTGTATTGGATTTAAGATCAGCATAGCACTACGACTGTCGGAAGTCTATGTTTCTGTATTGGATTTAAGATCAGCATAGCACTACGACTGTCAGAAGTCTGTGTTTCTGTATTGGATTTATGATCAGCTTAGCACTACGACTGTCGGAAGTCTATGTTTCTGTATTGGATTTAAGATCAGCATAGCACTACGACTGTCAGAAGTCTGTGTTTCTGTATTGGATTTAAGATCAGCTTAGCACTACGACTGTCAGATGTCTATGTTTCTGTATTGGATTTAAGATCAGCTTAGCACTACGACTGTCGGAAGTCTGTTTCTGTATTGGATTTAAGATCTATGACTGTCGGAAGTCTGTTTCTGTATTGGATTTAAGATCACGACTGTCGGAAGTCTATGTTTCTGTATTGGATTTACAATCAGCATAGCACTACGACTGTCGGAAGTCTGTTTCTGTATTGGATTTAAGATCACGACTGTCGGAAGTCTATGTTTCTGTATTGGATTTAGGATCAGCTTAGCACTACGACTGTTAGATGTCTATGTTTCAGTATTGAAATCTATATTAAAGTATTGAGCTTTAAGAACAGCTAAGTGCTACGATCAATAAGTTGAACGAGTTCCAGGATATAGCGGTTTCAAGTAAACAAATGAAGAGACTAAAACGTCCCCTGGTATGTTGTGCTGTCCCTCAGAGCTTCAGATAAGATTTAGCTCATGTGGGTACTGTACCCACTGTATTTTTTTGGGGGGTGGGTATAATGAATGTTGAGTCGGTATTTCATTTTCCGTTACCCACTGCTTTCAAATATGTGGGTATTTCAGTGATTTTACTCACCTAATTATATGTCATTGAGTAAGTTTACTAAGCAGGTATGTTCTGCCTTATGTCATACCGAAGCAGAACCAACTTAAATATAATGGAAATGATTTCATAAAAAATCACTCAGCCTGTACTGACAGTACAACACTAGTCCTATACTAGCAATACAACTTGATACCAATCAATGTCTTTTTCATTACGCAAGTGATTTTTATAGATATATTCCGGACGCATATGTTTTAAACTTTGTGCGTATCTAACATTTTAAATGAGTAATTGGTACGCAACAATTATTTTTCAATGCGTAATTGGAAATTTTCTGTGCGTATTTTACCTAAATACACAGCTTATCTGGGCCTCTGGTCCCTCTTACTTGTATGTGCACATTCCCACAAACCACTAGATTGTAGGGGTTCCAGACTAGCCAGGTTTCACTGTATCTCTTCAGTCAGTCTCCCATAGTCCTACTTTTCCCCAGTCAATTCAGGGAAGCCATGTTGAAATATTTGTCATAACATGTGTTGAATATCCTGCTATCTAACTTGACTAGTCACTGGCCTGATATCATCATGGTGTAATGTTTGTTGTGTCAGTGTTTGCTGGTCTGTCATGATTGCCTCTCGTCACACCTTGAGGCAACTGGTGTGAAAAGTCTTGTGCTTTTGGTTTGGTTTGCTTGTCAAACGCCGCACTCAGCAATATTCCAGCTATATGGTCTATATATAACTGAGTCTGGACCAGACAATCCAGTGATCAACAGAATGAGCATCAATCTATACGATCAATTGGGATACGATGACATGTGTCAACCAAGTCAGCGAGCCTGACCACCTGATCCTGTTAGTCGCCTCTTACGACAAGCATGGGTTACTGAAGATCAATTCTAACCCGGATCTTCATGGGTGCCTTGTGCACTCATAATGACAAGTTAGTTACCTTCAATCTCGAAGTGTACAAGGTCATTCATGTCATTGCTTGGTGTTTGATATGTCTACAGTTTAGATATAACAAATAACTTATTGGTTGCTGGTCTTAGCAGATCAACTAGCCACGCACAGTACTGAATACTTGGTTGCAAGTCGGAACACACAATAACATCCTCCAGTTGCAATGCAAGCTGACATGGCCACAGAGCTGCAGAATAGTCGAGTATATAACGTCCTTAGGTTTGAATTGGTGTGCCACATGTGATGGGTACAAAACATTCTACTGCCGTGTGTTCCAGAACATTCAGGCACAGAACATCCTAAGCTGGGAGTTGATGTCCGGGTCCACTGACTCCATGAGACGGTCAAAGTTGACTTGTCCGTGACTCTGCTGACACTGTGTGAGCTGTGACACCATGTAGTCCTTCAGAGACACACAGTGGACTGGGTCCTGGCGAGATAGCTGTGGAGAGATGTACAGAACATTAACAGCATGAAGGAGATGTGCAGAGCATAAAACATGTATGAGAAGATGTGCAGAGTGGTAACAGCTTCAGGAAGATGTGCAGAGTGGTAACAGCTTCAGGAAGATGTGCAGAGTGGTAACAGCTTCAGGAAGATGTGCAGAGCATTAACAGCTATGGTTAAAGATGTACAGAGCACTAAAAGCATAGGGGAGATGTGCAGAGCATAACACGGGTATGAGACGATGTGCAGAGCGATAACAGCTTCAGGAAGATGTGCAGAGTGGTAACAGCTTCAGGAAGATGTGCAGAGCATTAACAGCTATGGTTAAAGATGTACAGAGCACTAAAAGCATAGGGGAGATGTGCAGAGCATAACACGGGTATGAGACGATGTGCAGAGCGATAACAGCTTCAGGAAGATGTGCAGAGTGGTAACAGCTTCAGGAAGATGTGCAGAGCATTAACAGCTATGGTTAAAGATGTACAGAGCACTAAAAGCATAGGGGAGATGTGCAGAGCATAACACGGGTATGAGACGATGTGCAGAGCGATAACAGCTTCAGGAAGATGTGCAGAGTGGTAACAGCTTCAGGAAGATGTGCAGAGCATTAACAGCTATGGTTAAAGATGTACAGAGCACTAAAAGCATAGGGGAGATGTGCAGAGCATTAACAGCTATGGCTAAAGATGTACAGAGCACTAAAAGCATAGGGGAGATGTGCAGAGCATAACACGGGTATGAGACGATGTGCAGAGCGATAACAGCTTCAGGAAGATGTGCAGAGTGGTAACAGCTTCAGGAAGATGTGCAGAGCATTAACAGCTATGGTTAAAGATGTACAGAGCACTAAAAGCATAGGGGAGATGTGCAGAGCATTAACAGCTATGGCTAAAGATGTACAGAGCACTAAAAGCATAGGGGAGATGTGCAGAGCATAACACGGGTATGAGACGATGTGCAGAGCGATAACAGCTTCAGGAAGATGTGCAGAGTGGTAACAGCTTCGGGTATGGAGATGCGATGTGCAGAGCGATAACAGCTTCAGGAAGATGTGCAGAGTGGTAACAGCTTCAGGAAGATGTGCAGAGTATTAACAGCTATGGTTACAGATGTACAGAGCACTAATAGCATAGGGGGGATGTGCAGAGCATTAACAGCATAAGGAAAATGTGCAGAGCATAAAACGGGTATGAGAAGATGTGCAGAGCATTAACAGCTGCCAGAAGATGTACAGAGCATGAACAGTTGCCAGAAGATGTACAGGGCATGAACAGTTGCCAGAAGATGTACAGGGCATGAACAGTTGTCAGCAGAGCATTAACAGAATAAGGGAGGTATCATGATTTCTGTTGCCTTCATGCTGCTCATCGTCTTCATCACCTTCATGAAATCTCTTTGTATATTCTTTATCATTTACACTATACTCATTCACTGTGATGTATTATAATGTTTTCTTTTTCTTTCCGGCATTTAGACACTTTACATGGTACTTACAATAATCCTCCTCAGTTCTGGTCGAAAACATGAAAAACCTCAAACTCAGGTAAAACCTGTGAGCCCACCATCCAGAAACACCTACCATCTTCTTCCTCCTCTCATGTTCGTTATCTTCCTGGTCCCCGTCCATCCCAGCCTCCGGGGGACCATCCTGGTCACCCATCACCAGGAAGCTGCAACCAACCCAACAGTTAGTCATTTGGTCAGTCTGTCAGATGCCTGGTTGGTCTGTCAGTTGGTTTGTTGTTTAACACCGCACTCAGCAATATTCCAGCCATATGGTGGCGGTCTGTAAATAATTGAGTCTGGACCAGACAATCCAGCGATCAAAAGCATGAGCATCGATCTACGCAATTGGGATATGACGTGTCAACCAAGACAGCGATCCCGATCCCGATAGTCACCTCTTACGACAAGCATGGGTTACTGAAGATCAATTCCAACCCGGAACTTCATGGGTCCAGTCAGATGCACTGTGTTGGGTGCAACGCTGAATGGGAGATTAATGTGGGTGCAAATGAGAAAATGAAAACGTTTCTAACAAACACACGAGTAGCCATGGTAACACTCACTCCATCTGCACACCCGTAACCTCATCCTGCCGGCACACATCATGGAGGACCTCAACACACATGTTGATGATGCTGGAGAATTTGTCCACCACCGTGCTAAAACACGACATAGGAAACAACTTAGGTCAACACACAGCCCAGTAAACACCTATATTCAACATGTCTCAAGTACCTAGATACCACTGGTGGCTTCATAACATGACCTGACGCAGTAGTTGGAATCGAAATGGGTTCTGGCTGCAATTTTCTCCATGTTTAAGAATAGGTGTAAGTGAGTGAGTTTAGTTTTATGCCGCACTCAGCAATGTTCCAGCTATATGGCGGCGGTCTGTAAATAATTTGGACCAGACAATCCAGTGATCAACAGCATGAGCATCAATCTGCGCAACTGCGAACCGATGACATTTGTCAAACAAGTCAGAGAGTCTGACCACCCTATTCCATTAGTCGCTGATTACGACAAGCATGGGTTCCTGAAGACCAATTCTAACCCGGACCTTCACGGGTCACGGACCTTCACGGTGAATAGGTGTAAGACTGAGGAATGAAGTGGGTGCTAACAGGAGTTCAATACCATACTCATAGATTGAAGCCATTTTGTGGGGCACCATCCTGATGAAAGAGCACATCTTTTCTCACCTTCCCATATCTCATCGTCTTAATTCCCTCCTGTAAATGCCACATGACTGCAGCATAAAAGACTATCTACTGGCTGTCCTTTGGGAAGATAGTCCACAATGATGACACCCACACCATCCCAGAACATGAACGCCAAAACCTTCCCATCTAATGAAACAGGCTTTGCCAGCTTTGGTGGTGGTGAAGTCAAATATTGCACTGTTTTCATTGGATAAAGCAAACAACTTTATGGATAACAACTTCTTGTTTATTGCATATAGAAAGAAGTTGTCATTCATTAAGTTGTTTGACTTTATTACTGACTCACCAACTTCTAGAATTGTCATTCACTAAGTTGTTTGACTTTATTACTGACTCACCAACTTCTAGAATGTTGATAAAACAATTAGCTTTCATTGTTGTGGAAATCCCAGGTGCCACCCATACCCGCAAGACCTTGCAAGAACCTTCTGCACCAGCTTCAAACATCATGCTCAAAACCTATAATCACCTTTCTTATCTGGTTACAGACTGGGTCCTGTGTCTATCATATGCCAGCAATACCTGAGGTTGACTGTAAGGAGTGATGACAGGGCAAGAGCACAGATTTTCTTCCGCTCCGGCTGAGAGACCCAGTCCATCTTTTCACACCACAGATCGAGGAGATTCCCCAGTGCCTGCTGGCTCTGAAACAAACATTTATATTTCCTTTATTAACAAATACCTCTGAAAGTTTGAAAGATTTACACCATTACTACCCTCTCCTATGTCACATCAATCCCATCCCTTCATTATAACTCACATCCTGTCCCAGGTGAGGTGCCGTCTGCTCCAACACGGACCACATCAGTTCCTGGCTCTGCAGCAGCACACGACTGAACAGAGACAGGTACATTGACATCAGCATGGGATTCTCCTGGAACAGAAAACATAATGTCTCACTCACTGGCTAAATAAGAAAAAGTATCATCGTGTCATGTTTTTGGACATCATAAATTTTTGAATGGCAGAGTTTGCTCTTGCTTTAAAGAGGTGGGTTGCATCACACAGACATTGTAAATACTCAGAAGATGGCTTGTGTTTAAGATAAAGTTGTCTTTAATAAGTGAGTGACATGTTTCACAGTTGTCTGTGCGATAATCGAGAGAAAAATGGGGATTTTGTCCAAACAATTAAAAAAACATTACAGATAGGCCTCGTACATCTTCTGCAACTTCGAACAAACCAACACATAAAACAGCTTACCTCTGGAGCCAGAAGATCCTTCAGCAGTCCTGGTAGCATGGGGGAGAAAAGTCGAGGACCGTCTGCGGGGAATGCTCGAAAGACAAGTTCGATCAGCTGTCATATGAAACAAGAATTGAATTAGTGCATAACAACATACATAAATATTTTACATGTTTCATCAGATTTACACTAGGTGACAGGCGGTTGGCTGTATAGCTGACTTAGACCATGGGCTGTGAACTATAAAATGAAAAATGTTTTCAGAAGTGTATTTGAAAGAATTCTTTAACTACGATGCAACTACATCAATGTGAGAAATCTGTGATACTTACTTCGCAGGATGAGGATAAGGCCCTCGGCCCGGATGTCGGTCATCAGACTTGAGAGGCTGGACACCAGCACTGTGTGGAAGTGCTGCAACCAATCACAATGAGAGAGCCAGTCAGGTGTGTTTTCTGTTTATTGCTTCATTCAGCCTTCAGCAACCCATGACTTGGTTGACACATGTCATCGTATCCCAATTGTGTTGATCGGTAACATATATATCTTAGCGAGATTTCAGTGAGACAGACATTCCCCCTATTCACCAGGTTGAGACCGGTCTACTTTGATATGAATTTTCACAGGGGCACAACCAATAGAGTGCAGGTGACATTTTTTAAAACGATTAGCACAAGCAACCATAATGTGTTTCCACTGGAGTACGGGCAAAAGAGTTTCAGAGTGACATTCACTGGATGGTCACATGAGGGTCCAGTGCACCTGTGCATTTGGGTGAGATGTTTTCACTGTTTTGGGAGAACATAAAACAGATGTTTCCACTCAATCTAGGGTTAAGGGAAAGAGAAGCAAATAGTATGGGTCAGTCGAAGGTAAAATAATGATACTTGTTTCTTTTGTGTCGAGAGGGAGAGGTGGCCTACCTGCATGAAGTCTCTAGGGCCCAGCAAGATGTATGCCTCGATGATCTTCAGACACACACGCAGGTTCTCTGTACCCAGCTCTGTAAGGAAGAATATAGCATGAAAAACCATATCTCTTTACTGAAGGTGTGGTAAAGAACAACATAAACCTATAATTTCACTGACTTAAACAAATACTGGACTACAAGGTGGATCCTTACAAACAAAATAGCAATGACGACATGTATCACTGACAATATAAAGACAGGCAACCAACCTGTACATGAAAGCATATTACCGACAAAATATGGACACGCAACCAACCTGTACATGAAAGCATATTACCAACAGAATATGGACACGCAACCAACCTGTACATGAAAGCATATTACCAACAGAATATGGACACACAACCAACCTGTACATGAAAGCATATTACCGACAAAATATGGACACGCAACCAACCTGTACATGAAAGCATAGTACCAACAGAATATGGACACACAACCAACCTAGCAATGAAGGCATAGTACCAACAGAATATGGACACTCAACCAAATTAGCAATGAAGGCATAGTACCAACAGAATATGGACACACATCCAACCTAGTAATGAAGGCATATTGCCAACAGAATATGGAGACACAACCAACCTGTACATGAAAACATATTACCAACAGTATATGGACACGCAACCAACCTGTACATGAAAGCATATTACCGACAGAATATGGACACGCAACCAACCTGTACATGAAAGCATATTACCAACAGAATATGGACATGCAACCAACCTGTACATGAAAGCATAGTACCAACAGAATATGGACACACAACCAACCTAGCAATGAAGGCATAGTACCAACAGAATATGGACACTCAACCAAATTAGCAATGAAGGCATAGTACCAACAGAATATGGACACACATCCAACCTAGTAATGAAGGCATATTGCCAACAGAATATGGAGACACAACCAACCTAGCAATGAAGGCATATTGCCAACAGAATATGGACACACAACCAACCTAGCAATGAAGGCATAGTACCAACAGAATATGGACACTCAACCAACCTAGCAATGAAGGCATAGTACCAACAGAACATGGACACACAACCAACCTAGCAATGAAGGCATAGTACCAACAGAACATGGACACACAACCAACCTAGCAATGAAGGCATAGTACCAACAGAACATGGACACACAACCAACCCTAGCAATGAAGGCATAGTACCAACAGAATATGGACACACAACCAACCTAGCAATGAAGGCATAGTACCAACAGAACATGGACACACAACCAACCTAGCAATGAAGGCATAGTACCAACAGAACATGGACACACAACCAACCTAGCAATGAAGGCATAGTACCAACAGAACATGGACACACAACCAACCTAGCAATGAAGGCATACTACCAACAGAACATGGACACACAACCAACCTAGCAATGAAGGCATAGTACCAACAGAACATGGACACACAACCAACCTAGCAATGAAGGCATAGTACCAACAGAACATGGACACACAACCAACCTAGCAATGAAGGCATAGTACCAACAGAACATGGACACACAACCAACCTAGCAATGAAGGCATAGTACCAACAGAACATGGACACACAACCAACCTAGCAATGAAGGCATACTACCAACAGAACATGGACACACAACCAACCTAGCAATGAAGGCATAGTACCAACAGAACATGGACACACAACCAACCTAGCAATGAAGGCATAGTACCAACAGAACATGGACACACAACCAACCTAGCAATGAAGGCATAGTACCAACAGAACATGGACACACAACCAACCTAGCAATGAAGGCATATTACTGACAGAATATGGACACACAACCAACCCAGCAATGAAGGCATAGTACCAACAGAATATGGACACACAACCAACCTAGCAATGAAGGCATATTACCAACAGAATATGGACACACAACCAACCTAGCAATGAAGGCATAGTACCAACAGAACATGGACACACAACCAACCTAGCAATGAAGGCATATTACTGACAGAATATGGACACACAACCAACCCAGCAATGAAGGCATAGTACCAACAGAATATGGACACACAACCAACCTAGCAATGAAGGCATATTACCAACAGAATATGGACACACAACCAACCTAGCAATGAAGGCATATTGCCAACAGAATATGGACACACAACCAACCTAGCAATGAAGGCATAGTACCAACAGAACATGGACACACAACCAACCTAGCAATGAAGGCATAGTACCAACAGAACATGGACACACAACCAACCTAGCAATGAAGGCATATTACTGACAGAATATGGACACACAACCAACCCAGCAATGAAGGCATAGTACCAACAGAATATGGACACACAACCAACCTAGCAATGAAGGCATATTACCAACAGAATATGGACACACAACCAACCTAGCAATGAAGGCATATTACCAACAGAATATGGACACACAACCAACCTCGCAATGAAGGCATATTACCAACAGAACATGGACACACAACCAACCTAGCAATGAAGGCATAGTACCAACAGAATATGGACACACAACCAACCTAGCAATGAAGGCATAGTACCAACAGAACATGGACACACAACCAACCTAGCAATGAAGGCATAGTACCAACAGAACATGGACACACAACCAACCTAGCAATGAAGGCATAGTACCAACAGAATATGGACACACAACCAACCTAGCAATGAAGACATGTATCACTGACAATATAAAGACATGCAACCAACCTGTACATGAAAACATATTACCAACAGTATATGGACATGCAACCAACCTGTACATGAAAACATATTACCAACAGTATATGGACATGCAACCAACCTGTACATGAAAGCATATTACCGACAGAATATGGACACGCAACCAACCTGTACATGAAAGCATAGTACCAACAGAATATGGACACGCAACCAACCTGTACATGAAAGCATAGTACCAACAGAATATGGACACACAACCAACCTGTACATGAAAGCATATTACCAACAGAATATGGACACACAGCCAACCTAGCAATGAAGGCATAGTACCAACAGAACATGGACACACAGCCAACCTAGCAATGAAGGCATAGTACCAACAGAACATGGACACACAACCAACCTAGCAATGAAGGCATAGTACCAACAGAATATGGACACACATCCAACCTAGCAATGAAGACATGTATCACTGACAATATAAAGACACGCAACCAACCTGTACATGAAAGCATAGTACCAACAGAATATGGACACGCAACCAACCTGTACATGAAAGCATAGTACCAACAGAATATGGACACGCAACCAACCTGTACATGAAAGCATAGTACCAACAGAATATGGACACGCAACCAACCTGTACATGAAAGCATAGTACCAACAGTATATGGACACACAACCAACCTAGCAATGAAGGCATAGTACCAACAGAATATGGACACACAACCAACCTGTACATGAAAGCATATTACCAACAGAATATGGACACACATCCAACCTAGTAATGAAGGCATATTGCCAACAGAATATGGACACACAACCAACCTAGCAATGAAGGCATAGTACCAACAGAACATGGACACACAACCAACCTAGCAATGAAGGCATATTACCAACAGAACATGGACACATAACCAACCTAGCAATGAAGGCATAGTACCAACAGAACATGGACACACAACCAACCTAGCAATGAAGGCATAGTACCAACAGAACATGGACACACAACCAACCTAGCAATGAAGGCATAGTACCAACAGAACATGGACACACAACCAACCTAGCAATGAAGGCATAGTACCAACAGAACATGGACACACAACCAACCTAGCAATGAAGGCATAGTACCAACAGAACATGGACACACAACCAACCTAGTAATGAAGGCATAGTACCAACAGAACATGGACACACAACCAACCTAGCAATGAAAGCATAGTACCAACAGAATATGGACACACAACCAACCTAGTAATGAAGGCATAGTACCAACAGAACATGGACACACAACCAACCTAGCAATGAGACATATTACGGACAGAATATGGACACACAACCAACCTAGCAATGAAGGCATATTACCGACAGAATATGGACACACAACCAACCTAGCAATGAAGGCATAGTACCAACAGAACATGGACACACAACCAACCTAGCAATGAAGGCATAGTACCAACAGAACATGGACACACAACCAACCTAGTAATGAAGGCATAGTACCAACAGAACATGGACACACAACCAACCTAGCAATGAAGGCATAGTACCAACAGAATATGGACACACAACCAACCTAGCAATGAAGGCATAGTACCAACAGAATATGGACACACAACCAACCTAGCAATGAAGACATGTATCACTGACAATATAAAGACACGCAACCAACCTAGCAATGAAGGCATAGTACCAACAGAACATGGACACACAACCAACCTAGCAATGAAGGCATAGTACCAACAGAATATGGACACACAACCAACCTAGCAATGAAGGCATAGTACCAACAGAACATGGACACACAACCAACCTAGCAATGAAGACATGTATCACTGACAATATAAAGACACGCAACCAACCTAGCAATGAAGGCATAGTACCAACAGAACATGGACACACAACCAACCTAGCAATGAAAGCATAGTACCAACAGAATATGGACACACAACCAACCTAGTAATGAAGGCATAGTACCAACAGAACATGGACACACAACCAACCTAGCAATGAAGGCATATTACGGACAGAATATGGACACACAACCAACCTAGCAATGAAGGCATATTACCGACAGAATATGGACACACAACCAACCTAGCAATGAAGGCATAGTACCAACAGAACATGGACACACAACCAACCTAGCAATGAAGGCATAGTACCAACAGAACATGGACACACAACCAACCTAGTAATGAAGGCATAGTACCAACAGAACATGGACACACAACCAACCCTAGCAATGAAGGCATAGTACCAACAGAATATGGACACACAACCAACCTAGCAATGAAGGCATAGTACCAACAGAACATGGACACACAACCAACCTAGCAATGAAGGCATAGTACCAACAGAACATGGACACACAACCAACCTAGCAATGAAGGCATAGTACCAACAGAATATGGACACACAACCAACCTAGCAATGAAGGCATATTACCAACAGAATATGGACACACAACCAACCTAGCAATGAAGGCATAGTACCAACAGAACATGGACACACAACCAACCTAGCAATGAAGGCATAGTACCAACAGAATATGGACACACAACCAACCTAGCAATGAAGGCATAGTACCAACAGAACATGGACACACAACCAACCTAGCAATGAAGACATGTATCACTGACAATATAAAGACACGCAACCAACCTAGCAATGAAGGCATAGTACCAACAGAACATGGACACACAACCAACCTAGCAATGAAAGCATAGTACCAACAGAATATGGACACACAACCAACCTAGTAATGAAGGCATAGTACCAACAGAACATGGACACACAACCAACCTAGCAATGAAGGCATATTACGGACAGAATATGGACACACAACCAACCTAGCAATGAAGGCATATTACCGACAGAATATGGACACACAACCAACCTAGCAATGAAGGCATAGTACCAACAGAACATGGACACACAACCAACCTAGCAATGAAGGCATAGTACCAACAGAACATGGACACACAACCAACCTAGTAATGAAGGCATAGTACCAACAGAACATGGACACACAACCAACCTAGCAATGAAGGCATAGTACCAACAGAATATGGACACACAACCAACCTAGCAATGAAGGCATAGTACCAACAGAACATGGACACACAACCAACCTAGCAATGAAGGCATAGTACCAACAGAACATGGACACACAACCAACCTAGCAATGAAGGCATAGTACCAACAGAATATGGACACACAACCAACCTAGCAATGAAGGCATATTACCAACAGAATATGGACACACAACCAACCTAGCAATGAAGGCATAGTACCAACAGAACATGGACACACAACCAACCTAGTAATGAAGGCATAGTACCAACAGAACATGGACACACAACCAACCTAGCAATGAAGGCATATTACGGACAGAATATGGACACACAACCAACCTAGCAATGAAGGCATATTACCGACAGAATATGGACACACAACCAACCTAGCAATGAAGGCATAGTACCAACAGAATATGGACACACAACCAACCTAGCAATGAAGGCATATTACCAACAGAATATGGACACACAACCAACCTAGCAATGAAGGCATATTACCGACAGAATATGGACACACAACCAACCTAGCAATGAAGGCATATTACCGACAAAATATGGACACACAACCAACCTAGCAATGAAGGCATATTACTGACAGTATATGGACACACAACCAACCTAGCAATGAAGGCATATTACTGACAGAATATGGACACACAACCAACCTAGCAATGAAGGCATATTACCAACAGAATATGGACACACAACCAACCTAGCAATGAAGGCATATTACCGACAGTATATGGACACACAACCAACCTAGCAATGAAGGCATATTACTGACAGAATATGGACACACAACCAACCTAGCAATGAAGGCATGTTGTTGAAGAGTTTGAGGAGGCCTTCAGTGAGGAGCGGGGAGTGATGCAAGGTCATAAGCCAAAGGTCAAGGCCATCTTCCAGCAGGTACACATGCGGGTCCTGGGTCACATCGGTACTGAGGTGTATCACAGGCAGCAGGAAGTCATGGAAGTTGGTACACATGGACCCAAAACCCTGCAAGGGAATTAGACACTCTGTCCTGATTCAACTTCACAAAACATCCCCTTCCCAAATGCAACATATAATCTCACCTGTATTGGAGAAGACAAGATGGCAACCCTTTACTCACCTGGACAAGGTATATGAGTGAAGACAACATGGCAACCCTTTACTCACCTGGATAAGATGTATGAGTGTAGACAATATGGCAACCCTTTACTCACCTGGACAAGGTGTATGAGTGTAGACAAGATGGCACAGCGGAGCATGTTGTGGTCAGCAGACTCCTGCCAGAGGCCAGGTAGATACTGTAGCAGGGCTGCTGTATAGGGACGGATCATGGCCCCCATCCTCTCTATCACAAACGAGAAGACATGAAGCACATGCATCTGCAAGAGTAAAGTACATTAGGTGATGACCATGTAGGGAGGAACAAAAAAGATGATTCCAAAGAGTTATAATGTAACAACCTTTTCTAACCAATTAAACATTATTAACAAGAAGACAAAGTCATCAATATCCCCCGCAATGGCAAAATACTCTTCATGATTATGTCTACGAGTTATGATTATGTCAAATATTTAGGTGTGTATATAGAAAAGTGGAAGGAGAGTATTGAAAGGTTTTTTAAGTTCTGCTCCAGAAAGGAGCACTATCACTAATTTCAGTCTATGTCAAACTTGTTGCCATGGAAATGGCAAAAATATTGTATTCAGAAATCCAAAACTACCAAAAGGCACCAGTACATCACCAGATCTATGTATGTGCCAAGTTTGGTGAAGAAACATTTAACGGTTTTAGAGTTCTGCTCCAGAAAAGTGCACTACCACTAATTTCTGTTTTAGTCAAACTTGTTGCCATGGAAACGCCAAATATATTTTATTCAGAATTCCAAAACTACCAAAAAGGAACCAGTACACCACCAGACCAATCTATGTGCCAAGTTTGGTGAAGAAATAATGAACGGTTTAAGAGTTCTGCTCCAGAAAAGAGCACTACCACCAATTTCAGGCTAAGTCAAACTTGTTGCCATGGAAATGCCAAAAATATTTTATTCAGAATTCCAAAACTACCAAAAGGCACCAGTACACCACCAGATCTATCTATGTGCCAAGTTTGGTGAAGGAATAGTGAACGGTTCTTAGAGTTCTGCTCCGGAAAAGACAAATGTGCACGGACGGACCGACGGACGCACGCACGCATGGACGGAGTCCATTTTAATACCCCCCGCAAAACGCGTTGAGGGGGATAACAAAAGGTTTTCATTTATAAGCAATACAAAATGGACAATTCTTGTAGTCAAGGTTTACCTTTGTGTCACATTCCCTGACATGGGTAAGCAGCTGGAAGAGGTGTGAGAACAGTGGCTCCACATACTGCAACACAGTGAAACATGGGGGTCAGAGAATGTACTGCAACATAGTGAAACATGGGGGTCAGAGAATGTACTGCAACACAGTGCAACATGGGAGAATGTACTGCAACATAGTGAAACATGGGAGACAGAGAATGTACTGCAACATAGTGAAACATGGGAGACAGAGAATGTGTTGCAACAAAGTGAACAAGAGTCATCAGAAGATGACATATCCCCCCGGCCCCCATATCTTTGAAAGAACAAATCATCTGACAGTTACTTAAAGTCCAGCTTGATTTTAGACTAAGTGCAAATCGTTTCCATGGAAATCATGAAAAAAATAAAAGACAAAAATCTGCAAATAGCAAAAGGCACCACTTTGGGATCTGCCTCACATATCTGCCAAGTTTTGCTGAAAGATATTAAGAAGTTTTCGCGTTGTGCTCCGGAAACAAAACCTACCCCTCCCTTTTGAGACTAAGTCCAAATTGTTTTCATGGAAACTGAGAAAATAATAAATCACAAATATCTGCAAATAGCAAAAGGCACCACTTTGGCATCTGCCTCACATATCTGCCAAGTTTTGCTGAAAGATATTAAGAAGTTTTCCAGTTGTGTTCGAAACAGAAACCCATCCCTTCCTTTTTGAGACTAAGTCCGAATCATTTCCATGGAAACTGAGAAAATAATAAATCACAAATATCTGTAAATAGCAAAAGGCACCACTTCAAGATCTGCCTCACATATCTGCCAAGTTTTGCTGAAAGATATAGAGAGGTTTTTGAGTTGTGCTCCGGAAACGAAGCCCACCCCTCACTTTTGGGATTAAGTCCGAATCGTTTCCATGGAAACGGGAAAATAAAATGCCAAAAATCTGCAAATAGCAAAAGGCACAACTTTAGGATCTGTTTGATATATCTACCAAGTTTTGTTGAAAAATATTATACGGTTTTTGAGTTGTGCTCCGGAAACGAAAGCAATCCTTACTTTTTGTGACTAAGTCCAAAATGTTTCCATGGAAACCAAGGAAAATAAAAATGCCAAAAATCTGCAAATAGCAAAAGGCACCACTTAAGGTTCTGTTTCATACATCTACCAAGTTTTGTTGAAAAATATTGAACGGTTCTTGAGTTATGCTCCGGAAACGAAGCCCACCCCTCACTTTTGGGATTAAGTCAGAATCGTTTCCATGGAAACCGGGAAAAATAAGAATACAAAAAATCTGCAAATAGCAAAAGGCACCACTTTAGGATCTGTTTGATATATCTACCAAGTTTTGTTGAAAAATATTGAATGGTTCTTGAGTTATGCTCCGGAAACGAAGCCCACCCTTCTTTAAGACTAAGTCCAAAACGTTTCCATGGAAACCGAGAAAAATAAAACTGACAATTATCTGTAAATAGCAAAAGGCACCACTTTAGGTTATGTTTGACATATCTACCAATTTTGGTTAAAAAATATCGAACGGTCTTTGAGTTATGGTCCGGAAACAAAATGATTACGGACGGACGGACAGACGGACGAGGCGACGACTATATGAGAGTCAGAGAATGTTCTGCAACATGGGAGACAGAGAATGTATTGCAACATAGTGAAACATGAGAGACAGAGAATGTAATGCAACACAGTGAAACATGGGAGACAGAGAATGTATTGCAACATAGTGAAACATGGGAGACAGAGAATGTACTGCAACACAGTGAAACATGGGAGACAGAGAATGTACTGCAACATAGTGAAACATGGGAGACAGAGAATGTACTGCAACACAGTGAAACATGGGAGACAGAGAATGTACTGCAACACAGTGAAACATGGGAGACAGAGAATGTACTGCAACACAGTGAAACATGGGAGACAGAGAATGTACTGCAACACAGTGAAACATGGGAGACAGAGAATGTACTGCAACATAGTGAACCATAGGAGACAGAGAGAGTAATGCAACACAGTGAAACATGAGAGACAGAGAATGTAATGCAACATAGTGAAACATGAGAGACAGAGAATGTACTGCAACATAGTGAAACATGGAAGACAGAGAATGTACTGCAACACAGTGAAACATGGGAGACAGAGAATGTACTGCAACATAGTGCAACATGGGAGACAGAGAATGTAATGCAACACAGTGAAACATGGGAGACAGAGAATGTACTGCAACACAGTGAAACATGGGAGACAGAGAATGTACTGCAACACAGTGAAACATGGGAGACAGAGAATGTACTGCAACACAGTGAAACATGGGAGACAGAGAATGTACTGCAACACAGTGAAACATGGGAGACAGAGAATGTACTGCAACACAGTGAAACATGGGAGACAGAGAATGTAATGCAACACAGTGAAACATGAGAGACAGAGAATGTACTGCAACACAGTGAAACATGGGAGACAGAGAATGTACTGCAACACAGTGAAACATGGGAGACAGAGAATGTACTGCAACACAGTGAAACATGGGAGACAGAGAATGTACTGCAACACAGTGAAACATGGGAGACAGAGAATGTACTGCAACACAGTGAAACATGGGAGACAGAGAATGTACTGCAACACAGTGAAACATGGGAGACAGAGAATGTACTGCAACACAGTGAAACATGGGAGACAGAGAATGTACTGCAACACAGTGAAACATGGGAGACAGAGAATGTACTGCAACACAGTGAAACATGGGAGACAGAGAATGTACTGCAACACAGTGAAACATGGGAGACAGAGAATGTACTGCAACACAGTGAAACATGGGAGACAGAGAATGTACTGCAACACAGTGAAACATGGGAGACAGAGAATGTACTGCAACACAGTGAAACATGGGAGACAGAGAAAGTAATGCAACACAGTGAAACATGAGAGACAGAGAATGTACTGCAACATAGTGAAACATGGGAGACAGAGAATGTACTGCAACACAGTGAAACATGGGAGACAGAGAATGTACTGCAACACAGTGAAACATGGGAGACAGAGAATGTACTGCAACACAGTGAAACATGGGAGACAGAGAATGTACTGCAACACAGTGAAACATGGGAGACAGAGAATGTACTGCAACATAGTGAAACATGAATGACAGAAGATGTACTGGAACACAGTGAAACATGAGAGACAGAGAATGTACTGCAACACAGTGAAACATGGGAGACAGAGAATGTACTGCAACACAGTGAAACATGGGAGACAGAGAATGTAATGCAACACAGTGAAACATGGGAGACAGAGAATGTACTGCAACACAGTGAAACATGGGAGACAGAGAATGTAATGCAACACACAGTGAAACATGGGAGACAGAGAATGTACTGCAACACAGTGAAACATGGGAGACAGAGAATGTACTGCAACACAGTGAAACATGGGAGACAGAGAATGTACTGCAACACAGTGAAACATGGGGACACAGAGAATGTAATGCAACACAGTGAAACATGGGAGACAGAGAATGTACTGCAACACAGTGAAACATGGGAGACAGAGAGAGTAATGCAACACAGTGAAACATGGGAGACAGAATGTACTGCAACACAGTGAAACATGAGAGACAGAGAATGTACTGCAACACAGTGAAACATGGAGTATGGGAGAAGAGAATGTACTGCAACACAGTGAAACATGGGAGACAGAGAAGTAATGCAATACAGTGAAACATGGGAGACAGAGAATGTACTGCAACACAGTGAAACATGGGAGACAGAGAATGTACTGCAACATAGTGAAACATGGGAGACAGAGAATGTACTGCAACACAGTGAAACATGGGAGACAGAGAGAGTAATGCAACACAGTGAAACATGGGAGACAGAATGTACTGCAACACAGTGAAACATCAGAGACAGAGAGAGTAATGCAACACAGTGAAACATGGGAGACAGAGAATGTACTGCAACACAGTGAAACATGGGAGACAGAGAATGTACTGCAACACAGTGAAACATGGGAACACAGAGACATGTACTGCAATACAGTGAAACATGGGAGACAGAGAGAGTAATGCAACACAGTGAAACATGGGAGACAGAGAATGTAATGCAACACAGTGAAACATGGGAGACAGAGAATGTACTGCAACACAGTGAAACATGGGAGACAGAGAGAGTAATGCAACACAGTGAAACATGGGAGTCAGAGAATGTAATGCAACACAGTGAAACATGGGAGACAGAGAATGTCCTGCAACACAGTGAAACATGGGAGACAGAGAATGTACTGCAACACAGTGAAACATGGGAGACAGAGAATGTACTGCAACATAGTGAAACATGGGAGACAGAGAATGTACTGCAACACAGTGAAACATGGGAGACAGAGAATGTACTGCAACACAGTGAAACATGGGAGACAGAGAATGTACTGCAACACAGTGAAACATGGGAGACAGAGAATGTACTGCAACACAGTGAAACATGGGAGACAGAGAATGTACTGAAACATAGTGAAACATGGGAGACAGAGAATGTACTGCAACACAGTGAAACATGGGAGACAGAGAATGTACTGCAACACAGTGAAACATGGGAGACAGAGAATGTACTGCAACACAGTGAAACATGGGAGAAAGAGAATGTCCTGCAACACAGTGAAACATGGGAGACAGAGAATCTTCTGCATCAGAAAATTACTTTCTTTATCATTTTTATAAGATATTGTGGAAAAATTCTTACCGGCAGCAGTTGTTCTGGGTTGAATTCAAAGTCATCGACAGGTAGTAACATTAAGGAATATTTCACAAATCACATATTCTACTACTTGTTCTTGCGTGCGTGCGTGTGTGCGTGCATGTGTGCGTGAAGGAGGGAGGGAGGGGAGGGAGGGAGCGAGTGTAAAATTACGCCACAATATACCAGCTATATGATGGCAGTCCGTAAATATATTGACTCTGGACCAGACAATTGAGTGATCAACATGTGCTACTCTGTGCTGGCAGTATAGAACACTAGTTACATTGAAGTACCTGCACACATCTTGGCATAAATTTCTGAGATCAGAATTGTTTTCTCATTTTAAGTCAGGAGTGAGTGAGTGAATGAGTTTAGTTTCACGCCACTTTTAGCAATATTCCAGCAAAATCACGGCGGGTGGCACCAGAAATGGGCTTCACACATTGTACCCAGGTGGAGAATTGAAGCCAGTATTTGGCCTGATGAGTGAACTCATTAACCACAAGGCACCGCCCCTCACATCAGATAGAACATTCAGGGAGGGCGGGAGATAGGAAACACATGAAATATATGTTCATCCTTAAAGTACTCAGTGGTAAGTAATGTCGTGGATGACACAGCCAAGGATATCACTCCGTAGTGTCGCTGCTGCTTCCAGTCTGACGGCCAGGTCCTCCTCTGTCCGCAACATCGTCAGGATGGCTTCATACAGTGTCTGTCGCAGCTTCACCGACAGCTTCACACTCACCCACTGACCAATCAGCCAGATGACACGCTTCCTCACAATACGGTAGCTGAAACAATGTCTGTATGTTAGAGTTGTTACCTAGCAACCAGTACATAGCAATGCACATTGTGTGCCTGTGTTGATTCTAATAGTCCAGATATTGGCCTGTTTTCTTGTGCTAGCCTACTGAAAAAGCAACGAGTGGGTCCTTTTAACATCTTTTGGCATGATATAGCCAGCAAATCAAACCATCAAATTTTACACTCTGTACTTGATGATACTGTCTATCCGGCTAGACAACTTCACAACAAATATTCCTTCCTAACCATGCTGCAGGGGGTGGATATATCACACTCATGATACCTTCCCATACTGAACTATAGTTTGGAATATCTACAATATCTTATTCCCAAAACAATAACATACTTGATAGCCCAATCATCAGCACAATTAACACTACAGTCTGTTTGGGTTCAAATGAGAACGATGAATGAGTAAACAACTCATATAGAGATAAGTGCACAAAACATAAATAAGATACGTGGTCCTGAAACCTCTGTACCCAAAAGGATCTGAAATCTAACGTTTTATGATCGATCACAGAAAAAGTTGTTTAAGAAACTATCATGTAATATTGTTCTATTTCAAGCTGCCCCCCGAGGGGTGACAAACGGCTGGTGGAACAGAGCCGACACACACTTCAGGAGCACGTCAGCACAGCCCCTTAGTCAGAAAACAGCTGGGTGTGCTCTAATGCAGAGCATGTCATCACACATAATTTGTCTTTGAGTGTCCATAGAATAAAACTGACTTTGTTGCCAGCTTGAAATGAATTCTCTTACCTGTCATTTTTAACTCGCAGTTCCGCCAATAGGGTTGACGAAAACCAGTTGTCGAAATCAATGTCGTCATACAGATCATATGATGCCAGTCCAACAGCATTGTAAACTGAAACGAGGATTATGTACAATAGTTCTCACTGTATAACAAATGTAAACATCCACATATCAGACACAAAGCCCTCAAGAAACTTCAGATTCCCAGATCTATCACAAACAATAGCATATTGCTGGAAGTTAGGTACAAGATCATTGCAACTGAAAAGTAAAGTATACTCATACCAAAAATTAATACTTGAGGATTTGACACAATTTCTTCTTCAGTCGTGTGTGCATGCAAGTGAGGGAATGTTGTATTAAACCAGCAGCAGTGACATAACAGCCAGTAAATGATCCAGCCAGACAAACCAGCAGTGGACAGTATGGACAATGACCAATATGACCAATAACCAGTGCCCACACTACAACAATATGACCAGATCCAGTCTCATCTGTCCTGGGCCATGTACCTCAAAGTGATCGAAGCGCTAAGATGATCATAACTCCCATACTTTAACATAGACTTACGACTGTCGTAGAGCTAAGATGATCGTAACTCCCATACTTTAACATAGACTTAAGACTGTCGTAGAGCTACAATCGCTTTGAGGAACAGGGCCTTGATCGTCATACACCATAAGCCCACAAATTTTTTACTCCTGTGAAATTCAAGAGGGTCTGTTGATTTCTTCACAAACTTAGTCACAGTAAAACTAACTAAAAATGAGCTTTCAACTAGCTGGTTTTCAACCCAAATTGTCTGTGGCCTCAATATATGAACCGACTAGTAAAATGTTACCAATGTCTTCGGTGAGAAAACACCTGGTCGAAGTCAACTTTTTAGCTGTGAATCTGAAGCAATAAACTACTTACTCGCATCCTTTTTTAAAATGGCCTCCAGGTTCTCAGGGTCACATGGTCCGTGAATGGACTGTACCATTTCCATTAGGATCGGGGTGAGTGAGAGGCTGAACTCCTTGAAGATTGTCAGGAACAGCACCTCTGTGCATGGCTACCAAACAACAGAAAGCATTATACAACACACCAACCCCATTATACAACACACCAGGCCCCACTATACAACAAACCAGGCCCCATCATACAACACACCAGGCCCCACTATACAACACACCAGGCCCCATTATACAAAACACCAGGCCCATTATACAACACACCAGGCCCCATCATACAACACACCAACCCCATTATACAACAAACCAGGCCCCACTATACAACAAACCAGGCCCCATCATACAACAAAACCAGGCCCCATTATACAACACACCAGGCCCATCATACAACACACCAGGCCCCATCATACAACACACCAGGCCCAATTATACAACACACCAGGCCCATTATACAACACACCAGGCCCCACTATACAACACACCAGGCCCCATCATACAACAAAACCAGGCCCCATTATACAACACACCAAGCCCATCATACAACACACCAGGCCCCATTATACAACACACCAGGCCCCATTATACAAAACACCAGGCCCATTATACAACACACCAGGCCCCATTATACAACACACCAGGCCCATCATACAACACACCAGGCCCATCATACAACACACCTAGCCCATCATATGAAACACCAGGTCCATCATACAACACACCAGGCCCCATTATACAACACACCTAGCCCATCATACGAAACACCAGGCCCATCATACAACACACCTAGCCCATCATACGAAACACCAGGCCCATCATACAACACACCAGGCCCATCATACAACACACCAGGCCCCATCATACAACACACCAGGCTCCATCATACAACACACCAGGCTCCATTATACAACACACCAGGCCCAATTATACAAAACACCAGGCTCCATTATACAACACACCAGGCCCATCATACAACACACCAGGCCCCATTATACAACACACCAGGCTCCATCACACAACACACCAGGCCCATCATACAACACACCAGGCCCGTCATATGAAACACCAGGCCCATCATACACCAGGCCCATCATACAACACACCAGGCCCCATTATACAACACACCTAGCCCATCATACGAAACACCAGGCCCATCATATAACACACCAATCCCATCATACGAAACACAAGGCCCATCATACAACACACGAGGCCCCATTATACAACACGCCAGGTCAATCATACAACACACCAGGCCCCATTATACAACACACCAGGCCCATCATACAACACACCAGTCCCATCACACACCAGTCTCATCATACGACACACCATGCCCATCATACAACACAACAGGCCCCATTATACAACACACCAGGCCAATCATACAACACACCAGGCCCATCATACAACACACCAGGCCCACCATACGACACACCAGGTCCCATTATACAACACAGCAGGCCCCATTATACAAGACACCAGGCCCCATTATACAACACACCAAGGCCAATCATACAACACACCAACCCCATCATATAACACACCAGGACCCATCATACAACACAACAGGCCCCATCATACAACACAACAGGCCCCATCATACAACACACCAGGCCCCACTATACAACACACCAGGCCCATTATACAACACACCATGACCCATCATACAACACACCAGGCCCCATTATACAACACACCAGGCCCACTATACGACACACCTGACCCATCATACAACACACCAAGCCCCATTATACAACACACCAGGCCCGACTATATGACACACCAGGCCCCATTATACAACACAACAGGCCCCATCATACAACACAACAGGCCCCATCATACAACACACCAGGCCCCATTATACAACACACAGAGGCCCATTATACAACACACCTGACCCATCATACAACACACCAGGCCCCATTATACAACACACCAGGCCCAATTATACAACACACCTGACCTATCATACAACACACCAGGCCCCATTATACAAAACACCTGACCCATTATACAACACACCTGACCCATCATACAACACACCAGGCCCCATTATACAGCACACCAGACCCATTATACAACACACCAGGCCCCATCATACAACACACCAGGTCCATTATATAACACACCAGGGCCAATCATACAACACACCAGGCCCCATCATACAACACACCAGGCTCATTATACAACACACCAGGCCCAATTATACAACACACCAGGCCCATCATACAACACAACAGGCCCCATTATACAACACACAAGGTCCCATCATGTAAACACACCAGGCCCATTATACAACACACCAGGCCAATCATACAACACACCAGGCCCCATCATACAACAAACCAGGCCCCATCATACAACACACCAACCCCATTATACAACACACCAGGCCAATCATACAACACACCAGGCCCATTATACAACACACCAGGCCCATTATACAACACACCAGGCCAATCATACAACACACCAGGCCCCATCATACAACAGATTTGTAAATCATAACGAGTATAGTAACTTTATTTTAAATTCCTTGGAATTCCAAAGTTAATGAACAGAAAGACCACCAATGATTTACAGTATAACCAGAAATTATTGAGAATTTAAGATTGTAATTTTTTTTTTCACTCATTACTCACTTATTAAATGTGAATATTAGCAGAACATAACTCCAGATTCAAAGACAGGTGAACAGTTAGTATTTTGTCAAGTCACCATGGGCAGCAATGCATGCTTCAATGCGGCGGGGCATACTACTGATCAAAGAAGTTAGAAAGTCGTGGTCCATGCTGTTCCAATATCGGACCACCTCTTCTTTCATTTCAGCAATATTTGTCAGATTTTTCTTATTGACACTTTCCTTCATAAGTCCCCAAACATTTTCTATTGGATTTAGGTCAGGGCCATAGCTTGGCCAATCTAATAATGTCATATTTTGGGCCCGAAACCAGGCCTGTGAATGCTTTGAACGATGTTTTGGGTTGTTGTCCTGCTGGAAAATCCAAAAATTTCCATAGAACACGTGAGCAGATGGAAGTAAATGTCCCTCGAGAATATCTGTGTACCGCTCACTGTTCATATTCCCTTCAAATACACAGAAGGGCGTTGCCCCTAACACAGATATGCCACCCCACACGTTAAATTTCGGACTGTACTTTGGGTGCTGATACAAAGGTTTTTCAGTTTGTTTGGTCCAGAATTTCAGTGTATTAGGAAACAGCCACACAGAACTTTCATCTGAGAAAATCACATTGTCCAAGTTAAAATTTCTATGCTGTAAGCACCAGTTCAACCATCGCTTCTTTTGTTCAGGTTTCATGATCGGTGATGGAATTCCTCGACTTTTCTGCCAACCCATTGCATGCAGCTCAGTTCTAATTGTCTCCTTACAGACAGCCACAGTTCCTCTATCAATCATATCCAGCCTTAAGTTTTCTAAACTCCTTCGTTTGGTATTAGAAACAAGAATACCAAGTCCGCCTCCTGTCACAGACAGTCAATTTTCTGGGCCTACCTGCGCCTCCCTGGTGCTCAATGCCATATCCGTTTGCAATATTTTTCAAAATACGATAAACAGTGGACAAAGGGATGCCTGTTCTACTTGAAATCACTTTAGCTGATTTGATGTCCTTGTTATAATACTCTAAAATCAACTTCCCCTTCTCTAAATCATCCATACTGAGGATCACTGAAAATGTCGTCTGCTAGCAAGTAAACAAAGGGGGATAACTCTTTGCAAACTAATGAAAAGGATTAACAGAGTTGTCTCTCTTGAATGAAACCAAGCACTTGATAGCTGGTCAAGGTTGTTTATACTAGAAATCCAATTTAACATATTCCTAAAATTCTCAATAATTTCTGGTCATACTATAACGTGGCTTCTAGTTATTGTACAACTAACAAACTCACCCGGAGAGAATATTTGAATGAATCCCCTCCTTCTTCCTGACCTGAAAGAAAAGCACATGTTTCTGGTAATGAGTCACTTGTTTCAGTTTACTAGTATATCCCCTAACCAAGTAATAGGTTCTCTAGAAGAAACGTCTAGCTTGTACTTAAATACCCTGCTTTCACATGCATAAAAACACTGACATCTTTTTTTCTAGAGGACCAATACAAAATGTACCATATCTATTCTTGTTTCTCTAACAGGTCAATTCTTGCTTATACCCTTTGGGTTATCTTATCTTATGTTAAGCCCAAGCCCATGGTAGACTGGCAACAACATGTGTTACATAATACACTGACACAGCAATAATGCTTATAAAACAATAAGCTGAATTAGCAATAATGCTCTCTACACAATATACTGACAGCAATAATGCTTATCAAACAATATGCTGAATCAGCAGTAATACCCTCTACACAATACACTGACAGCAATAATGCTTATAAAACAATATGCTGAATCAGCAATAATGCCCTCTACACAATACACTGACTCAGCGAAACTCACAGAACTCCTCAGCATCTGCATCCCAGGTGGTCAGGTCGTCTGTCGTCAATAGAAAATACTGCAGCACGAGACGGCGGCATATCTCCGCCAACATTTGGAACGTAAAGAACTCCTTCACTATCTGATGCGCTTCCATACTAATCTGGCTCACTGGCTCTGAAGGGTAACAATTGGAAGCAACAATTATTCCAAGAGCAGAACCAATAAACTGACAAAGTGAATATTTCATAGAAAAATTACTTGGGAGTGTTTGACTCCACAAGGAAACATCTTCCTGACATTCTTCCTTGGAATATATTTTCAGTCGCTGTAATTTTCAGAAAGATTAAGTCAAATAGTTCTTACGAATCCCTAACAACAAGAAAAGGATTGAAACATTTCTGGAACATTATGTTAAACTTGAATAAGGGGTTTATTGCTGCATAGTCACCTTGGTCTTGAACAGCTTTCCTGGGTTTGTAGGTCTCACTGAAAAGGATCCCCTTCATCAGATTGAAGCAGTTGACGGCAAACCGTTCAAAGAGAAGACCTATATGAAGAAAGGGAGCAAACAACAACGGAAGCATTAGATTCAGTACTTGTCACGAATTCATAATAACACAGAGAAGTGGTGGTTCATTGTTTCGAGACACAGGCACTGCAGCTAAACAAGTAGTTTCTACAAGCATATCTTTCGCTGTTAAATTCTGCTTGTACAAGCATACCTTTCCCTGTGAAATTCTGCTTGTACAAGCATATCTTTCCCTGTGAAATTCTGCTTGTACAAGCATATCTTTCCCTGTGAAATTCTGCTTGTACAAGCATACCTTTCCCTGTGAAATTCTGTTTGTACAAGCATGCCTTTCCCTGTGAAATTCTGCTTGTACAAGCATACCTTTCCCTGTGAAATTCTGTTTGTACAAGCATGCCTTTCCTTGTGAAATTCCATTTGTACAAGCATGCCTTTCCCTGTGAAATTCTGCTTGTACAAGCATATCTTTCCCTGTGAAATTCAATTTCTACAAGCATACCTTTCCCTGTGAAATTCTGCTTGTACAAGCATACCTTTCCCTGTGAAATTCTGCTTGTACAAGCATACCTTTCCCTGTGAAATTCTGCTTGTACAAGCATATCTTTCGCTGTTAAATTCCATTGTACAAGCATACCTTTCCCTGTGAAATTCTGTTTGTACAAGCATACCTTTCCCTGTGAAATTCTGCTTGTACAAGCATGCCTTTCCCTGTGAAATTCTGTTTGTACAAGCATGCCTTTCCCTGTGAAATTCTGCTTGTACAAGCATACCTTTCCCTGTGAAATTCTGCTTGTACAAGCATACCTTTCCCTGTGAAATTCTGTTTGTACAAGCATGCCTTTCCCTGTGAAATTCCATTTGTACAAGCATGCCTTTCCCTGTGAAATTCTTTTTGTACAACCATACCTTTTTCCGTGAAGTTGTATTTTACTACAAACTGCAGCGTAGTTTTGATGTAACCAAGAAACGAGTTTGGATGCATGGTGAGGACATCGAGGAGCTGGAAAACAGACAGGGAGGATGTGAATCAGGGAGGACATGTTTCAGACAGGGAGGACATTACTCAGACAGGGAGGACATGTCTCAGTGAGGACATTACTCTGACAGGGAGGACATGTTTCAGACAGGGAGGACATGTCTCAGTGAGGACATTACTCAGACAGACAGGACATGTCTCAGTGAGGACGGACATGTTTCAGTGAGGTCATTACTCAGACAGGGAGGACATGTTTCAGTCAGGGAGGACATTACTCTGACAGGGAGGACATGTTTCAGACACGGATGACATGAATCAGACATGTGAGGACATTACTCAGACAAGGACGACATTACTCAGATAGGGAGGACAGTACTCAGACAGGGAGGACATGTCTCAGTGAGGACATTACTCAGACAGGAAGGACATTACTCAGATAGGGAGGACATGTCTCTGTGAGGACATTACTCAGACAGGGAGGACATGTCTCAGGGAGGACATTACTCAGACAGGGAGGACATTACTCCATGAGAACATTACTCAGACAGGGAGGACATTACTCAGACAGGGAGGACATTACTCAGACAAGGAGGACATTACTCAGACAAGGAGGACATTACTCTGACAAGGAGGACATGTCTCAGTGAGGACATTACTCAGACAGGGAGGACATTACTCTATGAGAACATTACTCAGATTAGGAGGACATTACTCAGGGAGGACATTACTCAGACAGAAAGGACAAGATTCAGACAGAAAGGACAATGAAGGTACTGGTAGCATGGTAACTGAGGATTAAACTTACTATCTTGGTCAAGGTGACAATGACCCTCTCACACTTCTCCACTACATGGTGGTGACCCCACAGACTCCGCCCTGAAACCATAAGAGAACATCAGGACTTAGATGGGGTGTTACAGGTACTTTAGTTATCCTGGTAGATAACCTGGAACGGTAATAATGGCATGGGGCCCAAGCGATCTTAGTGCTATGACTACCGTAGGCCAGTGTTGAAGTATGGGAGGTACAATCACCTTTGTACTAAGACTGCTTTGTGGAATGTGGCCTGGACAGTGAAGGTACTCGTGACAGTCCATTGTTACTGATAATCTTGTGATATGACAGTCTGGCAGAGTACTAGAGAACTGATCAGTGAAAGTACTCCTGACAATCTGTCATGGTATTACTGATTGGATCAGGAATGACAGTCCAGCAAGGTAGGAATATTCTGATCGTACAGGTACTTACGACAGTCCAACATGGCCTCCAGGTGCGGGAAGATGGAGCCAAGGAAAGAAACCGTTTCTTGGTTCGTGTGAATTTCACGGAATCCAAATGCTGTCTGCTTCCTTAAAACTAGAGAGTGAGAGACATGGGTCAGTGTTTGCGATAAGATGAGGGCTCCCGGGTCAAGATAAACAATGTTGCATTGTACATCCTTTACACTGCATAGTTACACAAACAGATGCTGATGAAGATGAGTGTGAGAAAACAACAAGATCTTACTTTTGAGCGTGAGAATGCAGCGGTCTACCGCCAGCACCATGCCCTCGTCGTGGCTGCTGGCCAGTTGCAGAAAGTGGGACAGATGGCTGTTCCACAGACTCAGGACGTAGCCAAAGATTTCCTTCGTCACCTTGGGTAAATGGACAAACAGTAAAACAACATACACAAATTTGTTCAAACCCAACCCAAATACGTTCACACATGTTCATCCAGAGAAAGATCTATTGCCAGGATCTTGCCATTCAGAAAAGACGCTTAACTATAACTTAAAACACATCAGCCTTTCTGGACTATCAGTCACTGGTATGTTTGGCCCAGACTCCTCTATTTGCAGGCTGGTCTGATATACTAGCTGAGATGCTGCAGACAGTTGCACTCAACAACACATACACACAATCCAGACCTGCATAAGTGTAGATAGAACAAGTATACAGTCGTGCCCTTTATCCGAACCTCAGATATCTGGAAAACTCGCCTTCTGAACAAAAAATCCTCAGAACGAATTCACAATGTTGTAAACTTACTCACTTATCCGGAAATCCGGTTTCCGTAACCGGACAGGCATTTTCACATACAAAACGCTAAATTCTATGCATTTTTTTCTCTTGTATATCCGGATGGCTGAGCATGTGTCCGTATGTTTACACAGGCATTTTATAGAGTGGCCTTGCGTGCCCTAACATGAAAGAAATCGGCAGTCTTTGAAGCGTGAGAGAATTAACTACCTGTAATTAGCAAGTTGACACTGAGTTAATTTGGAGTTGGCAAGGCTAGACGTACCCGTTGTTTTGGTAGTGACTTTAATCCGGAACTGTTTCGTGATGGGTTGCTTGCATTTGACAGACAGATGCATGTACAGGTATGTTCGCACGTGTTGTTGACTTGACTACTTTATTTGACAAGATGTGATTTTATGCATGCATTGTTATTTGTTGATGTCTTATCAAGAAAGATTACGTCTGAGGTTAATTATGTTCGTTTCTTTGTATGTTTTTTTACATATGGTCCGGGCTTAAGATATCCGGAAATTCATTTATCCGGACAATTTAAAAAAAAACGCAAGTGTCCGGATAAACGGGGCACAACTGTATATGGATGACAACTTCTTTAGTTCTAGAGCACGACGTTTCGAAACATGTTCTTGTATCGTTTTCAAGTGAGAAAACGATACAAGAACCTGTATCGAAAAGTCGTGCTCTAGAATTGAAGCAGTTGTCATCCATATATACTTGTTCTATCTGACTTCCAACTTCTAATATGCCACTCAAGAAGTCACTGCATAAGTGTGGCCATGTGTGAGGCTTGAGAAAGACAATTGTAGGTAAAAAAAACTATAAAACTAAAAAACAGCTGTTTGCAGACAGCTTTGTCCTTAAGAAAAGACAATATCTGCAGTTCATTACACATTAAATAATTCAGAGCAACAACTATAAGAACATATTTCTAAGGCTGCCTTGGCCATTGCTGACATCTTCACATGAAAAACTCTCCTAATTCTCATACCATTTTCCAAATGGATGGATAATGTCTGATTCTCTGGATGGACAGATTCAAACAACATAAAAAGGGAACATTCCTGGAATATACATGCTCCTTAAACTTTCTAGTTACAGCGGAGTGAGTGAGGTTTTACGCCACTTTTAGCAATATTCCAGCAATATCACGGCGGGGGACACCAGAAATGGGCTTCACACATTATACCCATGTGGGGAATCGAACCCAGGCCTTCAGCGTGATAGTTTGGGAGGAAGTATACAAACTGGTGATTCCTGGAAAGACATTACCAAGCATGCATCTGTGTCATCAAACCGTCAAACTGTGTAAAATTTGACTTCATAATTTTTCATTAAGTTTGCCAAGCATGTGATCTTAATTCAGCAAACATTTTCCCTTAAAACTACTTACATCCTCAAACATTTTCCTATCCGCAACTAGTCGTTTGGATGCAAGCATTTTTGTCACGTGATGCAGTGTCAGCAGCGCCCTCTCCTGGACTAACTGGTCATCACATCGCACAGCTTGTAGAACTGTCGGTATAAGCTCAGGCCATCCCCGTGGACAGTCGAGGCGTGCAACTTTTGCCGTCAACACCGACACTTGGGTCGCTACCTGGAGGACACAAGGGGACCTAACTTGTGATAACTGACCAAAGTGAAGTCTTAGATTTGACTCAGAGTGAATAGAGTCAACAGATGGTAGGTACAAGGGAGACAATTCTATGGATGTAAAACTTTATATTACAATGAATACAAAGTTCCACTTGCTCAATAACGGTGATAGGATCTACATCAAAATGTCAGGGTTTTTTGTTCAAAAGAAGTTGTGCATCTACAGAATTGTCTCCCTTGTTCATCACACCACCTTATAAATGCCTTTCAAAGAGATGGTGGGTAGTTTGACAAATGTGAGGAATAACGACAAGTGGTGCCAAAATAACATACTAACAATCTGAACCATCAGAGTCAAACAGGTAAAAAAGGATTTTGAATAAACTACATGATACTGGAATGCATGTAAGTGTGAAGGCATTACACAGGTCAACTCCCTACCTGTGGAACTGGTTCATTGAAGTTGGAGATGAGTTGTTTACGTATCAGATCCTTTTCTGTCTCTGCCAGGGCACTGAAATATTGAAGGGGACATTGGCATCAAATGAAACATGGCAGACTCCAATGCCAGAGACAGCATATCGTCCTCTGAACTAGCTGTACACATTGTCCTCAAACCCACAGTCACTGAAAGCAATATGCTGAACTTTTGTAGCTAAGGTAATGTTCATAGAATGAGTGAAAAGATCGTCCAATCATAGAGTGAATTGGTGAGTCAATCTGAGACAAACAAAAGCCTCATAATGAATTTGTTGCAGCCGTACATCAAGTATGCCATTGTGGCCATTCAATATCCAAGTTAGCCAGCAGCAAGAGACAAGGGGTACTCACTGAGGAGCCGTCTTCCTCCAGTACCTGTCAATGCCATTCTTACAGTACAGCACCGCCAACCACCGCACGTTTGTGTCTATATCGTGGTTGCTAAATATACTCTGAAACACACAACACATGATTACATTTCTTACCAGGACACCGGCCCACATAATCTCATAGGTAAAGCGATCTAGGGATCTACATGGAGTCCTGTGTTTGAGGGTCCCTGGTACTCATACTCTTAATTTTCAGGGGTCCTGGACAACAAAATGGGGGTCCCAGACACTTAAATATTATTATTAATACTGCTTTTTGTATCATGATTATCACATTGTAACAGTAAATAAATAGCAAATAATACCATAACCCAGCTAGTAGCAAACTCAGTGATAAACTATTGTCACTTGATTGGAATTTTACAAAAAAGTATTTAGACTTTTTCTGAGTCCCTGTGGACGCGCTAATATATCTTTTTGTGGCCACTGTCAATTTTCATGCGTATAGGATGCAGGAATTCGCGTCCTGTAAATCCCTGCGATCGTAGCTTCCATACTAAATACAGTCAGGCCGCGTTAATCCGAACCCTTCTGTTTTTCATCAAAAACGTTCGGATAGTGAAACGTACAGACTACTGAAACGAACCATTATGTACACCACTACAGTAGAGTTACTTCCCTTGGACATACCGAGACAAGAACATAAGAATTGATGGTGCCAGTTGCGTTTGCACACGTGAGGCCTATTAATTGATTAAAATCACAAACTAACGACATGTTGGGGACTTAACCTAGTTCCTGGCCTGGCTACACACTTGGCACAATACATAAAGTTCATTCCTTCTCAGCACAATCAACATTACAAATGAATGTTGCTTACTAGAAGAAGGTAAAAGTGTGAATATATTCTAACAATTGTGTTACTATGGCATTAGCAGTCCCAGCCAACAAACTAACATCATCTATCCCAGCCAACAACCTGTGAACATCCGGGTTAGAATATTGATCTTCAGTAACCCATGCTTGTCGTAACAGGCGACTAAAGGGATCGAGTGTTCAGGCTCACTGACTTGGTTGACCCCACATGTCATCATATCCCAGTTGCATAGATCAATGCTCATGCTGTTGATCAATGGATTGTCTGGTCCTAACGCGATTAGTTACAGACTGCCATAAAGCTGAAATATTGCTAAGTGCAGCGTAAAACTAAATTCACTCACTCACACACTATCCCAGCAACAAAACAACTCAGCAATCATTTAATAACAGGACCGAGAATAGTGAAGAATGAGCACAAACAAAGTAACACAGCGTACAGCGACAATGGAGTAGAAGCCTGGCTGTGTCTCCCACTGCTGCAGTTGATGCTCGGCAGGTTTCAGTACGCTGGCGTCCTGGCTACACGCCCTAGACAGCACGTCTAGCACCACCGGCCCTGCTGTTGCCATGTCCATAGTTCCGAGCTGGACCAGTCTACTCCTCTCACATGGTAGTCTGGTAGTTGAATCTGGAATCAACCGCTGATCCTATAGTACTGTTGTTGACCTGATAATGTCATCTGAAATCATTCATACTTGTTCTTATTTTTTCATCCATATTGAATTTGCCTGAGTGAGGACAGATTACTGTCTTGCCCTGTCTTATTTCTTGCTGAATCATTAGAGATAAGAATGAACTGTGATCAGATAAGATGCATATTTTCTTAAAGGAAGAGAACGTGTGTGTACTTAAATCATGCATAATTTTGTTTTCCTGGAGAAATGATACACTTCAGTGCAGACATGATTCAGTTCTCAAACCAAAACAATAGAGCTCCACACAGTGATGCCCATAACACAAGAAATGCACAGAGTAAACCTGCTTTAGTCATGTTTCTTATATTATTAGAAGCTAACTGAAGTGGATGTTTGGGTGTTTGTCTTATAGATGAGTCACTAATTGCCAACTTGATCAGATTAAAAGCCAGTGTCTATCAAAACTTTGATTACAATTATATCTATTATAATATGCCTCAGTCATATGAAGCCAGTATTTTTCCAACCTGAAGCTTCTTTTAGGGCAGACCCGTGAAGATTGGGGTTTGAATTGATCAACAGTAACCCATGCTTGTCGTAATAGACGACTAACGGGATCGGGTGGTCAGGCTCGCTGACTTGGTCACATGTCATCATATCCCAATTGCACAGGTCGATGCTCGTGCTGTTGATCACTGGATTGTCTGGTCCAGACTCGATTATTTACTGGCCGCCGCCATATAGCTGTAATATTGCTGAGTGCAGCATTATTCTAAACTCAGACACTCATTCACTCTTGGGGGGGCAGCTTTGTACATGTGTCATATTATCACATTTTACACAGTCCTGTTAGGTGTTTTTTATCTGACAATTCCCGGGTAGAATAATCCAAGCAAAGCCGAGGAAGCTCTAGGGTTATCAGCCTTTCTTTCCAAAGAATGCTTCAGAATGGCTGATATCCTGTTCCTATAAATTCAAAAATATGTTTACTTTGTAACCATCAAAATAAATAAATAATTTTAAACTAAGTATAAAAACCTTTCATGTATTGGCCTTGTTATGTAGCATTTGAGAACCTAAGAACAACATAATCACTCCAATTTCCAGACGACAGATATTCATTGGGTTGTATACTCTGTACAAAGTCTTTTAAAATGTTAAAACGTCAACATGGTCAAAGCCACACCATAATAAAGATACCCTGGTATTGAGTTCAGCAATATATTGCTGAAATCTGAAATGGAAATCTTAACTTCACTTTGAGATTAAAAGATTTCGATTTATCTAAAACTTCACCCTGCAGCAAACACTGTGTACACTGTAGTAAATGATTAGACAAAAAAATGTATTGTTAGCATATATATCCACGGTGAAGTTGTTTCCTGGCTTGGAAATAACGGATGAACACTGTCTGATTGTATTAACATCAGGTTATTTAGTACCAAGATATTTTACATACAGTAATAAACACTAACAAACAGTGGCATAGTCACAGTCTAATAAAATCGCCGTATGTTAGATGACTCAATGTGAATGTGGACATGTGTAAGTCCAAATGAGTGAGTCTCGTTTTTCGCAAATACTTCATCAGTTCCACATTAAATCTGCTATTGTTTTCATTATATATTGCGTGACATATACGCTGAACACAAAGTAGCAGAATATACTGTTACTTTCAATTGTTATACATACATGTAGTCACAGTTTTACTTTTAAAATTTTAGGTGAAAGCTTCAGAATCCATGCCTTCTTTCCATGCCCCGAACACTGGGCGCGGCCATGTTGGTTGTTTATAAAACTGAGTACATGGAAACGGATTACTGTTAAGGTTGTGTCATTGTTCCAATGATCACCAAAGTGATATCATTGATCGATTGTCGGGTTATATATGTTTAATTGGTGTTTCCGAAGACGTACATTTACACAGAATCATTCGACAGTGAGCTGAAATATCGTTTATCACACATTTGTTCGTTCACAATTCAATCATCATTCAATGGGCAACATAGATTTCTAGGTAGGAGAGTGACCGATCTGTTCCTTATCAATTTTCAATGCCTTTTAACTGTCCATTTGAATATGTTTCTGTTACAATGAACAACGATTGGTAGATAACATGGCGTTTCCAGATTTCCAATACTGACCATCATATAAATGGGAACAAAGTATTTTCAAAAAGTCACGCTTTTTGTTGACTACGAGGAAGAGACAGTTAGTTTCAGAGTGAGTGAGTGAGTATGGTTTTACGCCGCTTTTAGCAATATTCCAGCAATATCACGGCGGGGACACCAGAAATGGGCTTCACACATTGCACCCATGTGGGGAATCGAACCCGGGTCTTCAGCATGTCGAGCGGAGGCTTTAACCATTAGGCTACCCCACCGCCCCAGTTAGTTTCAGAAGCCAATAGAGAAGGCTTCAGGTTGCCTAGCCCAGTGCAAGCAGTAGCTAACATCTTACGTCTGACAAATGGACTTTGTATACAGTTTATGGTTGTAAATTTCATTCAGCTGATTCCCTACAGTGTATGCAGACAAAAGTAACACATCTCAGCGAAGCAGGGGCATGGATAATATACACTCTTCAAAACAAGAAACGCATAAGCCATTTTTAGAAGAATTTATTGCGTTAGTTTAAGAGCAATTATTTCATGTAATTTCAATGGTAAAAAGGTGAAAATTCACACGTCTATAGCAAAGACTTCGCCAACACAACAGCAGCCTTTATTGTTGTGTTTCTGTTTCTTGAGTCCACACGATGGTGTCCAAAGTCAGTACTTTGTATGGCCACCATTGGCAGCAATAATACTGCTCGGCACCGTCTCGGCAAAGACCGGATAAGTGGACGAAGTTGTGGAATTCTTCCCCACTCTTCCTGAAATGCGATGCATGGCCTTGGGAAGGCCATGGCAAGACATTGACGGTAGACTTGGCAAGGTAGCGGACCGTGACGTGTGCTGCAGGCCCATGTGAAGTAGCCTTGTCATGCTGGAACAACTCCCTCTGTCGGTCCATAATCGGAAGCATATGTGACGTGCAAGGACTTAGTTGATGTACCGATTGGCTGTCAAATTCCCCTGAACCACCACTAAATCAGATCAGGGATAATATACGGCGAAATTAAACGAATATGTGAAAGAAGTTTTTATCGATAGAATTTAGTCTTTCTTCGCTGTGTACCGAGAATGGAAGCCAACGGCGAGTTACAACATGCCGACCTGAAAGTTTACTACAAATCTACTGTACTAATACTGACTCTAATACCAATTATTTGACTTAAAATGAAGTGACAAAATAGGTGACTTTCCTTCTACGTGTAGGTTTCAGTTGTCACAACACTCAGCGAATGTAATCATGCTCTTTAAAATAAATCAGGCTCAATAGTAAAAATTAAGTTGCCGACATATTGGCTAAACTGGTCACGTGACGAGTCGAGGCATACCCTAAGAGGCTCGTCGAGGAGTGACCACTCCCCGTCTTCTATTCTCCCTGGTTGTGCAGTCTCCACGGCTGTGGCAAGACGATGACTCGAGTGAGCAACCCGGATGTAGCGGTCCTGGGCTTGGTGGTAACTCTTGGGCGGCCGCTTCTCGGGCGATCTTTTGCGGAAATGGTCCTCAGGAAACGATCCCAAAGGCGAGATATGGCGGTGCTCTGATGAACGTTGAAATGTCGGGCAACTGCAGATTGCGACTCCCCAGCTTCAAGGCGGCCTATAATGACGATGTTTCGAGTGGCGGCGCCCAGCTGTGTCATGAAGATTTCCTCTTTTCCAGGCAAAACGAATGAAAAATATAAACACTACGTTTGCCTTTTATAGTCATCGATACCCCATGCTTTTCCGCTTACTTGCACGTGCATTTTGCTTTGTATGTTTTCTTGGTGACGTTTTGGCGAATATTTCTTCAAACGCTTCTAAAACAAGTGATAAGTTAAAACTGCTGCGTTTTGGCGCTGAAGCTGTTTACAATCACACAAAGATAACGGTTTGGAAAGAAATAGTATATTTGTATTGTTTAGCCTCAGCTACATGAGTGCAATACTCTCAAAATCACTCATGCGTTTCTTTTTTTCTTTCTTTCTTGAAGAATGTAGATAAAAAACCATTCAGATAGATTGTTGGGGGAAAGGTGTAATTATCTCTGTTACATATTGTAGGGTGATTTTGATTCAAAGTTAAACTACATACCTTAAGCTATATGAAAATCATAGTGGCTGTTTGTCCCTCAATTTGGTAGTCGAATCCACATTTGCAAGGTCTGGCTCAAAGATTAAATGTAAATAAAGCAAATTGTACTTTTAACTTAATCTTGACTTTGACAAAGTGTGGAAGATGTGCATTATTTGGAAACTTTCCATTCTGCATTAAAACTGGTCACGTCAAACCCCTACCAGGTATCACTGTCTTTTTCAGTGTCGTAAACAGATTCTTTCACAACGGGGAATGCTATCACTTCCACGTCTACCAGTTTCTATGAGAGATGAGAGAATGATCGTTATCTTGTGTACATCTATGTATACAGTTTAAAATTTTGAAAAGATAACCCTCCAGACCAAATTTCACTTTAAATTCCTTATGCAAGTAGACAGGAGGTATGTAATAGCCTTGATCACGGTTGACTGATGGTGGGAGTTGACATTGATGTGGTTTGCTTTCTTGGAATTTTCTAATTTTGAAGATATAAGGGTATACAGCAACACCTCACTCCTAAGTGTGTTTAAAAAGCTGTTCATCTGTATATCTCTGACATGATCTAATGTTTGTATACATTTGGGGTTGATTTCCCATTTTTGGCAGTCTGTTGTGCACTGGACCAGGCAGGTGTCGTATCTCACTGCCAAAACTGGGACAAGTGTTCTAGCTCGTTCACCAGGTCTGAAAATTGACTGCCAAAAGTGGGAATAAATCGGTCCATGGTAACTAATTGTGTTTCAATGTGTTAATTCACAGTACAGTGTTACAAAAACAAACATCGATCAAAGGATTAACCGATAACACGCTGATTGATTAATTGCTTTTATCTTGCACAGTTTATTTGTCAAAAGGTAGTGTTTATGTAGGTAGATTTACTCATCTATACTGAAAAACCCTGTCGTAAAGTGCCTGTGTATAAAAACAACGTCCTTCCTTGAAAGGATTAACCGCCAATAAATTGATTGATTGCTCATTATTGGCTAACTAAATTACTTTTTTAAAGAATGGCGGACATTAGTTGCCAGGTGTGCTATCTTGGGTGACCAATAAGACTATACACCACTGTGAAAAACCTGAAACGATATATTACTTTTTGGCATATTATACTGTTAAAAGACACATGCCATGGAGCAAGATTCTTTGTCAGCTGCAGATGAATGGCATATCGTTCTTTTATGTGGATGTTAATGGATACGTTCCTCGAACAAGGTAATAGCCTGACATTGTAACTGATTGTGTTTCAGGATGTTAATCCACACAACAATGCAATATACGTATTATTATTTACGCAAGGTCAATACTTCGGTAAGTGCCATGTTGAGGCATGATATATCATTATTAAACTTACTTTCCAAGTAACGTAAAGCTGGTGTGTATGAAAGTGTGAAACATTAAAAAAAAAATCGAACCTAAGCGAGGGAAGGACGGCAAGCCTTTGCTCGCTTCGCTTGCATATAGGAAGACTGGTCATTTTCCTCTCTGTTGCTCAGCCCTATTTGCGCTACAATTTCTGAATTTGCCTGTGGTGAAACACATGGAATGCTGGATCGCATGTTACGAATGTTCGTTTTCATGCCATCAAGACCGTGGGAAAACCCAGAGACTCGCGTGGTGTTTCGTGTGATGAGTGTTACTTTACAGATTCTCAAATCATCAAGGACAGTTGGATATTCTAGTGGCTAGTGTGTTGGATCGTCTGCCGACTGTTATGCTCTGTCGATTCTCCACCATCAGTGACAGTGGGTTAGCCATGACGGCAGAGTGTTGTCTGACGGGTGTTACTATAGATTCTCAAATCATCAAGGGCAGTTGGATATTCTAGTGGCTAGTGTGTTGGATCGTCTGCCGACTGTTATGCTCTGTCGATTCTTCCGCCATCAGTGGCAGTGGGTTAGCCATGACGGCAGAGTGTTGTCTGACGGGTGTTACTATAGATTCTCAAATCATCAAGGGCAGTTGGATATTCTAGTGGCTAGTGTGTTGGATCGTCTGCCGACTGTTATGCTCTTTCGATTCTTCCGCCATCAGTGGCAGTGGGTTAGCCATGACGGCAGAGTGATGTCTGACGGGTGTTACTATAGATTCTCAAATCATCAAGGGCAGTTGGATATTCTAGTGGCTAATGCGTTGGCTCGTCTGCCGACTGTTACTCTTTTGGTTCCGGCCCCACCAAATGTAGTTGGATATTCTAGTGGCTAGTGTGTTGGATCGTCTGTCGACTGTTATGCTCTGTCGATTCTTCCGCCATCAGTGGCAGTGGGTTAGCCAAGAAGGTAGAATGTTGTCTGACGGGTGTTACTATAGATTCTCAAGTCATCAAGGGCAGTTGGATATTCTAGTGGATAATGTGTTGGATCGTCTGTCGACTGTTATGCTCTTTCGATTCTTCCGCCATCAGTGGCAGTGGGTTAGCCAAGAAGGTAGAATGTTGTCTGACGGGTGTTACTATAGATTCTCAAGTCATCAAGGGCAGTTGGATATTCTAGTGGATAATGTGTTGGATCGTCTGTCGACTGTTATGCTCTTTCGATTCTTCCGCCATCAGTGGCAGTGGGTAGAGTGATGTCTGACGGGTGTTACTATAGATTCTCAAATCATCAAGGGCAGTTGGATATTCTAGTGGCTAATGCGTTGGCTCGTCTGCCGACTGTTACTCTTTTGGTTCCGGCCCCACCAAATGTAGTTGGATATTCTAGAGACTGTGTTCATACCATAAGGTAATGAGGTAGCACAGCAGTAAAAGCGTTGGCTCCTCTGGTCGAAACATTCGATTGTCAATTTCTGGTCACCCTAACACAGCTATTTCTCGAATAGTCGCTTGAAACCGATAAAATACCATCCTCACTCAGACATGTACTTCAGGACAAGATTATTTTCCTTCATTCTATTCTAGTGGCTAATGCGTTGGATCGTCTGCCGGCTGTTATACACTGTCGATTCTTCCGCCATCAGTGGCAGTTGGTTAGCCATGACGACAGAGTGTTGTCTGATGGGTGTTACTATAGATTCTCAAATCATCAAGGGCAGTTGGATATTCTAGTGGCTAGTGTGTTGGATCGTCTGCCGACTGTTATGCTCTTTCAATTCTTCCGCCATCAGTGGCAGTGGGTTAGCCATGACGGCAGAGTGATGTCTGACGGGTGTTACTATAGATTCTCAAATCATCAAGGGCAGTTGGATATTCTAGTGGCTAATGCGTTGGCTCGTCTGCCGACTGTTACTCTTTTGGTTCCGGTCCCACCAAATGTAGTTGGATATTCTAGTGGCTAGTGTGTTGGATCGTCTGTCGACTGTTATGCTCTGTCGATTCTTCCGCCATCAGTGGCAGTGGGTTAGCCAAGAAGGTAGAATGTTGTCTGACGGGTGTTACTATAGATTCTCAAGTCATCAAGGGCAGTTGGATATTCTAGTGGATAATGTGTTGGATCGTCTGTCGACTGTTATGCTCTTTCGATTCTTCCGCCATCAGTGGCAGTGGGTTAGCCATGACGGCAGAGTGATGTCTGACGGGTGTTACTATAGATTCTCAAATCATCAAGGGCAGTTGGATATTCTAGTGGCTAATCCGTTGGCTCGTCTGCCGACTGTTACTCTTTTGGTTCCGGCCCCACCAAATGTAGTTGGATATTCTAGAGACTGTGTTCATACCATAAGGTAATGAGGTAGCACAGCAGTAAAAGCGTTGGCTCCTCTGGTCGAAACATTCGATTGTCAATTTCTGGTCACCCTAACAGCTATTTCTCGAATAGTCGCTTGAAACCGATAAAATACCATCCTCACTCAGACATGTACTTCAGGACAAGATTATTTTCCTTCATCAGAGTGTTTATTAAATAATCAAATTACCATTGAATACAAATTCCAACCGATTATTTTACGCGAGTCTTCTCCGTCTCCCCGAGCAGAGCCAGCCGGTACACGCTCGCTGTATGGAAGCATCAAAGTGCAAACACCCATACAACTCCCCAGTATCGGGATTCAGGGCGCGGCCCTCGATTGTGTAGTCACCCTAGTAACACAGAAGAAGGTTCTTGAGAGGCATTTAGAAGTTGGAAGAAGAGGAAACCTCGATAAAAGAAATGTAAGATTATGAAACAGATATTATAGTTTCTGACAGAACAGAATATATTCTGACACAATTCTACCAGAAGTCAGGGCCGAAGTGGTCACACACAGTATTCACTAGAGTTGGTTTCACGAGGCTTTTGGCAATACCCAGGATATATAACGAAGAAGGGCTTCTAGCACACCTGTTGAAACGTCACATATAGCACTGATGGGCGTGCGTTGGCCTGATGGTTAAAGCGTCCAGATATGGGTTTCACACATTGTACACATGTGGGAATTCGAGCCGGGATCTTTTGCCCGACGAACGAACGCTTTAACCGCTAGGCTACCCACATTTCACACATTGTACACATGTGGGAATTCGAACCGGGATCTTTTGCCCGACGAACGAACGCTTTAACCGCTAGGCTACCCACATTTCACACATTGTACACATGTGGGAATTCGAGCCGGGATCTTTTGCCTGACGAACGAACGCTTTAACCGCTAGGCTACCCACATTTCACACATTGTACACATGTGGGAATTCGAACCGGGATCTTTTGCCTGACGAACGAACGCTTTAACCGCTAGGCTACCCACATTTCACACATTGTACACATGTAGGAATTCGAACCGGGATCTTTTGCCTGACGAACGAACGCTTTAACCGCTAGGCTACCCACATTTCACACATTGTACACATGTAGGAATTCGAACCGGGATCTTTTGCCTGACGAACGAACGCTTTAACCGCTAGGCTACCGCACTATCAGGTACCCCCAACCCATTCGGCCCCTACATCATGTACGGCAGCCCCCTAGCGGAGTGTACTCACATCAGCCAGAATATCCGCTGCCTTGCCAAGTTCTGGGATTTTGAGAGTGAAGGTCTGCACATTCAGGCTCTGGGCTGCTATTGGGCAGTCCGGGCTGAAACTGTTATCCGACAGCATCTTCTTGACCTGAGATACGACAGACTTCTGAGCTGCATCGCCGGTCAATGTGTCCAGGATTGTACAACCGTCATATGTGCTGAAAAGACAGGGTTGTAAATATAGACTGTGAATGAAGCCACGAGATTTATTTGTTTAAATCGTATATTTAAAGTGACGGCTATATATTGCGATTAAGTCTCCAAGGCCGGTCATGTATACCATAAACTCACCAAGACCGGTCATATATACCGATAAATGCACGAGGACCGGTCATGTATAGCGATGAACTCACCAAGACCGATCATGTATACCGATTAACTCACCAAGACCGGTCATGTATACTGATTAACTCACCAAGACCGGACATGTATACCGATAATTTCACCAAGACCGGAAATAAAGATCGATTCACTGAGCAAGACCGGAAATGAAGATCGCTTCACTGAGCAAGACCGGAAATGAAGAGAATTTACTCACCAAGACCCGATGTTCTCGGTACACGGCACCAGTACAGTTGCGACGAATGTATGACGCTTAACGCTCAACTTGAGGCTCCACTTAGGCATACTTTTGGTGACCTGAGCCTTGACGTGGAGGACCAGATCCCCCCGGCGTCTTCACCGGCATGGGGGACACCGAGAGTTCCAGGAACTTCACAGCCCGGTTGGAATCACCCGCATCTGCAGAATTATATCTTACATTGGGAAAACTCGAAGCTGTGAGAGAGTTTTCTCTGTCCCTCGAACATGGAGACTATATTACACTCCTAAAGGGGTCTGGTGGATTGAGTGTCTGCCCGGGAAGTCAATGGTTCGATCCCCGGCCACCACATATAAAAGATAGTAAAATACAAAAAAAGTGTATAAAGAACTGACGGATATAACGTTGTTATATATTTTAGTTGAAATACATTCAAGGAACGTTGTGACAGTAGTTTAGCTGTTGTACTTGCTGTTGCTCAGCGGTAAAGGGATAAAGGGTCTAAAAGTGGAATCGTTGGAAATTGCGGCATGGTTAACCGTCGGCTACCACAGAAAACAACGCAAGTCCTGACTAGTACAAGCATGAAACACGCACACGCACACCCGCCATGAACGTTGTTTAATATGTGCAATAATCTCTAACGCCATTTAAAACCACCATACAATGCTTTCGGTTACTGTTTACAATTCTAAACTCGAAGAAGAAAGATAATCTAGCATATTTTACCATAAGTATATTCATGATATATTTGTGTGATCTATAAAGCTGCAAACGCAACCGTGCATGTCAAGGTCACCATGTATCTTATCTCGGAGTAGCGCCCTGGGTAGGGCGTTCGACCTATAACAATACGGAAACTTTCAGGTACACAAGCTGGGCTGTTTCCAAGAATACCTGTACTTGGCATACTGTACTTGGCATACTGGTACATTGTTACATGAAACACTCACACAGCGTTTATAACGAACTGGCGGATACAACGAACCGTTGTTTTGTCTAGACCACGTGCTGTATATTTTAGTAGAAATGCGTATAACGAACTACGGTTATCACGAACTCCAATTGGTGGTCCGTTTGAGTTGATAGTTAAAACTTTATATATATGACAGCTGGATATTTCAGTTCCATCATGGCCTGTCACTGTAGAGAGGAAAGCCCCCAGTGGTGCAGTTAGTCGAAATCCACATGCAGCTCGCTGTGCTGATAAGCCAGGAATTATTACGAGAAATATCTACAAAAATAATGAATTGATAACATGATATAATTAGAAGCAATTCTGTGTCTGTCTGGAGATGAGAAAAGTTCTCCTAGCACAGATACACGTTAAGCAGAAATCAGTGATAAAAATATGACGTAGGCACTTATGTGAATTACAAAGCCATGTTTACAAAAGTTGATAATACAATTATATAACAAAAGAAATGTCCCTACCACAATCACTCCATGTAAATTGCGTTATTTTGGCGCTGACCGCCAGGACGAGACATGGAAGGAACAGGAGAGCCTTCATTGTTGCCGGGCACGTGTTTCAGTATGTGACGACTGAGGCCAGTTGATAGCAACACCTGCGCCTGTTTGTGACGTCACGTTGTTTCCGCGACATGTCCAGAGCACAAAAGACTAGACAATAAAGAAAGAAATATCGAAATGATATTCAGAAAATGATTATTTGTTGCACTAGCATCTTATCCAAATGGTCTACGTCATGAACATCGGTGATATTTGAAGAACGTGTTCGAAAGTCTCCTCAAAAGAAACCATCTGGACAACTAAAGGGATCCATTACTGCCTGTGTGATATGACGTTTAATATAGGAAACGTGAACTTCCGGCAGAAGTATACATCATGTTTGATGATGGCTAAAAATGAAATTAACAAGTAAGGGTTCTTCAAAGAAGATGCTTATTCTCATAAATCACATGTTGTGACATAGAGAGAATACAGATAAAGTACAGTATGAATTTGTACATGAAAAGATACATAGAGATTATTAACCAAGTGTGTTTCCGTTTCATCAATATCATAATAAAAATTATATTAGGAATACAGATTGCATTATGCGAGCCTTTGGCGAGTGAGTGAGGAAGTGGTTAAAAATCTCTTTATCATATAATGTCATTCTTAAAATTACTCTAAAAAAGAAGCAAATCGAACGTGAATTTATATGAAGAGAATCGAGCATTCGCGTAAGAATACTTAGCGGTACACCACGGTGATGGTCGTTCATGACGGCGGCATATAGACTAAACTCGCAACGACGTCGTCAATGAAATGTTAAAAGTTTTAGGATTCGCAGTGCGTGTATGGAGTTTTGTGAAAGTAGTTCGTGTATTGACCTAATTTGCATATTTATCACATTTGGATACCAAGTTTATCAGATTGCTTTATTGCACCGATAACACATAATTACATGATAAAAGTATGCACATGATAGATTTCATTTGTACAAAAATAATCCGTGTGTGTATATATATATATATATATATATGCATATATATTTCGAAAATGGGAGGGTGGGGAGGTGGCAGTTTAATGAACACAGTATTACAGGTATAATACACCGCCGAGTCACCATCTCACCTTCAGCAACGTTGGAAATCTATTTCCACACGACCCTTACTGCTGCTCAGTGGCGCATTGTTTATTACCATAGTTAGTAATAATAATTGATCAGTATGGATAAAAAGTTTGATAAGTAAGAATTTGAGTTGTAGGCATCATTGAAGAGAAAACGTTTTCAAACGGCTACAAAATGAATGGTCTAGGTCTCTGCACTCTTGATTTGTATGTTGTGGCAGGTGATTCCACAAACTGGGAGCCTTCACAGAGAATGCTCTATCACCCATTTTGCTGTTTGTGTGTGGGATTGTGAGGAGGTCATTTTCTGCTAAAAGTAGGGAGCGCCTCGGACAATACTTGTGAAGCAGGGACGCTAAATACAATGGTGCAGTGTCACTGTACAATGCTTTGTACGTCAAGGTGAGGATCTTGTAGTGTATACGCTGCTTGATGGGGAGCCAGTGTAAACTGCTGAGCACTGGAGTGATGTGGGCGATCTTTTTGCTCCTTGTGATGACTCGTTCAGCATTATTCTGAATCCTCTGGAGATGTTGCACTGCTGCGGCGCCGTGGATCAGTGAGTTGCAATAGTCCAGACGGGAAGTTATATAACAGTGTGTCAGTAACTTGCGGTGTCTTCATCAAGGTACTTCCTGATCTTACCGATGTTTCTCAGGTGCCAGGATGCAGATTTAGCGACAGAAAGTACCTGCCTTGTCGGAGGACATTGTTCTGTCAAAGAGAACACCAAGGTTTTTAACGTGTTCAACTGGAGCAACAACAGAGTCATGGACCACAATTGGTGCCATGGATGCCTTGGTCAGTTGTTGACGACTACCAAAAATGATGAATTTTGTCTTGTCTGAATTGAACTTCAGGTAGTTAGCAGTCATCCATTCCTGCACATCTTTGATACAGAGCTGCAGCTGCTCGCGGCTGATGTCGACGCGAGAGGGAGAAGCACGAATATACACTTGATTTGTCGCTGTATAATCATGAAACTCTAGGTTATGTTGACGGAAAATATTTCCTAAGGGCAATATTTAGTTGAGGAACAGAACTGCCCAAGGACGGATCCCTGGGGAACGCCACAGTCTGGAGAGGACCGTTTTGAGAAATGGGACCCAAGTTTGACAAACATTGATCGGTCAGACACATATGATTTTAACCATGCCAAGGACACTCCATCAATTCCCATTGACAGTTTCATTCTTCTGAGCAAAATAGAGTGAACAACAGTGTCGAACGCCGCCGACAGATCGAGCATCACAAGGAGACACATCTGCTGCTGATCCATTGCTCTGTGAATGTCGTTGTGCACTCTTAGAAGTGCCGTTTCCGTACTGTACCCAGCTTTGTATGCAGACTGGAATTCCTCGGAGAGTCCATTTTGTTGAATATGGTCCTTTAGTCTGCTTAGTACTACCTTTTCAAGGATCTTGGAAATGAACGCAAGATTTTAGAATAGTGTGATCCAGCGTCGGTTTCTTCAGAATTGGGGTAATTACCGCTTCTTTGAAGATGATCTAATGTTGGGTCGATCGGTCGGTTCAAAATTCGAAAAATATGAATTGAAAAATTTGATTTAATATTTGGATGTGTTATATAGGAATACATAAAATATATTCTTAAAAATTACAAAAATAGATATACACTTAGATTTGTTCATCTGCATCCGAAAAGAAGACAAAACATGTGTAACTTTGATTCTGCTGTATCTCCCTGTTTAAGAGTGCATGTGGGAAATCTGGGTATGGAAAGGAAGTAAACACCTGTCCAAACTAATCTTACCAGTGAGGATCCGGGTTAGAATTGATCTTCAGTAATCCATGCCTGTCGTAAGAGGCGACTAACGGGATCGGGTGGTCAGGCTCACTGACTTGGTTGACACATGTCATCGTATCCTAACTGTGTAAATCGATGTTCATGCGATGTTGATACCTAAATTGTCTGTTCCAGATCCGATTATTTACAGACCGCCGCAATATAGCTGGGATATTGCTGAGCGCGGCGTAAAACTAAACTCACTAACTAACTAATCTATTCTGCTTTCTTTGGTATTCAGGAAATATACAATGTGAGGTGAGGTGAAATTGGGTTTTACGTCGTGCTTGAGAATATTTCGCTCATATGACGACGTGCATGCGTGTGTATGTGTATGTGCGGCTGCTTGTACAAGCCCAGACCGAAGCTGGTTTTATAGTGCTAGCCCACTGAGATACCATGCCGCAGTGAAGCATGAATACCCCACTCAGACACATTATACTGACTCCAAGCCGACCAGTCCTTGTTGTACCCATTAATGCCGAGCGCCAGGCAGAGACCAACAAGTACCATATTTTAACGTCTTTTGGTATGACGCGGTCGGGGATCGAACCCGCGACCTTCCGCTCTCCGGGCGGACGCTCTAACCACTACACCACGGAGGCGGTCATATACAATGTATACAGCCTTATCATTTTTGTGTGAAATTTGCAGATTTTAATCCATAACACAGATTAACATAACATAGAAAAGCAGCAGAAACATCAAAATATATTGAATCAGATGTTACTGTCACAAAGTTAGCCACCTTAGTCTTCTTGTGAAGCTTCACTTGTCATCTACTTGCAGCCTTCATCCCAGCACTGACTCATTTGAAGATTATCGACTGGGGATTTGCTGATGTGTACTTCTTCATTGCACAGACTACCCTTCCGGAAGCGCCAGCATGACCCTCACATATTGTCATAAGAACAGGGCCACTCATAAAATGGGCTGCGAACCCGTCACGAGACAGTATTCGTACGCTATACCTCTTGAAATAGTATACCTACACCCACCCCCACCCTCCACCCCCGCCCCGCCCCCACCCTGCATAACTGGAACCCCTACTCGATCCAATACAAGGGTGATTACAGCACCGACAATGCGAAGTCGGTCACTGCCAGCAACAGACAGGGTGGGATAACCCAGGTCACTGCATTTGATGGCTCCAACAGCATGCACTGGTACCATACACCTAAAGAGTTCTTTGACACAGCTGCTTTGGACAAAAACAACCATGCCCATAGAGTGGTGGGTGTTTTGGACTCAGGAATGCGCACCATACTTCCGAAAATCCCAGGAATTGGCTCAGTGAGGACTCGTTATCCCATTCTTCCGGTGCACGGTTAAGGAATGAGTGTCTGGAAGGAACTGGATGTTGTTAAGGACATCACTATGAAAATACAATCGAACACTGCAGCGTTTGAGAAGAACCCAGTCCATGCTGGCAAGGCACCTGTGATTGGCAAAGCACAGCCCGGTGTCCACTTGTCCACTTCCTTGTAGGCCCATCGGACCAAGCTCACGGCAATCACACCCACAGTATTACCCTGACATTTGCACAGATGGAGTCGCTCGGTACTGGGCAGACCGTCAGTGTCAAGACATCCTTCAACTCTGGGCACAGTCATCAGGTTGAGATCTACGTCAAAAACCGGGCCCGGGCAACATTATGATGAAGAGTTGCGATGGCCACGCTGGAGCCTGTTCTGATGGTCACCCCTTGCTCCTCACTATCGTCCAGAACTGAACGTCGAGCTTATCAGGTGGCAATAAACAGAAGCATATTTCTTTGGGTTACATTTTTGTTTTTCAAAAGGCGTGAGTGATTGAGTGAGTAAGGATTTACTTTAAACAATCTCCCGGTAATATCATGCAGACAAACACGTGAAACAGGCTTCTCTCATCGTATCTGTATGGCGAATCGTACTTTGTCCTTCGAGGGAACGATGAACACTCGCTGTGACCTCTATCCAAGTTCCCCAACCAATATCAGATGTGAAGGGTAAATCTTTGATACATCCATGTGCCTGTAAACTTCGAAATCGACCTACGCAGTTGTGATAAGAAGTCAGCCAGTCTGACCAGACCATTCTGTTCGTCGCCTCTTACGACAAGCATGGGTTGTTTCTGCCATAATTATGTACAGATGTCAAATTATATTTTTCAGCAACATTTATTGTTGCTTATAACATTTTCTCATTGCTGCGATGATTTTCT